GGTATTCGATGAAGGTACATGAAGTTATTCTGATCACTCAAAACTATCCGGTTTACTATATCAGATAGCTGTAGGAAATATATATAAATATAAACATCTGCAAGGGCATTTATCTCTCGGCAGTCTGTGGATGACTCGGTTTACTCGTGCTCCCATTTTTTTATTTATTAGATAGTTCATGGTCTCTTAATTTAGTCCTGCGAAAAATTGGCAAAGGCTCGCGACTCGCTGCGGTCGCTTGGCGCCGCAAATATTCATAGTTAATGCATAAATAAAATTAGTTGTTGCAGAATTTTAAGCGTGAGTTACCTAGTTGCCGGTTGCAGGTTGCAGGTTGCAAGTTATCTGCCGCATTTTCGCCGCATTTTTTCTATGTTGGCACGTAAAAAGTCTCAAGACTGTGGATAACTGAGCAGGAGGGTTTGGCAAGCTGTGCTGCACTATGGCCTCACCCCGGCGCCGTTATGGCAATGTTGATGCTAATAATGTTGTTGGTGATTATGTGGCCCTTCCCTTTGCTGCAGGTGAGGCAAAATGTTTGCCTGGAGCTCAGTTGGAATATGAGAATCCTTGAAACGACCCCTCCTGAAATCCGGTTGTAAGCTTTACCATGACTTAGGAATACAAAGCGATTGTCTTTTCAAGTTTCAAGTTCATTTCGTACTTCAGTATTCCTTATTTCTTTTAAGGCTAATTGATGCTATTATTGAGCTAAAAACTGATTGTTAATATTACAAAATAAAACAAATTAAGTAAAAAATACTTATTAAAAGAGTTTGCATTCTTGAAATAAACGTAAAGCGAAGGAAGATTTTCTTTCCGAGTTGAAAATTTTACGATCCTGGATAGATATTAAGTGGAGTAAAAACAACTCGATTTTTTCTCTGAGTGCATTCAGCATGTGTTTAGCCAATAAAGTGAAGACTGACAGCTGCAGTCAGCCAAAATGGACAATAATGATGCCAACTTCAGCAAATGCATGCGATTAATTGGCCCATACTCCCCGACCATGCCCCTTGCGATCAACATATATTTTGGGCCAGCTGCCATCACACGAAAAGACTGGAAGTGACAGGAGATGCTTTGCCAGGCTCCGTTTAGTCAGCAGCCGCAATGTTTATACATAAGTTCTGGCCGTTGCCAGAGGCTAGGAGCCAAAAAGGATTCAAGCTCGAGGCCATGTGTCCAATCGAGTGGAGCATATGCTGCAGTTGCACGTACGCGCGTGCTAAGGTAGGGGGGCAACTGGGATAGAGCTATGCACCATTAGGCGGAGAGGGCCCGCAGCTATTGTTATATTGCATTTGCAGCAGCGGTAGCAGTAGGCGACGCTGAATTGGACTAACAATATTTTATAACGAATTCGTCGAGTTGGGCATGCAAAGCACGTTGTTGACAGCGTGGCGTGGCCAAGGCATGCCGCAAGGTGGCACAATTGACATGCCGCATGCCGCATGCCACATGCCAAACTGCGACAGTTAGCTGCTGCAGAGCCTACATTGGCTATAGCAAAAGCAAACCCGTAAAAGATGTTCAGATTCGCCAGTGTGAAAATCATAATCATCAAATTAACGCGCGCCGCGCACGAAACACCAAATTCGCCTGGCTCAAATTGGTGCTTGGGAGAACGATGCGGGCCACAAATACTACGTGAGCATTTAAAGCAATGCGAATAAAACTTAAGTGCCGCCATGTGTAGAAAGAGGTATATATATATATATATACATATATATGGTGTCAGAGATTGGCGGGGATCGTATGGCTACGCCAAGGCTACTCAGGTGTCAACTGATGCGAGCGGGCGGTCGGGTGGTGGGCGATGGGCGGGTAGCCTATTGCGCTCCCGACCCTCGTTAAAGCAATCTGCGCCAAGTGAAAGGGCTGCTTAATCAGCGGCCAGGCCGTGACAGATAACTAACTGGGGCTGGGCGGAAGCAGGAGTCATCATCGTTTGACTGCGTCAGCGCCATAAAGGACCAACGCAAGGAACCAGCCATGGGTGCGCCACCACTTCACACATTCGTCACTTGGCTAGTTCTCTAACACGCACTCCTGCTCCATCTCCGTCTCCCTCTCACTCTCCCGTTCCAGTTTCAGTTTCAGCCAGAAGCGTTTGAGGCCATCAAATTTCAGTCATAACAATAACACTGATAGTCCCGCTCGTAAAATAAAACCCTTTTTGCCCACTGCCGCAATGTCAGGGCACTGCGGCCGGGATTTGTGTGCGGATGTCCTCATGTCCCTGCGTGCTTGTGTCTCTGCCGTTCCATTTCCAGCTTCAAAAACAATCAAGAAAGCGCGCGCGACAGGAAAAGCAACACACGCTGCGCACACACACACACACACGCACACACACACACACACACACACACTCAAAGAAAGAATCAAGAACTTTGTAACAAAAATTCAGCTAATGTCAATATTTCTTAAGCTGGGTACAAGAATTCTTATTTTAAGAATTTATTTCTCTATCCTGAAATTCCTTAAAATAACACTCAACTCTTGTGCTCAATCTTAGTTGCAATTTACTTATTTCAAGTATACATTTCAATTGAATTTTAAGTTAAAAAATAATAGTTTACAATTCTAGTTGAATTCGAGGATATCATTTTTCTCCAAGTGCACAAATTTTACAATAGCCCTTGGGGCTGAGGGGGGTGCCCTGCTCCACTCCCAATCTCGGCCATCCAATTGCAGGGACTCGGGCGCGGTCAAAAGGCGACACCAAAAGCATTTAAATCCTTTTCGCACTTTGCTTGTCGCTGTCTCCGCTTGTTGCGTATTTTTCCATCGACTATTTCCGGCCGCAATACGTGTGACACGTATGACATATGAAGTGTCTATGTGTGCGTGCGAGTCGAGTCTGCGTATGTGGATGTGGATGGGTGAACTGCTTGTCATGCTTCAATTTCAGTTTGATGACGCTTTCGCAATACAATGTGCGCCCAAGGATGAGCCGTGCCTAATACACCCATCGGCCAAAATGGAAGCCCATTTCCTCTTGGGCCGTAAAATAGGAATTTACTTTATTAAAATTTTTCGCTTCAAAAATATGGGACAACAACAATGGCAATGAGCACAAAACAACAAGCTAGGCAAATTTGTTGAAAATCCACGCACACACATACACACACTCACACCCAATCCCACACCCACACGCACACACACATGTCGCTCAATGATGCGCCCCATCATGAACGAGGTAAAAATTTACTCAACTATGAACTCTCGCCAAAGCCCAACCAATGCGAATGTGTGTGATGTCTGTGAAATAGGCTCGAATTTGCGTAGACCGTGCCCCTCGAGGGGCAAAGGTTATAGCCGCGCCTGCTGCTGCTGCTGCTGGCAAGGGTTCCCAGCGCAGGCTCGATTTCGGGTTCGGGTTCGAGCTAGGGCCATGGCTCGCCTGCGCTTGACAGTTTCATTCAGATAAAGCGAGGTTGGGGGCAAGGCATCTGAAAATTTATATAAATTGACAGTAATGCTGGCTGCTGCCGCTCTGCCCAGAACAAAGACAACAACAACGACAACAACAACTTCTATGCTAAATTGCGCGACAACATTGACAAGAACAACAACAGGAGCGGAGCCGGAGCAACTTTTCGTATCGCATTCTTCGGCTCGAAAACGCAAATTATGTACGAAAGAGCAAAATAATGAAATCGTAAAGAGTTGGCAGGCACAACCGATCCAAGGCACAGCCCCTGACAAGACCCCTGACAAGAACCCCGACAAGTCCCGCATGGCAGGGATTGTATTTAAAATTCATTTCAGTTTCGCTCAGACTTCGTGTGTATGCAAATAGTGGCCATATTAATCATTGCCTCGGCATTTTTGGGCAAGTTTTAGTGATTTTTTTATTCGGTTTTATACTCTGTTTACAAAGTGAAAAGGAGTATATTGGCTAGGAAGTTCCCGTCTGCTGCCGCGCGCTTTTAAGCGTCGAGCCTCGTGTTTATCCGCTGTGCTAAAGGTATCTGCAAGTCGATCACTCCCGACTAGCGCACTCTTAATAGGTTTTTTATTTGGTTTCAAGTTTGGAATTTCATCTGCCACTCGCGACTAGCTCGTTCGTTGTGGTATTTAAAACTGCATTTCGGCGCTAATAAATAAACAGCTCCTCCGCTTTTTGGCCATATGCTTCGCCTATTCCGCATACCACGAACCGTGGACCCACCCACCTTTAGATCCGTTTGAAATTTATGAAAGCCTCGTTCCACGGATAAAGTGCACTGAGCACGGACACGGATACGGACATGGGCACTGGCACTAAAACAACTGTAGCTGCCTGATGGCCGCGTTAAATGCTTTTGTTGATTCTGGCCTCGGCTCTGGTCGCGCCGCTTCCTTCTTTTTCTGTTTTTTTTTTTTTACACAATTTAATAGTTTTGGCGGCGGTGGCACGGGCAAGAAATAAACTGCTGGCGACTGCGACTGCGAATGCGAATGAGAATGCAGTCCGCAATAAGTCTTGGCAAACAGTCGCCGTGCCGGATGCCGGACACGCCCACAATTGGCTTTTGTGAGCTGGATTGCGGGCAGCGAGGGGAAATGTGTTTGTTTTTCATTAAAAAACTTTTCATTTTGAGCGGTCAAAGTTCGGCTCCGACTCCAGCCCCCTCCCCTAGCCTCACTCCCAAATGCAGTTCTGCGGCAGCTTAGCGGCGGGTAAAGGCTGCGGCTGCTGCTGCTGCTGCGGCGGCTCCTGCTCTGACAGCGGCATGTCCTGTTTTATTGCGGGCAGGATTTGCTATTTAGGAAAGTCTCTGTGCGCGGCTCCATTGTCTCTTTGTGACTCCGGGCGGCGCTCATTGTTTTTTGCCGACTGGCTAAATACACATTTCATAATTCAGCCGTAATGGAAAGTCACGTATCCAATGGAAATGAAATCCCATGGGACGCGAGGGCCTGGCCAAGGATAACAAACGGCCTCACAATTAATCTTGCATTTTGCCAACGATCTTTTTCCAATTTTCTTTTTGTTTATTCTTTTCTTGCAGTTCTATGGGCGCTAATCTTGCCCCTACCCGGCCACGCCCAGCAGCAAAAGTTTCGCACAACGCCGCACGATCTGCAGGTGCTGGAGGGCGCCGAGGCGATGATGCGCTGCGAGGTGGCCAACGTGGCCGGCGCCGTGCAGTGGACCAAGGATGGCTTCGCCCTGGGCTTCTCAGCTGTGATACCCGGCTTTCCGCGCTACTCCGTGCTGGGTGATCGCAAACAGGGTGTCTACAATCTGCGCATATCCAATGCCTCCATCAATGATGATGCCGAGTATCAGTGCCAGGTGGGGCCAGCGCGCCTCAACTCGGCCATTCGGGCGAACGCCAAGCTGACCGTCATATGTAAGTAAACCGAAGACTAGCATACATATTTTATTTTTATGTACTTTATGTGTCTTTGAAACTAAAAGAAGTTGTCAGTAGTTCGGTTTACGGCTACCAAATTGGCTTCAATCGGATCAGCTGAAATTCTTTCAGTTCAAGGCAATTACTATGATTCCCTATGATCTGTTTCCGGTTTAAATTAGTTGCAGTTTTGAGCAAAGGCTTTAATTCATAGGAAAAGATAATTAATATTGGAGTTTAAGGTTCAGTTCAAGCTGCTTGGCGTGCACGACATTCATTTGTGGTCGATTCCTAACTAGAGTTCTCAGTCCAGGCTCTGGTTGCTGGCAGCATCAATTAATTCTAGTAATAAATACAATTCGTAAAGCCCTCCACACTCCCGTAGTTTCTTGCTCATTGCACCTATAGCATTTGCACTTGCATATTTAAATGCTGGAGACTTCGCATGCGGGTGCCCAAATTGGGGGGCATGGCATGGCATGGCGGGGTGGGGCGGGGCGGGGCGGCTGTTGGTTGTCGCTGCCAACATTTATTGTCAGCAATTTGCAAAGCAACAGCAACTGGAACAACAACAACGACAACGACAACAACATTGTGCGAGCTGAGCTGAATTTAGCGCAGTTTATTGCTCCAAGGAGTCACAGTCTGAGCTGACACTGTCAGGACCAAGTTAGGGCAGTGGGAGTGCTGGACGGGGTGGGGGAGGAGGGATGAGGGATGAGGAAGGAAAGCAAGCATTTTCAAATTGAAGCGAAATGAATTTATTTTTGTTTTTAGTGTTGGGTGTGTGTGGGCAAGTGAGAGTGTATTTGTGTGCTTTGTGTGTGTGTGTGTTGGTGTCGTTGCATTGTTATTCCTGCTGTCGTGTAATCACTTTGAATGTGTGGGTACTCCTGTTGCTGATGCTCCGCTGCTGTTGTTGTAATCACTCAAGAAATTGCGCTACATTTGATGACAGCGATTTTCATTTCCTTTGCTTCGTTTGGCTGCCTTCTATTCTTGTAGAGATTCCGCAGCCAGTATCCCACGCCAGCCCACTTCTATGAGGGTCCATGGCAACAACAACGACAACGACAACAACGACGACTGCGATGCTGCTGTCTTGCCCAAGGCTCACACATGTACACACACAAGCACACAAACACACACCCCCGCACACCATCTCGCACACACATATATGCGCATGCCTTATGACGTTTGTTTAGTTAATTACGCGCCATGAGCTGTGACAATGATGATGTGTGCCGAGGAGCCTTGGAAAAACTCAAAGAAGAAAAAAATCTATCGCCAGTTCCTTTGTGCACTCAGAGAAAAATATGACGTTCTAAATTGCAGGCAAGGCCGAGATAGAATTCATAACAAGTTCTGCTCAATATTTCAGTTACATTTATAAGAATTATGTCCCTTAATTGGCGATTAAATATTTGCGATTTAAAAGTTTAATTGGATTAGGCAGAAAAAAAAATTTTTTTGCTAAGTCCAAAACTTTCTTAAAAGGAAAACAAGATTTATCAGTAAGGAATACGTGAATTAAAAAAGTTTATAAATTAATTTCATTTTCAAAAAAAGATTAATTATGGTTTTTTCTCTGAGTGTATATGTATGAGCCTGCGTGTGTATGGGTTGGATTCGTATAAGCTCGTTAGTTATTGCTGTTGTTGTTTTCGTTGTTGTTGTTGCGGCAAAAGGTCGTCCGGCGGCGCCTCTGCCTTCATCTTCTTCTTCTTCTTCGTGTTATTGTTGTTGTGTCCCAACACAGAAGCCCATGAAGAAATGTTTGTCATAATTGTCGGTACTTGTGCCTTGTCCCTCTCGCTTACGCCCACTAGGTGCCATTCTCTCTTTTGTTCTGTAATGGCATCTACTACGTTTCACTGACGGACTAAAATATGTGGCTATGAGTGTGTGTGTGTGTGTGTGCGTGTGTACATACATAGGTATGTCCCTTAGGCATCCATGAAAACACGTGCGACATTATTGCAGCAATTAGCCCGGCAAAATGTAGACAAATGTGTAATAATTCAATTAAGTTCATGTAACATTTATTTGATTTATTTATTAAGCTAATTTACCCCCTCGCCCCCCTACCACCCCACCCTACCTGATATTGATTGATGCCTGCTTTCGCATTGTTTGCCAGTCGAGTTTCGCTCGGAAGAGGATGACTATTCTGTAATTTCTCTATTGATCTCATATTACATTAAGCATTCGCTTTTGAAGTTAGACAATTTCAACTAGAATAACTGGAACACATATTGATTATAGATACCAAAAATGTATATTTCATTCATTCCCAGTTGTCAGAGTTAGACAGAAGCCAATTCGCGACCTGTTGTCAAACTGAACAGAACATTGCGGAATCGATTGTAGCCCTGATAAATGCTTTTTCGTGTGCGTCTCATTGTCTTTCTCTAATTAAAATAGCATATGCAACGCAGAAACCTAATGAACGAACCTTTGTCATTCGCAAATTAAATTTGAAACACTCCAACGAGCCAGATGCAAAGTTCTTTTTGAACTAATTTCAACGTACGCTGGCCGCTTAGCTAAAAGTTTCATGGACCCAACTGCACGCACACACGCACACACACACACACACACAGGCATAGTCATACACACGTGAGGGCGCAATTAGATTATAAGTTGGCATAGTAAAGAACTTTTGCACACAAAAGTCCACGTGCAAATTTATGGAAATTTAGAAAATGTTCGCATGCCATTAATTTTTAAAAACGCAGCCAAAAACACATATGCCGCAAGGCGACCGACCGACCGACCGACCGGGTCCAAAAGTTTTTGCTGCCAACGCATAGGGACCCACGACCAGAGCCAGAGCCAGAACCTCAACCTGAACCTGAGCCTGTGCCTGGGCCTGGGCCTGGGCAATGGCGATTCAGCTGCTTCGGGCCAGGCACAATGGAATTCCAGGCATGCACGGCCAAAAAGCAGAGCTGCCTTTATAAATTTTGAATACAAAGCAGCATTGCAAAAATTGAAAGAAAAAAAAGAAGGAAGCATTTTTTTCCGTTATGCAATGCAGTCCAGATGGGAAAATGCGAATGGCAATAGTAGGGAATAGGGATGGAAGTTTGGCGAGCGGTTGAAGCAACAACCCCCAAGCCGCAGACTCAGCCTCCGACTCCGACTAAGTCTCGGCCTGGCTGAGGCTGGCAGCCAATAAATGTGCTTTAATGATTTTTAAATGGTCAAGAATTTTTCCAATTTCCGCTCATTTGATTCGAGTAATCGCATCGTAATTGTAGTGCAAATGATCAAAGTTCGAATCCCCAGCTAAGACCACCCAGTGAGAGGCTCTGAAATATGGCCAAACATTTGTTTTGCGACCTTAAAGTCACCATTCCAGCCCAGTCCCTCAGGGAGCGCATGTCAGAGATGTGAGCAATTTGGAGTGTGCCTGGGACGACAGCGACTCGGACGCCGACTCGAACCCAAGGCTCAGCACTCACTCACCCAGAGGCTGTCTCCAGACCCCAGCAAAACAGTTGACGTCAAATGGAAAAATTGCCAATTCTTGCTTTTCTTACACAGCAAAAAAATAAGAACGAGCGAAAAGAGTCAAGAAATATTTCAGCGCATAAAACTTTTATGAGGCGTACTATTAGTGGGTTAGCGGGCTGAGCTCCAGCCTGAATTCATGGCAAATTGCACATTGTACACCCTTTTGCCCAGGCAGCTGCTGCTGCTGCTGCAGCAGCCCAACAATGGCTGCATAAATTATTTGCAACCACCGCCTCACCCCCTAGCAGCATCCCCTACCCCTGCTGGGCTAGTGCATAAAATTTAATCAACGAATCGCTGCAACTCTCGTATGTTTAGGGTTTGAATGGAGTAGGGTCGAGCGCACAATAGACCTGCTCCTGTTCCGGCTCCTGGTCCTGCACCTGGAGCATGGCACCTTCTAAGCTCGTTCATAATCGCATGTAACGCCAATTGTGACGACAACAACTGAGCACAAAACGACAACCTTCCCATTCTTCTGCCATTCTGGGCCCGTCGGCTACACTGATCGATTGTCGTGAATGCGCCTCGCACATGTCAATAATCAAATACAATTTGCATACCAATCAACAATGCACACATCCTTCTCAACCCCCTCGTATGTGTGTGCTCGCAGCTCCGCCTCAATCCCCTCATATGTAGGTGCTTGCAGGTCGAAGTCGCCCCAGGATTTACTTGTTACAAATCGAGCTGCATTTGCCACGACTTTGTGCAAAACTGAACAGAATCATAAAATAAATATATACATTCCTCGCATTCTACACTCATGTAGGGTATTATTATTAGGACCCCAACTTTGGCCTTTCCGAAATTTCGGGATATAACACGGATGCATTCGAACACCTTTTGAAATCCAATTCTTTTCCCCACTTTTCTTCCCACTTTTGCAATACTTCTGCTATACTTTTTAAAATTCTTGCTAATCTTCATTTATATTGTAAAATTTATTTATTGTAATCGTTTAGAATTAAAATACTCACACTGCGTTATGGGGTTGGGCTCTAAATTACATTTTCCATCCTTGTGTTGTTAAAGTATTAAATTCGTATTTTGGGTTCTTTTGAGTTTGGTTTATGCGCTGATCATTATTCAATCATTCAGCCAATCAGTCGATCAGGGAAAGTGAATAATTTTGTATATTTAGAAGAGTATTTAAACTTCTATATTTCCCAGTTTCTCTTTCCTGTTAAATATGCAACACGCGCTGCATCGTGACGCTGCGTTGCTGCTGCTGCAATATGCCGAATATTATGAATTTCCAATGCAAAGCGCCGCCCTTGCCGCGGATATGCCGCACAGCCGTAATGCTCCTCGGGGCGTCCTTGCGACACCAATTTGCACACAAACGCCTTCACTTAAGGCTGACGCTGCCACGTAGATAGGTTTAGGAATATCTCTTTTTTAAGACCAAATCGAAAATATCGTTTAGCAGATGAGCGAGAAGCGAGTTGAATAAGAAGTTAGCTACAGTAAATCCGAAGGCTGTTCCAAATAATTTGAATGTAAGGTTAACTATGGGAAATATTTATTATTATTTCTATCAAATCGAAGGGAACTTTTGTGTGGAGGCGTTTAACGTATGAGCGAGAAGCGAGTTGAACAAGAAGTTAGCTTCAGTAAATCCGAAGGATGTTCTGAATATTTTTAAATGTAATTTTATTATTATTTTTTATAAAATCGAAGCAAATTGTTGCCTGCTTTCAGGAGTAAGCGCCGATATTATGTATATTCAATGTGCAGCCGAATTAGAGGCTGAAGAAGCGGGAATATTTAATGCTGCAGGCACACACGCACACACACACACACATGTCAGGGTCGCACCTTTTGTATAATGTTGTGTTTCTGTTGTGTGTCGCGGGATTTTGTGTTTTGTATATTTGATTTGTGCATAATAATTGAATGCGCCCCGAGCCAGGCAAATAAAATTCACAAACAACGCGCCAGCCTCGAGGCATCAGTGCTTTGCCGAGGCTATCAATGGGGCGCTCGGACGGTGTTGATTTCATTTGGAGCAGCAGCAAAAGCAATTACCTCGACGGGACGGCTTAGGCGGTGGCAGCTTCTGCCAGCGTTCCCCTGGCAATATGCTTGGCCAGCCTTGCCACGGCTTTGAGCATTCATTTTGCATGCAACAACTTCTACAGCAGGCAACATATGTTGCATGTCAAATACACACACCCTATGCCCCAGCTGCCATCCGCATTTCACTTTAACTTCTCTACATGTGTTGCAGCTTCGAGCGCATTTTCCTCAGACCGACCGTCTGCGGCTGCCACACAAGACGCAATGGCTATGGCTGCCTACTCCTTCAGGTGGCATTAAAATAATGCACACGTGCACTTAACTTTATCCACGACTGTTTGTTTGCTGGTGTGTGTGTGTGTGTGTGTGTGTGTGGGGTGTGTGTTTGCAACTCTGCTGCAATGCTTCCATTGTTAGGCTACCGCCCATCCCCCGCTCCTTTGGCCGTGTGCTGCACAAATATTGAGACTCATACTTGAGCACATTAACGGGAGCTGGTGGCAGACGTCAGCCTGCAGGCCATCCACTACTTTGGCGGCCATTCAACCTGCGAATGCAACCGCCGCACACACACACACACACACACACACATACACAACAGCACAACAATGTTGTCTACAATGGCTGCCACGCCTACGCCCTATCCTACACAGCCAAGCAGCTGGCCAACGTGCTGCATTGTCGCATAATGAGCGTGCGTTGTTTTGCTCTGCCATTGTTTTATTCCGCCTTCAGGCACGCCCACTTCCATGACGGTTGCATTATTTGCTACAGTTGTTGGATTCGAGCATTTGAAGTAACAGACGTCTAATCACTTATTCTTGCTCTCACTCACTCACACACACTCTCTCTCTTTCTCTCTCTGCCTGTCTTTCTCTTTCTATAGCGCCACCCTCATCGATCGAGATCAAAGGCTACAGCCACAACTCCAAGGTGGAGGTGCGCGAGAATCAGGACCTCACGCTCAAATGCATCGTTGCCAATGCGAAGCCGGAAGCGCAAATCGTTTGGTATCGAGGAAACGTCGAATATAAGCCAGGTTGGTATACAGATATACATACGTACTATAACAACTAGCAAGGATTACTCGGCGTTGCCCGGGCATAGTATCAGTTTCAAGCTTCACCTTCATCAGGTCCGTCGATCAGAAGATTCAATAGTGTATGTGTATATACATACTTCTATGTTTCGCACATAATGCACTAATGTAATAGAAGGCAAGCGCAACATCAACATCAAGCCCACACACACACGCACACGCACACACGGACGCAGCTCGTGACAAGTGTCACAACACTAAGCCATCAAATTTAATGTCCACTTACACAGCAACATCCAGCCTCCAACGCATGTGTCTTCTAATGGCATACCCCCCCCCCCCCCCCCCCTTTCGAGCCCCTTCCCCACTTGCCCGTTGCTGCATCGACCCGATGAACGCTTTTAGGCAGCCCCCGCTTGGGCTACCGCGACGGGCTGATCCACTCTGGCCAAAAAAACAAAGAGAGAAAAGTGTAAATGGGTTTTGGCGCGGAAGATGGGGTACAAGGTAGCAGGGGAAAGGGGTAGGGGGTAGGGGTAGCCCTTTGGCTGTCAACCAGTTGGCCGGGGCACATATGAGACCCGCCCGTTGACTTTCTGCTTGATGACGGTGCTTAAATAATAATTTTATACCCTAACAAAACGGTCTCTTTTAGCTGCCGATGCTGACGTTTTCCCTTATCTGTTGGCCTCTGTTTGTGCCTTGTCATTGTGGCCCGCTGGCCGGCAGTCAGCCAAATTGGAAAACCGGAGCGTGGACGTTGCGGAAAATATGGAAAAATGCAAATGTATAAAGGCATCGGCAAAGGATGGCCAGGCTAACCAGGACATGGCCATGGGCATGGGCATGGGCATGGGCATCATACGGCGCTTAGTCGCTTAGTCGCCTTCACGACATTTAATTTTCATAATGATTATGATATGCGGCATACATATAGGTGTTGTCGAGCAGTGGGTGTGTGCTTGGGTGTATGTGAGTGTGGGTGTGGATCTGGGTGGCTAGTGGGTGTCGGGCTGTCGTCTCCGGCTGTCATTTGGCGGCTAACGAAATCATTTTAACACAACTGGCGCGTTAAAAATGCTTAAAATGTGAAACGCACAGCGACGATGATGATGGAAATTTTTGGGCAAACATAAAAAAAAACAACACACACACAAAAGAAAAGCGAGGAAAAACAAAATAAGAAAATTTCGCAAAACGGCGTAAAATGTAGGAAAATCCGCAAGGAAATGCGGGCAGCACAGGGGCCAGGAAGTGCTGGACGTAGCTGCATGATGAATTATGTTTACGACACAATATGTTGCGGCTGGACTGGCTGGTGGGCATGGTGCCCCCCCCCCCCCACTACCCCTCCCAAAAAACAAGACTTTACGACAATGGGCAGCAGCAGCGGGTCTGCAGGCTGTAGCATCATTTGCAAGCTGTCAGTGAAGCTGACTCGGCTCTGACTCTGACTCTGGCCCAGTGGCTCAGGGTCGTCCCAATATGTGTGTGGCGGTCGCGTAAATGACGGTTAATGCCAGTTCGAGGCATAGGCCGAGCAGCCTGCTCATTATCCTGCTGCCATGTTAAATACGGTTCAAGAGGGCAGTCTGAAAAGTATTCGATGTAGTAGAAAAATGATCGAATTTTTATTGGAAATATATTATTTCTCAACAAAATCTCCTGCCATCTATCCAAAAGAGTAAAATATTCTGAATCTAAATAAAGCCCATATACCAATTGATCAGTGTCTGGTTGCCTTTTTGGGCCGATTACTTTGGAGTCCACCCTCGTGTATATGCTCAACTCGTGGATAGTTGAGGCAGCTTCATTTAAGGCCAAATCGTATGCTACAATCGGCCTACAGAAAGACAGAGTAAAAGGGAGAGAGAGGGAGAGAGAGAGGTAGAGAGAAAGCGAGAGACTCACTGCAGATACTTCAGATACAACGAGCCATTGACAATTTATGACCAAAAATTATGTCACAAAATGTGCGCGTAGCAAATATTACACAAAATATGCGCCTACAAATGAATTCCATGGGTCGTGGGTCAGGGCAAAAGGGGCAACAGAATCACGAGGGGGGGTGCGAGCAAACTTCATAAAATATGCGTTAAACTTTATGACAACGACTTAGACGCGGTGCGGGACGGGAAGAGGGGCAGAGGAGCTGCACGTACGCGAAAATGGCGTGCAAATTTTGCAATACCCAGTCAGAGGGGAAACGCCCTTCACACCATCACACACCCTCACATTCACACACACTCACACACACACATACACCCGCCATTTTAATTTTCTTTGTGTAGAGCTCGACCGAGTGCTGCTGTTGATGTTTTGTTGTTGTTATTATGATAAATCGCAGACATTTAACGCAGCGCACAAGAATTTATAACACACGCACACACACAACACACTCAAACACTCACACACACACACAAGCTCAGCTGCATTTTTGGAAGTTCGCTTGTTGCGTCATCATTTATGGCAATACGAGTCCTAGCCCGACCCCCCCATCCACACATTAGCAGCAACTGCAGACGACAGGCAAATAAACTATAGAATTCATGTATCTATTCATGCAAAACTGTTTCTGACTGACTGACTGACTGACTGACTGACTGTCTGATTGACTGACTGACTATCAGCATGCAAAGCGTTAAGAGGAAGCTTAACTTTGATGTGTAATTAAAGACCACGACAGGTCTTTGATGCAAGCGTGTCAAATTTGTAAATGTTCCTTTTCACCAACCGAGTCAAGCTCATTTTCATGAAATGCTGAAAAATTCTAGATTGGCCGGGCAATGCCTGGCAATACCTTTTACAGAATATATTTACATTAAGCTATGGTCTGAATAAATAATAATTGCTGTCGATTGTTTCTTTCAACTCCACAGATAAACGCGACGATAAGGTGGAGGAATCGACACCAAAACGCTATACGACAACCTCCAGCCTGAAGCTGAAGCCCGGCGCGAACGATGACTATACGGAATACACCTGCCAAGCGAAGCACAAGGCTCTATCACCGGATATGCCCATGCGTGCCACCGTGCAACTGTCCGTGTTGTGTGAGTAGAGTTATAGATTCTGCTTGCAATTGCAATTGCAATTGCGAGGCCTGTGCCGACAAGTGGCCAACGGGCCAGCGGGCCAGCGGGCCAGCGGGCCAACTGGGATGCCTTTTGTATGGCATGTCATATATATGCGAACTGCGAAATGCCAAATGCCGACCTCATTAGCCAGCTCAAATGGCCAAGTTTGCAATACAATTGAAATGCTAGCCGCGCGCGTTTATGCCAAGTACCAAGTGCCCAGCTCACCCAAGCCCCGGCTCGGGCCGCAACGAGGTGCCAGCCAATGCTGACCCGCAAAACACGGCCAGCCGCCTGACGGCCGATAGATGGCTACCGATGGCCACAGCCGGTCGCTCTGATGGCCTCCGCGGCCGCTAATTGCGCAATTGGCGCGCGTATTAATTAGTTTTTAAATTCTAATGCGATGCCCAGCTGCTGCATGCTTCATGCGCCAAGGGGCACGGGGCACGGGGCACAGGTCAGGGGACATTGTGTGATGTGTGTTTGGCAACGTGAAGCGGCACGGCAGGTCACAACAATTCCGTGCCCGGTGCGTCGCATTTGCGTATTTCCGTTATTGATTACCGGCGCTGGCTGGCCAGGTAACCAATGCACCTGGTCAAGCAGCCCAGCTCGGCACCTGCCCCAACACACATTACGTACGCCATATTCAAATTAATTATGTTTGTTATTTATGCATAGGCTGCTGCCTATGACCGGCAGGCTGAAGCTGGCCACGAGGCTATTATTGACGCCGCCATTCATTCCGCCATTTCGTGCCATTTGGCCATAAGCCTGCCCGTTGACCTAATAGATTTCAATTGTCAAAGCAACCAAGCAACCGAACACACTCTTTGTATTCTTAGTAGTAGACACTCCCGTCTCCAATGAAGTCAATGTACTACTCATCTATGTATATATCAACAGCCAAGATGACTTAGTCAAGTCCGTCTGTTGCTATGCAAACCAGTCTCTTACTAACATCTTGGCCAGTTATTTTGTTAAATTCAGTTCCTGTGTAATAAAAATAGGAAAAATCAATCGAGCATTGAGCACAGGTAAAGGGACCTCTTTAAGATAGCCGAAAGTTTGATTCTTACTATGCTCCCCAGCTATGAGCAAAATCTTATCAATAGTAGTCCGACTATTCATTTAGCTTTGGAACAATCAGTCGACATGGGTATTTAGTCGTCGAATGCTCTTTCTTTTCAATTGGCCCAATTTGATGCATGGCAGCTGATATATGAAATACGGACATGTGATGGATATGTTTTCATCGATAACAGGCACACACACACACACACACACATATATCCGACGTGCGTGTCTGAGTGTGTGCTAGTTATAAATATTTATATATCTTAATTGCGGCTACACTTACGCGTATCTCTGGGACATGCACATTGCCGTGCAGTTGGGACATACTCATATACACCCGTGCTCAATTATGCGCTATTATTGCACCCCGAGCCCCGCAAACTGTGGCCCGTTACCCGTTACCCGTAACCCGTAGCCCACACCCTTCGTCCTGTCATTTGCAAGAACTGGCCATGGTGTAATCGGATTCAGTTGGCCACATGCTGGGCTCTATATGTATGTATATTCATGGGCAAGCGCCGAGGCAACCGATACTCGCACAATATTTTAAGTGATATTAATTTAATTTTGTGCCGGCTCTGCATGTGTGTGTGTGATGTGTGTGTGTGTGGCATACATTACAGCACACCTCGTTCCCTCTTTTGTATTTCATTTTTATAAATTTGACCTGCGCATCAATTTGGAAGCGTTTAAAGGGCGCTTTTAACAAGTCGCATTGTTTATTGTCTGTGGCATTTAAAATGTTATTAAACCGCCCACAAACATGGAAAATTACAGACAACATTTCGTTGCACTTTAAACAAATGCAATGTAGTTGCACACACATTTTAACAGGGCCCCGCCCTAAGTGCAAATTGCAAAAAAATAATAATAATAATAAATAAACAATACAAAGAGGAAAAGGGAAATCGGAAAATAATGCGTTTGACCACATAAACGATTTGCATGCAAACACTTCAATTAAAAATCGCGCACAAATTCTGCTGCATATGCCCGCTTGTCCATGTCTGCCCGGCCTGGTGGCATGCCGCATGGCCAACTGTTCGACTGTCCAACTGTCGAACTGTCCAACTGGCCAACTGGCCACATTTGTTTTAGTGTAAATTGAATTTATTTGTGGCAGCCACTACAATTAAATATGCACGCAAAAAATACAGACACACACGGGTTTTTGCTACTGCTATTTCCATTATCCATTATCCAACTATACACATATAGATGGGCTTATAAACACGTCGCACTGTTTTACTATTGTGTTTGCTCTCTTTTCTATGCAACCACAGATCCACCCGGACCACCCTATATCGAGGGCTATTCGCCCAGCGAGACACTGCGACGCGGCCAGACGGTGGAGCTGATTTGTCGCAGTCGCGGCGGCAATCCGCCCGCGCAGCTCATCTGGTATAAAAACAACTCGCAGATACGTATGGCCTACAGGTAAGTAAGGCTACTAAGTGGGCAGCTGAATGCAGCTCACCATCATGCCCTTAATCCATCTAACTGCTTGCAGAACCTCGGGCCGGCTGTCGGAAAACATTTACACATTTACCGCCGAGGCGAGCGACAACAAGGCGCGCTTCCGATGCGAGGCGAGCAATGTGATGTCCCAGACACCGCTCAAGGCGGAAGTGGATTTGACTGTTCTATGTAAGTGCAACCACCCAGTCACCCGACCACTCTCGAGCTGCAGCCCCATCGTCATCAAAGTGAACCTTTGGTGGCACTTGAATCTCTCTCTCTTGCCTACCGATTCTCGCCTGTCCAGAGCCAGACTCTGGTGCTCGTTATGCAGACGGTGGCAATTGCCTACTACTGCAACGCCTGCGACTCCTTTGCTTGTTTGCCTAATTGTATTTCGTTAATTTTCATATTTACACACACTCGCACGCACACACACACTTATACTAACACTCAGATTCCGTTGCTGGTTTGTGTCAACAGTCGTCCTTTGCATACTCGCTGCATTCCACAGAACCTGCCACTTGGCACGCGACACAAAGCGAAAATAAGCCTGACAACATTCTCTCTCTCTCTCTCTCTCCTGCTCTCTCGCTCTCTGGCTGTTGCTTTCTTTTGCAATTAAGCTTAAGCTTGCACTTTGTACCCGCACCCCACTTAGCTTTGTCAAATCAAGCAATGCAAATTCTTTTCAAGTGCCAAATAGCACCATTCCCCCCCCCGCTCACTTCTTACCTCTTCCCTTAGCATCCTCTCAGCCACGCCTCTTTACAACAATTGCAATCAGGCTGAGGCGCAGCAAGCTTAAAAGTATGCGACGTCTGTCCAAAACGTCGTTATTCTACGGCATTTGCATGCAGCTGCTCCAGCTTCTAGTCTTCCCCACCCCACACTCTTGTGTCTAACATGCAAATGGGCTTTGACTTGAGGGCATACGTCGCGTATGCGTGATATTTAAATTTGAAGCGGCGAGCCACTCGCCCAGCTGAATTGTCGCTGTTTAGCGCTAGTTTTACCTGGCAGCATGTTTGCATAGTATGAAAGGCTTTAGGCGAACCTGTTGGCACGTGGCCCAGCCAATCCCGCAACTACTCGGACGTGGCCAGGACTTGTCCAGTTGCTGGCGATTGCCAATCAAATTGGCTCTTGTTTAGCCTCAAAGAGCTTTCCTTGTTTACCTTGTTTAGCCCCCAAAATATGCCACATTGAGTGGCCACTCGCACGCACACACACACACGCCCGCACACACGTACACACGCATATACATTGACTTCAGCTGCGCTCGCTCTTGGCAAGTAGCACGCATTATTTATGTATAAAGAAATGTGGCACAAAAATGAAGACGTAGTAGGAATACACATTGAGCCCTGCCCCACCCTCAGTCGGTGTGCGTGTGTGTGTGCGGAATGAAGATGTATGGCGAAATATGCGAGAAGTTAAGAATTCATAATGTTTATTTATATGCGAAACATATCGAGACGAAGTTTTGTATTCCCCGGTTGCAGACCCAATCGGTCCACTACGGCGAATGCGTAATATATGCACAGCTGCTGCTGCTGCTGCTGCGGCTACTGCTACTGCTACTGCTGGCTGGATGACTGGCTGCCTGCACTTATCCATCAAGGCAAATAGCTGACAGAAGCCAGCTGCAGCTTCTGCTCGTTATTGGAATTAGGTAATAGCTCGGCACAGCACAGTCGCCTGTCACTCAGTCACTCAGTCATCATTTGCATGCAGTCAGCCAGTCTCTAGCCAGGCTCTGCCCCACACGCGGCAACGAGCGAGCGATACGCAGTATGTGAAGCCGTGCGGCATGCCACAAGCAAGACAGCGTCTCACATTGACGCAGGCTTATTAAATATTAATGCTGTGCGAATTTACTGATGCTCCGAATCTGACTCCGGCTCGTTTTAACTAAAATTCCCCTTCTACTTCCATCTGATCCAATACAACCCACAGTCGCACCTTCGCAAGTGACGGTGACGGGTCCGACGGAGGCACGCGTCGGCGACGTTGTGCCCTTGACATGCGCTACAGCGCCATCGAACCCGCCCGCCGAGATCAAGTGGATGGTTGGTGGCCGCCAGATACGCAATGCCACATCGAAGACTGCCGTCAGTGCCGAAGGTGAGTGCAAACTAGATGTACAGAAATATGTTAGCTTGAGCACACTTTATTAATTCACTAATCGTCTTCAAATGTATCCATTTCAGGCGGCTGGACAACCAGCTCGAACATCACGACCATCGTGGAGCCCAATAAGCGTTCCCTGGTGGTCATCTGTCATGGCCTCAACATGCAGCTCACCGAGAATGTTGTCTCCACGCACACGATTAACGTTCTATGTAAGTAGCAGCATTATAATATGATTTCTTTTTTGATATCACCAAAATTCAACTGCTGCGAATAGTACTGTCCCAAAAATCAGTCAAATAATCTGTAATACAGTTTTATTTGAGATTGTGAAGACAGATTTTCATCATATTTAATTGCTCACAAATTGTCGCATCGTGCAGTCTGTCGCCCACCAGGAAGCCATAATTATATTTTCGCCAACTTTTTCTTCGACAAAAGAGTTGTTGTTGCAAGGTCTTGTCCGACAAATCAAACTAGTTGCAATTATGAGGATTTGACTAGGATATTTGAAATTTAACTCAGTTTGCTTTGAAAGTCTTAACACATACGTTGTAAATCATCGATTTAAGCATATTTAATAACATTGGGTTTGTGTAATTACATGTGTGCATTACTTTTGAAACTTTTGTAATGTATGAGTTTCCGCGATGTGTGTCATCCGAGGATCGGGACACTATTTCTTCTGAAGAGATTCCGTCTAAACAAGAGATAAAGTTCAAGATTCCAACGAAAAAGGCCCCCAAGAAAGATGTCGCCAAGAATAAGAGGGTCATGACCGTGCTGGAGGCGGCACGCTACGAGATGTGGCGCGAGCATCGCCACCGCCTACAAAATGTGGTGAGCGATCTGGACAAGGAGCCGCCCTCGTTCCAAGCGGTGCGATTAACCGGTGTGAATAAACTGCGCGACCAGGCGGTTAACTACATGCAACGCACCAAAGAAAACATACATATGCTGTTGGGTTTGTCGCAGACTATGCGCACCCACGGCGCCATTAAGCCCTTCCGCTACGAGAGTCCCAATGTGATGTCTGCAGTGCCAGGAATAATTAACAATCTGGAGAAAATGGAGCAGGATAACCATGATCTCGGCATGCGCATCTTGGATGTGGTCAGCGAGGTAGACTCGGGCTTAAAGACCGATGGCCATACCAACAAACAACCTACGCAGCCGTTCACCATGCCCGATCAGGCGCTGGCCAAGTATAAGCCTTTCAACATCAAGCTGCCCAGCACAGATAAAGAGCGCTGGCAGCTCTTTCGTCCACGCATCTACTTTGATATCTATCTGAAGGAAGCGCGCCCACTGGGTCGCTTTGTCGTCCAACTGTACACGGAGGCGGCCCCAGTGGTGGTGCTGCAACTGGTGCGCGCCTGCATGTGCAACATGCACAATAAGTTTTTCATCAAGCGGCTATTTCCCGGCCTCTGGCTGGACGTGGAGCTGCCCACGGAGAACAATGCGGCCCTGCATCGACCTTTGGAGTATGATGGCAAGATTATTGACCATGGTGTCTCCAACTATGTGCTTTCCTTTAGCAAGACACACCTGCAGGGTTTCCGTGACAATCTGTCCTTTTCTATTTCCTTCAAGCCCCTCCAAGTTGTGAATGGCTCACGCGTCGGTTTCGGTCGCGTCATCAAGGGCAGCAAAATCTTTGAGTGCCTCCAAAGCTATGGCACTAAGAACGGCACCCTCAGCCGCGGCATAATCTGTACCAGCTGTGGCGTACTTTAGTCCGTACACTAAGCTTGACAAAATTTTATGTATTGCCAGTAAACCAGCGTATAAGTAAGCAGCATCTGATTTACTGATTACTGAATGGGTGGGAATTGAAAAAACCGCGAACGTCTACTGTGTTTCTTGACCTCCCTGATGAAGGGAATAACGCTTTGATCAGTTGCTTTATCCTATCCAAGGAGGGCATCTGTTTGATGGTTTCGCCGTCGTCCAAGCAGAGGCTACATGTTAGTTTGGTTAGTTTGGTATGTAAAGGGACGTTAACTCTTCGAAGTACCAGAGAATCATCAGTTCGGATTTTTTCAAATAGAATGCCGAACTTACATTTCAAACTTAGTGACCTATAGTTTTAGGTACGTTCTGACTTTTAGTTTAATTCTTTTAGTCTATACCGACTTTCCGAGTAGAAAAAAAAAAAAAAATAGTGAAATTTGTATGATTTATTTTTATTGTATTAAGTTTAGATAACGCGTACCAGTCTTTGATTGAACAGCCATGCCAGAGTTGCCGAAATGTGTCTCAGGCGATTCTTTCGATTCTCTTGAAGAAAATCCGGTTCGAGAGGCTCAATCGGGTGTGCAGCCAATAAGTAAAAAAGTGACGACTTTTACGAAAAAGAAGCCCAAAGTTAAAGTGGGCAATACGCGCCACATAGAGGCATGGCTAGAGCTTCGTCATCGAGTGCTCAATGTTGTGAGTGAGGTAGATACGAAACCTCCCGGCTTCCAAGCGGCCCGTATGACCGGCGTAATGGGCTTGCGGCAAAATGCAGAGTCCTACAATGCGCGTACCAAGACGAACATTCAGATGCTGGTAGAGATATCAAAAACAATGCGAACCCATGGTGTCATAAACCCATTTCGCCATGAGCGATTATATACAACGTCCTCGCTGCCAATGACCTTAAAGGTAATGGCTCGCATTGACCAAGAGAATCAGGACATTGCCAAGCGCATTCTGGATGTAGTCAGCGAGATCGATACCGGTCTCCCAGCGAAAGACAAACGGCCCAAAAAATCTAATCGATCCTTGCAGCCGTTTGTTATGCCCGAAAAAAGCCTGGAAAAGTACAAGGGCTACAACATTAACATGCCCAAAACGGACCAGGATCGCTGGCATCTCCTGCGTCCGCAAATTTACCTGGACATATATTTAAAAGGCTCACGTCCGCTCGGCCGTATCGTCGTCCAACTGTACACGGAGGCGGCCCCCGTGGTAGTGCTGCAGTTAGTGCGTGCCTGCATGTGCAATAGGTACAGCAGTCTGGTTATTAGGCGACTGTTTCCAAATCTCTGGCTTGATGTCGAACTGTGGGACAGTGGCAACTCGGACCTGAATCAGCCCATGGAGTACGATGGCAAGATAATTGATCATGGTGCCTCCAGTTATGTGCTGTCCTTTAGCAAGGAACATTTGCAGGGATTTCAAACTTATATGTCCTTTTCAATTTCGTTCAAGCCACTCGGCGTGGTGAACGGTTCCCGCGTTGGCTTTGGTAAAGTTGTGAAGGGCACTAAGATTCTGGATTGCCTCCAAAGCTATGGCACCAAGAACGGAAAGCTTACCCGCAGCATTATCTTCACGGCCTGTGGTGTGCTATAAATTTTATGTGAACGTAACCAAATTTAAAGTTAACTTTTTACAACTTTCGAAAACTCTTACACGACTCTTACTTTCTGTTGTTGGGTTGGGAGAATACGACTGCGGCTACGACTATCCCGGGCTTCTCTCACAGACTGTCATTAACATCCACACTTGCCACATAAAAGTCCAATCAGTTGCCAGCGCTACGTCAACGCTTGTCAATCTGTTCAGCCCCCCAACTTTTTCCCTTCACGACCGACATAGTTCTCTCTAGTTGCTGCTCCTGCTGCAACCATGTCCAGTCACATCTCATCTATATTTGCCACGTTACAAACGCAGGTGTCTTAAACTCCATTATGCCATGTTCGACGTCACTCTTCATTTGCCTCAATTATAAGTGGACAGCATGAGGAAAAAGCGCAAAACACAGCGAACACAACGAACACGAAAATCATCGAGAGGGGGGCGAAAGAGAAAAAGAGCTGACAGTCCAACCACCAAACCAGCAACCAGCAGTCACTTCTCGATAACAAGATGCCAACTTGGTAACATGGCCAGGACACAAGGCTTATTAATAATTGCGCCGACTTCCTAGTTTCAGCTTTGACTTAGTCAACGCCAGTGGCAACAACTGTAAACAAAGCCAGCGCTGTGTGGGCACTTGGAAGGCCTTACTCCACTCCATGAGTCCTTTTTGTGCAGCTCCTGCAGCGCTAATTAATTTTTCTGCCCACCATCAGCGGGGCGAAGCCGAAGCCGTAGCCCGACTGTGAGATTTACATTTATTACCCATATTCAGGCCCTGGGGTAATGAGATTCCCATAACCCCCTCTAAAACCCATCTGCCCAGTGTCCAGCAACCGCTTTGTGCTGAGACGTTGCAGCTGCCACTTGGGTGGGACATAGAATTTGTTCCACTCTCTTCCTCTCTTCATCCAGCTGCTCGGGAATTTAGAAATATTCAAGGCCGAGCCGCTGTGTCTTATGTGAATATGCGCTGGCCCTCGGGGAGACCCTCCAGATACTTGTACTTTATGCGCGGCAAATTAAATAATTTTAATTTTTATTGTTTCGGCCCGTTGCGACGTCACAGCGGTTGGTCCTGTTTTTGGGTTGGCTTGGCTCCGACTCTTAGTAGGCCATAATTTGCTGGCCAAGTTTTTGGGAGCTCGCTCTCTTTGTTTTTGCCAGGTCCTTTATGCTGACGTTTTTCTCTATATTTTTCGCAGATCCGCCCGCGCCGCCATTAATTTCGGGCTATATGGAGGGACAAATTATACCAGCCGGGTCGGTGCAAAAACTGCTCTGTGTCTCATCGGGCGGCAATCCGCTGGCAACGTTAACGTGGTATAAAAACGACAAGCGGGTAAGTTTTTGTTGCTGTTTTTTGTTTTTGCATATGCAGCACAGCATTTGCGACACACAGGCAAAACATACAAATAAGAGTGCCCGACTAGGAGTTACCATGTAAAATAGATCTTTGTTACATTTTCATAACTAGCTTATTCCATATCTACATATCATGTTTGGCCATATTCTTCCATCGAATCGATTCGGAAATAGGATAAGATTTCGATAAAAAGAACGTATATTTCAAATCTTAGGTGTCTAGCTATATTGATTTCTAGACATGCATGACAAATCATGATGAACAATATATGCGTGTTGGATCCACAAATGCATTCTTCGTATGGCATAGATTCGCTAGCTGGTATACTCTATTTTCCTTATTTCAATGGGTACAGGGTACAAAAAGCTAACTAGAGCAACAGAGATAGAAACACACACATACACACACACACACACACACACACACACACACACACACACAGTTGGACTCGTTATGCTATCAACAGCAGACAACAAACATGCGCCAAACAATAATGACGCTTTTGTTGACCATTTCCGCTTCCGCTTTATGGGCTGAAAGTGCTAATAAGGCGTTAGCAGCCCGAGTGCCGTTTTATACTTATATATCCAGATATATTCTCTGCCTCTTTTTGCACCTGCAGTTTGATGCGCTATCGGGCAATTAACGTTGCCTTGGTCTAGCTGAAAAATTAAATCTTTAGCTGGGCTGGGCCTCAACGGAAGTGGCCACAAGCTGGCACAGCTGCTGTTGCATACTTATGGGGGCAACTTCCTGCCACTGTCCCAGCCACTGTCACTGCAGCAGCTGCAACGTTGATATACAACAAATGGCAAGTGGCCACCGCCAGCTGCCTTCTGCTCACTGCTGTCACAGCAACGGAAACAAGCAACTGCTGCACGCCCAGCTCTCGCCATCTTTATCACCATTGCGGTTTGGTATCTATCCCAGTCGAAAGGCGCTGCCCGGGGGTTTTCGCTGGTGCCGCTGCTCATCTGGGCGCGCAGATTAAATGATATTTTATCAACAAAATTAAAATGCGCTGTGTTTTACGCCAGCTCTTGGCTTCGCCCGCCAGCTGCTCCGCCAGCTGCCGCTGTCTGTCTCTTTGCATATGCAGCACATTGCCGCGAGTTGTTTTGCTTTTAGCTCACTTCGCGCCCACTTTTTTTTATCAGTATGTGTGTGTGGTTTTTTTTTCCTTTATATACCCTGTAGACTTTGGCAATGGTTTGTGAAACTGTGCAGTTATTGAGCACACATACAAATTTTGAGAGAACATAGAGGCACCTTTTGGTATTTGCTTATTTGATAACTTTGCTCTCTGCTCCAAAAATTGAAAGTTGGAAAGCCTACAGCCCTGGATTTTGGTAAACTAAACTTAAATGCAATTTTTAAGTTCTGGAAATTGTAAGCTTATCGAACCGTGAAGAAGGAAGTTATATAAGAAAGCATATTTTATAGTATAGTCCACAAGTCCTTGCGGCTTGTGTTTTTATGTATGTGTAAAAGCCTGTCTGGAAACACGGTATCTCAACGCTAGGCACTCTCGACTTGAACACTCTGGGTTTTTGTTGTCCTGTTTTGGGGAGGTGTATGTTTATTTTTTAGCCAACGGCAAATGTACATACATTATGCCAACTGACGCAATTTACCTTTGCTGTTGCTTTCCAGATCAACTCCGTCATTCGGGCCGCAGACAAATCCGTTTCGGCCGAAATAACTATTTTGGCCAACGTCACCGACAACCAGGCGCAATACCGTTGCGAGGCCTCGAACAGCGCCACGGAGATACCACTTTTTGAGTCTACTACGCTGAGTGTTCACTGTAAGTAGTTGTTGTTGCCGCACAGAAAAGTCGTTGAAGACAGCTCATGCCATTATTATCCGCTGGCTGTGCTTACAGTTGCGCCAGAGACGGTAAAAATACGCATTGAACCGGAAGAGCTGCGACCTGGCATGGAGGCGACCATCATTTGCGACTCGAGCTCGAGCAATCCACCGGCAAAGCTGTCCTGGTGGAAGGATGGGATTTCCATTGAAGGTACGTAAGCGCCAAAGATTTTGGAAGTTTGCCCAGGCGGCAGGGCATGGCATGGCATGGTGTGGACTTGGCGGCGCCGTTGTCAAAATGGCAGCTGCTGCTGCTGCTGTTGCTGCTGCTGCGTCCTCCCAAGAGCTGATGCCGCCGTTGCATTTTTTAAGGCGTTTCCACGACAACATCCGGTCTGGTTGCCAGCCAGTCAACTGGCCCAGCCCAGCCAACGTCCAGTCCAGTCAGTAAAGTAAAATCACGCCCATTTTGTTTTTTTTCCTCCTGCTGCTCCTGCTGCTGCTGCTGCTTCGCAGGCATTAATAACACGTCCAAGCCAGGCCTCTGGGGCGGCACGGTCTCCACGCTCGAATTCAGGCTAAACATCACCCAGGAAATGAACGGTGTGGTCTACACTTGCCAAAGCGCCAACGAGGCATTGCAGCGCAGCGTCCACGAGGCAATCAGCCTGAATGTGCTGTGTAAGTAGTCCGTCTGGATACCTAATTGAGCAATTAGACTCCATCTGAATCTGAATCTCAATTTAAATTGGAATTGAAATTGGAATTGGAATTTAAATGCTTCTCCTTTTCCATACCCCCCCACACACAAACACACACATGCATAGATCGTCCCAAGTTTGTGCCGCCGCCCTCGTTGACGTCAGTTGGGCTAGAGGGTGAGTCCTTGCAGGTACCGCTGCAGGCCAATGCAAATCCTGCCCTAATAAGCTACACTTGGACAAAGAACGGCACACCCATACCGCAAGATACCAGCGGCAGCGTCTCCGCCGGAGAGCATCGCATCTTTGCGGATGGCGCTGTCCTCAACTTTACCAAATTGCATCGCGAAGATTCCGGCGTCTACTCGTGCACGGCCAGCAACTCCCAGGGCAAGGCCAGCATCAACATAACCGTTGTGGTGGAATGTAAGTACCTAAAGAGACCATATAAGTACGCCATTAAGCAACTGCTCATGCACAGATGGCACCGCCATTAAGTCCGTCTCGGAGAATATCATTGTCAATCCGGGCGAGGATGCCATGTTGTCCTGCACCGTTGAGGGAAAACCGCTCGCCGACGAACATGTCAAATGGGAGCGAGTGGGCTACGACATGAAAGTAAAGACCACAACAACCTTTACCAATGGCACCGCCTATCTGCACATTAAGAACGCGCAGCGCGAAGATGTCGGAAACTTTCGGTGCGTGGCCGACAACCACGTGGCCAATCCCACCAATAGAGATGTGCTGCTTATAGTCAAGTGTAAGTGATTCAACGGCTACTCATTATTGCGTCTGCTACTCCCAACTTCCATTTGCAGTCGCGCCGGAGATCGCCAAGTCGCCGACGCTGCTGCGAGCCGCGAGCGGAACTGGGGAGCGCGGACGACTACCCTGCCGAGCGCAGGCCTCTCCGAAGCCGCAGTTCATTTGGCGCCAGGACGGCAAAGATCTGCCCATCAATCACACATTCAAATACGAGCTGGAGGAGCGTAAAATCGACTCGCTCACCTACGAGTCGTCGCTGATTGTTGAGAAGGTGGCGCCCGCCGACTATGGCGCCTACGAGTGCGTGGCCCGCAATGAGTTGGGCGAGGATGTCGAAACGGTTCGTCTGGACATTACCTCCCAGCCAGAGCCACCGCTCAGTCTTAATATACTGAACGTTACCCATGACACTGTCACCGTAGCCTGGACGCCGGGTTTTGATGGCGGCCTGAAGGCCTCCTATCGCGTCCGATACCGGTATGTATCCCGTCCTCCCAATCCGAAAACCCCGTTCTCCAAACCTTAAGTTCATTCCATTGCAATTACTGCAAATGTCACGCGCACTAATGAAATTGCCAGCTCGACCAGAAGCCTTCCCTTAACCCGTTGCATTTTCCCTCTCTCTCTCTCTCTCTGTGTGATTGCAGGATGGCCGACCGCGAGCAGTACAAATACATTGATGGGCTTCCCAACAGCCACAAGCTGACCATCGGGGGGCTGCGGATGAATACGCTGTATCTGTTTTCGGTCATGTCGTGGAATGATTTGGGCCAGAGCTCCTACCTGCCGGATTTGGCGCGTGCCCAGACCAAAGGTAAGCAAGGCTTTAAGCCGCGCAAAATATTCAAATTAGCCGGGGGCCAAGTGCCTGTCCCGTCCTGGCGCCAGCCTCTCCACATTGATTTATGCGCCAACCGCCAGTTGGCATTTATGGTCATCCGCTGTCCATTCAGTCGCTGTGCCAGAAAATGAAGTGTCCACTTCCCCTGAGATTGGCACAGTGGTAGTTGCTGCCACTTTCTGTTCCACCCAGCGAGATTCCTTCACTCAATGATCTCTCTCTCTCTACTTCAACGCTGCACTTAATTGGAATTGTATTATGGCCATCAACAACGTCCACGACAACATCAACGACAACTACAACACGGCCAAACCTCGACCTAAAACATGAATACACGCTGGATACGGCCGCACCGCAGAAGCGCCGCCTCCCTCGCAACCGGCTTCCTCGCTGGGCGGTGGACCGCCAACCACTAGTCAGACACCGCTGGGTGGCACATCGGGCATACTGCTAGTCGGCATCGCGGCGGGAATTACATTGGTTCTGCTCAACGTGCTTCTCATCGGCTGCTGTATTCACAAGCGCAACGAGAAGCGTCTTAAGCGAGGTATATTATCAGCGTCGCTCAAAAAGGAATATTGTATGGGGTTGTTGATGTTGTTTTGTCTAAATTATGCAGCTGGTTGACTGACTGATTGTGGATGGAATACATCTCAAACTCATACATCTGCTCAAAGTTCATTCGATTCCCCTTACATAAAGAGATTTTAAATTTAAGGAAAACAATACTTGCTAGCTGTCACAGCGGATGACCATCATATCATTTGAATTTATAATCCAGCCCCACGGTTGGCCCCACGGTCCTCTGCTACGTGCCGTGTGGTCAGGCGTCGGACGGCGCTAATTTCATTTGCCCGTCACATGTTGAGGCTGCGTTTTCGCGTGCGCCATTGTGACTCCATGGCTACGTGATTTGCGTCACTTTTGCATGGGTTCCTTAACCGGGACCAGATACATTCAGCTCTAGCTGGAAATGGGGCGCGACCGCAGAACTCCCAGCGCCGACTACCCGGCCCCCGAGCAGCTCGCATCCATTCCATTGCCCTGGAGCGCTGCTGCGTCATTTTTATTGCAATTTCTCATTTCGTTTCGAATTTATTTATTGTTTTATTTTTGCAAGCATATTTTTTGTTTTTTTATTTTTTCCATGATTTCGTTTGGTTCGCTTCGGTTGGCTTTGGTTTATTTTGACTCGATGTCGCGACATTGTCATGGACCAGGACTTGAAATGATGCCAGCCGAGTTAACTGAGGATTCCAGCAACACGCCGAATCTGGTCATAATTGGCATCTCTCTGGCGGCATTCGGATTTCTTTTGGTCAATGCGGCGCTCGTCGCTTGGTTCTTTGTACATCAGCGTCGGAAAAAAGGTTCGTTGACATGGTTTTTATTTATTTAATCTTATTTCCTTTCACATACATATTTATTATTGTACTTTTGTGTGTCTGGCTTGTTATTTATTTATTTTTTTTTGTTGCCTCTGCGTTTTAAATTTGAGCTCTAATCAAGCATTTTCGCCCATGCAAATTATACTTTAAATTCATGAACACCCTTATTCTTGGCGTAATCGTTAAGTCTTAAGTCAGGCTGCAGCCACTTCGTGGCTCTTGCACCACTTCCGCGACACCACAGGAAGCAAACGCGTTGTGCAACATCCGATGCACCCAGTGGACGTGGCTGCTCACTTTATGATGCTCACTAAACAATTTCCTGCATCTACATAGATGATATACACACAGATACAGATAGATAAAGGTGGGGCGGGCTATAGGTCTGGATATCGTATATGCGCAATATGCGCTTCTTGTAATTTCCGCGAGAAAACCAGAGCCCAAGCATGGCAAGGAAACAGCCAAGTCAAAAGGGAGAACGGGAAAAGCGAAATGCGAAAAGAAAAACAAACCGCTTTCTGAGCAGTCAACAAGAATATAATGATGACAGAAAATAATGATGCATCCTGGCAGCGGACAGCAGCGACGACTCGGGGCCATGCCAAGTGCAACTGTTTATTGAACAACGACGTTGGCAGCCACCTCGTCCGGTTGCCCAGTTGCCCCGGTTGCTCCCGTTTGCCCCACTTGCCCCACTTGCCCCCGTTTGCCCGCTGGCGAAGACAAATGTGCATCGTTTTCTTAGCTGAACGCACAATCTTTCGGAAATCAGATTGCTTTACCCCATCCTTAGCTACCAGACACCCGGCAACGGACACTAGACAGAACAGCAGACACCAGATAGCATAGAGAGCACGTGTCCGGCAAGTGTTTGAGTCCTGCGCTGGCTGCCTGCCGCTCAATTTGCAGCTAAAGCTGGAGATTGTTTATTAATATGGAATTATATTTCAACAGGCCAAGTGAGCGAAATATAAATATGACGCCCGTCCCACAAACCGACCCATCGACCCACCCGACCCATCGACCCACCCGACCGTTGAGTTGAGAAAATTGCAGACATTTCTTGGCAAGTCAGGTCTCAAAGACAAACCAAGCTGGAACGTGCAGAAAGTGTTAGCACAAAAGCAAAAAATTTCGAACGCTTCAAGTGCCAGAACCACAAAAATTCATGGCCAGAGATGAGCCAACGTTTGGCCGGGCGTGCTAACCAAATTATTTTTCATTGAGCCAAATTTAGTGGTTTGACACGCAGAGTTCCAGAGCAGCCGCACCAGCAGCAGCAGCAGCAGCAGCCGGAGCATCTTCTCAATCAGACTCCAAGTCAGACTCAGAGTCAGTCCCAGTGCACCACCGTACCAGAATTATGCATACGCATTTGTACGTGAGCCTGGTACAATATTATGTGCTCCTGCATGCCATACCCCGAGGCAGCAGAGGCAGCGGAGGCAGCATTCCGACTGCCAGTTGTCGTTCGCAACAGTTTGTACAACTGTGCACATATACGCGCAGTTCTCAGTATGTACTCGGTATTTGCAGTTGTAATGTATGCTCATATACTTTTGCCAAACATTTGACTTATGAGTTGGTTAACTTCTCCGACTTTTTGCCCGCCAGTTCAACTTTTGACGGCTTAATGGCTCGCTTTGTATTCATGGGCGAGTAGCATAGATGATATCTTCTGCACAAAGTTTATAAAGTTTTTAACTAGCTGGGCATTTATGTATACACAACTGCTTGACTTAACTAACTTAATGAATGAGTGATTGACTGACTGAATGACCCATTGAAAACCTACTGTTCTCTTGTTTTTTATCCAATCGGGTTTTAACGCCGCTTTACAGGTTTATATTAAAGCTAAAGGGTTATATGCACAGAAATGGGAGGTTATTATATTAATTTAATTTAAGTGATATCATAAATGCATAGCATAATCACTTGGCCCAAAGATAGCTGGGTAACTGTTGCTAGGAAAATAAAATAATGTATTAGCAAATTGCAAATTATTATTAAATACTTCAGCTTTAGTCATTTCCATGTTCTCCCCATTTTTTTTTTTTTTGTTTTTTTGTGCTTGTACTTCATTAAATGAAGTTTGACTCCTTGGGAACGCCCCTAGCCCCTATTCAGCGGGTTTTGTAGTTGCCGCTTTTGTCTGCTTTCTCGAATTCGGTCTGTGTGAAATGTAGGCCAAGATTTTTGACATTATGAGCGCGAGGCTCTAGACTCTCTAGCGGAGCATGAACTACAGCCGCAGGACATAAATAAGATATTTTTCTTAGAATTCAGCATGCTTTATTATACGGACACGGATGCGAGTTGAGCTAGCGGTAGGGATAGGGTTAGGAGCAGAGCTACGACGCCTGGAAATTTCTCTCTTATTGCCAGTGCACAGTTAGGTTTGAACAAATGACGCGCTTGCATATGGATGCAAGTGCCTAACACCGCCATCCCTTTGAATACCCTGCACAAAAGAAATTCATATTTCAGTCTTAACAGCCGCTTGTTACAAGAACTGTTAAGCGAGCCAGGAGCCTCCTCCTCCTGCTACCCGAAAAAAAGAAGAAAAAAAACTGTCTACTCCAACAACATTTTTATGACAATGTTCGGCTTGGAGCTGCTCCCGAACCCGCCATAAGCCGATAACTGACAATGCCCAAAAGCATTTTTTTCCATTTTTTTTTTCTTCTTTTACCATAAAGGAGTTGTCAGGGAAACTGGTGCGTTGGCCAGGATGACAACGGGGATGAGCGAGGGGGGTCCTAGTGGACAGCTTTTAGCCCGAAGATAACTCTGCATATTTCAATGTTTTCGCTAGCGAAACTTGACTTGTGGGCTGGCTGCTGCTGGCTGCTGTTTGTTTGTTGTGCTCGGCCCTTGGATATGCATTTTTAATGTGCATTTGCGCTTTTGTGTCCAAATGCCGCATGACGGCAAAGAAATTCACCCGCCACAAGAGGAAGTCATCCGCACAGAGACTAGGACATGGCCAAGAAGCTTTCACTATTCCACTGGGCTGTTGCCCGATAAACTATGCCAAAAGTCTGCGGTTGGCAGCTGGTCGGCGGTTCGGCTTTTCGGCTGTATCCTGGGTCAATGGACTCCACTGGACATTGGACACAACCACACACACACACACACACACACACACACACCCACATATGTATCATTCTCATATGAGTTTGCCATCCTGTAGAATGCCATTTCTAATGTTTATTGCCTTTCGTGGACTGCCCCGTAGATATGAAGTGCGTAGAGCGAAATGACAAAGCGGCAGTTCCACTGAAACAAAATGAAAATTACAAGAGTAGTCGTGCTCCTGGGTTAGCACTTGGCATAGTCAAACGTTAATTTGAGACTCGAAGAGATGAAATTTCAAAAACCAATGAGCGAGAGGCGAGCAGCTGGGGCAGACTGTGGCTGCAACACTAGGCAAAACTTTTGTGCGAACGTTGCCAGAGGCGATAAGCGATGTCGCTAACGCTTCAATACAAACGAAATCCTCCGGAAACCACTTGACTTTGACACTCTTTAAACAATTGACTACGCCGCCTCAGTGGGCAGCGGGTATGGAACTGTCCATCGAATCTGTTGAGATAAGCACACAGCCTGTCAAACAATTCGGCGCCATTGCCGATGTCCAAAAGTTTCAAAAGTTTCCTTCTAAGGATTGCTATCTACATGCTACACATTTGGGTGAGCCTTAAATATTTGGTATTTGCAATTTTCTGTACCAACTCCAGATACCCTGTAAACAGCTCCTAGCTGTAGTTCTTCGTCGCTTTGCTCTGCCTTATGGACAATTCATTCTTCATTATCTTCTGAGCTTATTTTGCGTCGCCAATGAATATAACAGGGTATTAAATTGACGAAATCATCTGTGAAATATATTTAGTCTGTGTATAGCTTGCCTTGTCTATGCTAGAAAGGAAGTCATCAGGAAGTTGGCTAATTCAATTCCACTTATCGGCTTTATCAACAATATTGATACTCTACTGCACAACTGCATATACCTTTTGTCAACGGGTACAGGGTATAAAAACTGCACAGCTAGGCAAGAAGTTTGCCCAACACTTTCGAACAGAAGCTATGCTGACAAAAACTGAGAGACGTCAAAGCATAACTGGCAGTTATTTTTTTTTTTGCCCGGCTCACCCTGGACCCCAACAGTTCAGCAGATTAGAAGCAAAAACCTTCAAAGCAGACGAACCCGTCGACGGCGACGTCATTAACTGTCCTGACGACCGCAAAAGCTGTCTAAGCCATGTCATATATGTACATATATACATATATAAATACATATATATGTATATATGGCAGCGCAAAAAGCGGACAAAATCCGCTCGCCTTTAGTCCTGCCCGTCCACTCGGCACCAGACTTTTCGGGCTGTCGTGGCATAAGTGCAAAATTTGTAATCTCTGTGTCGGCCACATAAAGTGCAGCGGAGTAGAACACGGCGAAAGACTCGGCTCATCTTCGAGTAAGGCTCTGGTTTATTTGACGTAAGGCTGTTGGTAGTACAGCATGCAGAATTAAGCCTCCCAACCAGAACGTTATTGGCCGAAGGCTTTGACAGTGATAAGCCCGTGCGGTAACCTTTAATTCTACCTGTCCACACATTTGACAAAGTCAAGTAGCCCAAAAATGTTGAGATTACCTTTGCCAGTCGAGGCGTATTTATATCTGTGCATTGATTTCTAATGGGTGCGAGTGCACGTCTCTAATTTTAGTTTAGATTGGTCGACTTTTGACTATATTTAAGAATTCAACCTTTTAATACCACAGCAGAGGGTATTGCAAGTCGATAGAGCTTTGTCCGTGCGTCCATCTGTTTGTTTTTATGTAATAGTTGGCTAAATCCAATCAGCATGGGATTTATTATAGCACCTTTCGGAGCGAAGGTATTTAATTATCGGCAACCCGAAAAATACCATTTCATTCTTGTTAAAGCCAATTGCCGTTCTGTTACGGGCTTTGGCTTTATTGTAACCGCCACGTGTCACCATAAATAAAGCATGTAAATGGGTTAAAAAAATATTTTTTTAATTCACTAAACTATAAATGCAATCGCATATTTGTTAGTGGAGCTACTTCCCCGAGTAGCTGACCCCGGGCAACATATTTTATTAACGACTGCCGCAATAAATACGAGACGCTGTCGACAGAGTGCTCCACAAATTGACGACTCGCAATTAAAAACATTTTATATTCTTATTAACATAAAAAACCCATTTAAAGTGAATGTGGCAAAGAGTCTAAAAATATGTGCAAAATATCTAGCTCTGATATCGCAGCAAGAAGCCAGAATTTAGTCAATATATTAGCAAAGCTCTGCAATAACAACAACACATATAATATTCTATTGTAATAAGTTTATAAAATTTTGTAAAAATATTTTTAAATAATCTAACATAATATTTTCGATTTTTACATTTTTCCTTGACATGAAACCTGAACGTATCACTCATCGAAATGCTGCTTTCGTGTAAATATGGAAACTACAAATGCACTCAACGTACCTACACACACACACACACACACACGCACACACACACGCGCACGCACACGCACATTGACTTTGTGGAAAACACGTGTTAACCATGTGGCGCGGTCATTTTCGTCGTTGCCATTTGTGAAAATGTGCCATGAATCATTTAATGGCATTTTATATACAAATTTAATTGCATTTTTACTTTTCGACCGTCCCCCGCGCCTCCTCGCGCTGCCATGCCTTGCCTTGCCACGCATCGCCGAACTGAACATCGCGCATTGATTTTAACCCTTGACCACGGCCAAACAAAAATGCGTTGGCATCCCAAATGGACGGTCGGCGTTGTTGTTGTTGGCTGTGCGCTACTCTGCATCAAATGTGAATAATTTAACACAATGCCTGCCACCTCACCCTCACCCTCACCCTCACCCTGACCGTCAACCGACTCCCTGCCTCTGCCCGCTGGGCAACATTTGCTTGTTCTGCACTTTGACAATCTTTGCTATTTGCATTTGATTTGCATTGCCTGAAACTATGCCCATGCACACGCCCACACCGACGCCCACTCGCACGCCCATGGCATTACAAAAAACCCACCATATCCGGGTCTCCGATGCTCCGCCCGTGCGGTGTTCCAAATGACTGGCGCACTGCGCACCGCCGCCGCCGCCGCCCAATCAATTTTCGGCATGTCACTGCCAATTACACCTTTTCAATATTTGCGCCGCATACTTTCTACCTTTTTTTTGCTGGATGCCCGAACTGGCTGGATGCTGTACCTCTGTCATCCTCTCTCTCTCTCTCTCTCTGCATTGTCGCATCCAGTGGCGGAAACTACAAATCAACCAGGCAAAACGGCGACCATCGAAATGTACGCGCCCAGTTCGTACAATGACACCGTCACCGGCGAGACACTGTCCAGCGTGTCGGAGAAGAGCGAGTCCTACTCCAATGAGGGCAGTCAACCGGAATATATTGTGAGTATACTATACACACACACACACACACAAACTACCACCACACTTATCCGTTTGTGAACTCAGTTTTTAGGTCCACTTTTTATACCAAACTATTTTGTCTACCCTGTGCTCATTGAAAATGGGTATAATCGTTTTAGGCAATCATATGTAACAGCCAAAAGAAGACATTATTGGGACAAGTCCGTCCGAGAATTAGGTTTAATTCAAATTATCGAAAGCTTCTAGGGTAGATTTTTGCACCAAACTAAGAATATAGATTCTCGTAGAGTACACTCAGAGTTTTTTAAAGCCAGAATGCTTTATAGCTGTTTGGTGGAGGGTTGCTCCCAGTTGGTTACACCCGACTGCAACATTCTTATTTGGTTTTTTTTTTGGGGGGGTTGGGATTGTGCATGAATATGCAATTTGTGAACGCGAATGAGAGTACAATGGGCAAAAATGTCGCCTGATGCTGGAACTGAGGAACTATGGCCAGCATTTAGGCAGACACTGCGTTAAAAAATGATGGGCCGTCTTAAGTTATTGCCAGGCGCTTGAAATTACAACTCAAGGCCGGAACTGGTTTCGGGTTTTGGGACTGTTGACATCGAGGTCGCCGGAACTGGCTGGCAAGCAGTGAGCAAGCCGGAAGCAGCAGCCGGCTAAGACGTCATGATTAATTACGCCCTGCTGATGATAATGATGAGCGCAAGTCCAAAACCAAACCAAACCAAACCGAACCCAAACACAACCCAAGCGAGCGGGGACAACGGCAAACAAATCGTTTCAAATTATTAAAATCATTTATTACCCGCGTAATCTTGCTGTGGCGCAGTAAACCACAAAAACTGCTGCCTAATGTTGACTGTTAACAGTCTGCCTGCCTACGGGGCGTGCCATAAATCAACGTTGCGTATACGCAACGTGCGCCCCTCCGCGAAGGTGTCGTCAATGTCGTCGTTGTCTTCGCTGTCATTGCCGCTGTCAATTGCGCGCAAATGACTTTCAACGCCTCCCAAAACAAAAGCTTAAGCGGGTCGTAATTACCAAGGTGCAACCAAAGGATCAGGTGTCAGGAGTTTGAGTCAGAGCTGGGAAAAGTCCTGGCGCTTGCATTTTCATTGATTGTTTTCGTGTCGCTCTTTTTTTCCCCCATGCAGGACGAAGCACGCAAGAAGGCGGCATCGACATATCTGGTTGAGAGCACGGACATGCCACCACCCAGATACCAAAAGGATGGCACACTGCCAGCATTATATCCAAATAATATGGGTAAGTTCAGATCTAGCTGACCAGATATCAGCTGCAGCATAATGAATGTCCAGATTGCAAATAGAAAAAAAAATGAAATGAGAGAAGAGCACATAAAAAGCATTTTAGATAATTAACTTTTGACCAAAACAACAAACCAACTTTACAGTTGCACGCGCTGTCAGCACGTCAACGTCCGTTCTGGGCCAGTCTGCCCTGCCCCGACTCGCAGCTGCAGTTGTTGCCTGATTTTTTTATGCCATGATTGCAATCAAAGCTTAAAATAAAAATAAAAGCGATGTTAAAACGGATATCGGCAAAATCCACAGAGCAACTAAGTACGCGCCAGCTGAAAATTCAATTTGAGTGCAACATCTCCATCTTAATTGTAATTGAGCAGCAAAGTTTTTGCCAGTCTTGATTTTCAATTGAGTCATGAGTGTGTGTGTGCAAGTGTGTGTGTGTGCAAGTGTGTGTGTGTGTGTCTGCGTGCGTGCTAGTGTGTGCTGCCTCCGGCTGAGTTCAACACTAGAAACCAAATCACGTTCCGGGCTCTGCGCTAATTTAAGAGTGCGTCAGAATTTAAGAATATCGTTTATCTAGGCGCATGAAAATGAAAGAATAATAATAATATTAATGCCCCCCACCAGAGAGGGGAATATGCTCAGCATGTCTGAGTAAAAGACTAAGAAGAAGAAGCAGCAGAAAGGAAAAACAATAGTCGTATTATAATAACATTTGAGACATTGCTGAAAGCATCGCAACTGCATTTCAAATGCAAAGCGCAAAAATAATAAAAATACATTAGCTTCAAACTTTTGCTCGCTTCTCTTCGCTTCTTCTCTGCCTCTTCCTCTCCAACTTCCTCGCCGGTGTGCCCATGTCTCCTTGTCAATTCTCCGCCATGCCTGCGCTGGAAATAAAATACAATTACCTTATGTCAACGAATTTGGCAAGTGAAGGCGCCAAGTGGAGCATACTTCAAAAGTGGCAGCCACTACAACAACAGCAGCTCGAATAATAAGAAGAACAAGAACAAGAACCAGAAAAAAAAACAATAAACTTCCGATTGCCGAACACAAAATACCCTTGCAGACAGCGGATATGCCGCATATCCTTTGATCCTGAATAGTGCCTTTTTTATATAAAAAATATGTATGCTTATGTACTTCCTGCTAGTTGTATATATATTCTACAGAATCTCCCATTTCTATTGTCAAGCGACTTTTTTAATCGACTTTAGAACTGCAAACACCTTGTTCCTATTTGGATGCCTAAACTTGTTGAGAATTAGAATTAGCAAAAAATCAGAAAGCGATCAAAGAAAAATTACTGTCTATGTTTAACAAATACTTTGGGTGGTCGTGTATTATGCGTTACACGTTTCGTGCTCAAATTTAAAAAACCTTCGCTAGGGTATTAGAAGACCAACAATATTTGATAGCGTTTGACGCCGGGACAAGGACTTTGCCACAGATAAACGGAGATGGCGCGTAATTATGTATGCGGCTGCATGGTAAAAAATAAAAAAGGAACACATAAAACACAAACAACAACAAAAAAAGCCACACAAAAACACGAACACGAACAGGAACACAAAGACAAGCGACAAGGAATGAAAGAAAAAGATGTTAAACAAAAATGCCTCGTGGCATAAAAATTAAAATGCTTGCCGGAAGCTGAAGCTCAAACAAGCGCCCCAGGCGAAAATGCGCCATGAGGCAGAGTCCCAGCAGCCGGGATACATACATGTATGTACAAATGTGCATATATGTACACGCACACATGCATACATACATACTACTAAATACATCTACCTTGCTGTTAGTTGTCGCCACCTGCTGCTGACTGAGTTGAGATCAAATAATAGATGAACAACTCGTCCTCGCATCCCCCTCCAATGCATTTAAGCCAAAAGCAAACTGTGAAGCGCATTTTTAATGAGATACCATAGAACGCGCCACCCTGTTAATGAGCAGCCGCATGGAAAAGCTCCCGGCCATCTACGGGCGATTTTCCGAACTACAAATGTGCAAATATGCAACAACACAAAAAAAAATAAAACTTTTAATGAAAAGTCAGGTTTTGAGCAAGCTTCCATAGCCTTGGCCGGCTTAGAACCGACCAGGGATAAAAATATATATAATATATTTTTTGTATACTCTTGCGAAATATGGAATGCGAAATATGTAGGCTGTAGGTATGCCTATCGGAACCATGCCCTCATCTTATTAGCATTACACTAATATAAGAAATAGATCCTATAAGAAGAATCGTTCAAAAACGTTTCTCAAAAATGTTCCCCCACAACTTAAGCAAAATCTCTTTAACATCGGATCAAATAGTTGACACATGAACACAGCTGTAAGGGTATTCAATCTTCGGCTACCCGAAGACAACTTGTCCTTACTTTGTTTTTATTTACCATGCGCAATGCTTTCGGTAAAATTCAACAAGGCTATTAATATGAAATGAATGCCACCTGCGTGGATATAGAGATATAGATACATATACAAATGTGCAGATGTATGAATGTGTGTGAGCGTACATAGTTTACTTGCAGGGATCTGGCCAATTACGCACATTATACATGTACAATAATGATTTTTTCGTTTTTGTATACCCTGAACCCATTAAAAATGGGTAAAAAGGGTATATTGTTTTTGTGCAAAATGCAAATGTATGTAACAAGCAGAAGGAAGTATCTCTGACCACATAAAGTATATATATTCTTGATCAGCATCAATAGCCGAGTTGATCTAGCCATGTCCGTCTGTCTGTCCGTCCGTATGTATGAGCGCAAGGGTCTTAGAACCTATAAGAGCTAGAGACCTGAAATTTGAATGTAGGTCCGTTTTATACCTTTCGCCACCTCCCTGCTAACACCGCAGAGCTATAAATCAAGTTAATAACCAAACTTATATTGCCAACCAATATAATTTTGAGAATGCACAAATATTCTATGGTATAATAAGATATACTGTAGAAAATTTCACTAAGATCGGTTAAGAGAAAACCAAAGTTATATATAACTGCGCAATTGGATGGCACAGCTAGCGAATACTCCAAGAATTTCTGTATACATGTACACATACACATTCATGCGCGTCTACTTCGCATTCTATCGCATTGTAACAGCATTGTAATAGAGGGTTCAGGGTATTCCCTAGTCGGGGGCTCCCGACTAGTACCTCTTACTTGTTTTTTTGTTATGTCGGTGCTCCGATTTTGATTTAGCTGTGACTGGCAAAGACTGTTGCTGCTGCTGTTACTGATCGAAAAATCAATAATTCATGAGGACCCCCCTACCCCCCTTTCGAGGGTGCCCTCAGCCTACGCAATGTTGTACTATACACGCATACTCAATACGCATATGCAAAGTAAACAGGCCACAAAATGAACATGGGAGCCCGTAAGCAGCTCAGCCACAGCTCCAGCGTCATCTCCAGCTCCTGCTCCTGCTCCTGTTCCCTCTCCATCTGCTCGAGCTTCATTTCGTTGACGGCGTGTGGCAGGCTCCCGGGCGTCTTCGATTTGTCTCCGTATTCTTGCTTCGAGTAGATTGTTCCCACAGCCGCAGCTTCAAGTTTCTTAACAAAATTATTGTTGCCTACATTTGAGCGTTGCTGGCACTTGAGCTACACGTTTGTATATTCTAGTAGGTGTGTGTGCGTGCGTGTGTATGAGTGCAGGTGCGGCTGTGTATCGATGTGTGTGTGCGAGTGTGGCTCTTTGTCTAAGTCTATTTTACAAAATTACAAATTTGTTACGTTTGTGGCTTTCACGCCTTTTCGAATGACAGCCTCGTTGGAACTCGGCGAGTTTTGAGTGGTTAAAGCGCTGTGGATGTGGGCTTGAAGTTGCAAGGGAGGGTGTGCGTGTGTGATTGTGGCAGCCCCAAAAATACCAGACAATTTGTCTTGTGATAAGTAGATGCCATAAATACTATGCAATCGGCGGCGCAACTTTAACGCTTTGGGGCAACTGGCTTTGTTGCAAGTGTATCGAAAGGATTTGCCCATTGGCCCTATCGCCGCAACACCTGCCTCTTATCACCTGTCCCGGCCATTCGTTGCAATTAATGGCACTCGTTTTATTCACTTCCAAACGTTTGCACACCAAATGAACCAGAAAGCAGCAAAATGTTGCACCTACGTGGGGGCGCCACGCATGCCTGCCAAAAGGGAAGCTCAATACCGAATGGAGGCTACGTGTGTGCATTTCCAGTGCTCAATGTGGTATGCGTGTGCATGTGTGTTTGCGTGTGTGACCCTTTCAGCCAAAGTCTTTGCCTTCTGGTTTTTTCAAATGGCCCTGTAAATGTCTCAATTGCAGCACCCAAATTGAAATTGTGCTGCTGGCCAGGCTTTAGTTGGGCTGAAAAGCGCTTTAGTTGTTGCAACAACAACAACAACGACAACAACATTAATGGGACGGGCGTTGTCAACGGAAGCATCCGCGGCAAACTTTAAAAATTCAATTCGATTCATGCAAAGGCCCTGTGACCTGCTGACCTTAGACGATACTAATTAACCGCTATCTCTCTCCACTTGCAGTCAATGCCTGCACGCTACCACATCCGCGGCATAACAACGGGCACGCAGCCGCCCTTGCCGCCGCCGCCGCCGCCGCTGGCCACATGACGCGCGACGATCAGATGCTCATCAGCAAGGGCGTCTATATTCCGTCCCCATCGCCAGCACCGCCAACGGATGGCTCCTACTACAACATGAACAGCGACAGATATTTGTCGTATCCGCCAATGGTGAGTAGAACTGAGAGTTTCTCTTCCTTATCTTCGTCAGAGTTGCCGCGTCACGCGTCGGCGATTCTTTAAGACTCGCCGGGATTAGGTGCAGCTGCAATGCAATGTTAATTGCCTGCCTTGATCCTTAATATCGCTACCCGCTGCACCGCTTATGGCTAGTCACGGCCAGGGATTAGTTCGCGCAATTAGTTGGAGTTTTATGCACGATGCCCGGACAACGCACACACACACACACTGACACACCCTGCCCGGCAGTCAGCCCTAGGCAAATCCCACTACATTTGCATCGCTCTGTGACCGTCATTGAGCGAAGGGACCATGCACATATACTTATGCACATGCATACACTAAGAGAAAAACCAAGTTATATAGTCTAGTTAGAAGGACATGGGATTCATACAGCTTGAGTTCTTGAGTTTGCTTAAAATGAGTACTCGAAACTTGTGATTAGGAATTTCGGTATTAAATAGAGTTTTCACCAAGCTGAATTCGGTCAAATTAGATCTATAACTCTTGATTATTTCTCCAAGTGTACTAGCACATCTATCTACATATATGCACATATATATATACGATCAGGCTTGCGGGACGGCAGCCAAACTGCCATGTGGCAGCTGCCAGCTGCCAATGTGCGCTGCAGCTGAATGGCTGCCAGTTAACTCGGTTCGACTTTTATAATCCGCGTGCCGCATGCAACGCTGTAAAGACAAATGACAAACTCAAAAGCATTAAGCTGCAGGCAGCAGTAGGGGTATATAAGATGGAGGTGGGATATCGGGGCAGCTGGGAAGTTGTATGCTACATTTGCTTTGTTGTCATTGTTGTTGTTTGTGCTGCTGCTGCTGCTGTTTGTACTTGCAAAAGTAAACATTATTTTCTCAAGACAACAATTTAATATTACGCATACGCAGCGTGTGAAGCAGCAAGTACGACGTTTATGAGGACAGACAACCTCCGCGTATTGTAACTCACAATTTATCCCATGTGCTGTCTTGTGTCATGTTGCATAGCTGCCGCTTGTTGTATGTGCCTCGCTTCATTACATGCAACAAAGTTTTGCGCCGCATCACTCATAAAGAGCTGCCGCCCAACTTGACTGGGGCATGATTTTCATTTCAAATATGTATGCGGCATGCCTTATTTCAAACTATTGCCAGATTTTGTGGCATGCCACAGCCAGCCAGCATTGATCTTCTGACCGGGCTCGACTGCCCCAAAAAAAAATGCCAGAGAGCAGCGTCTTCGTGTCGCATTAGGCTAACCCAATATAAATTCCACAAATTCACAATAAACATGGGAAAATCAATTTTCCAAATTTATTGCCATCGTTCCTTTTTAGGTGAGCATGTGTATATGTAAATTTTATTCCCTAAGCCCATTGAAAAGAGGAAGGCATCTTCGACCCCATGAAGTACACATATTATTCACAGGACGAGAAACTGAGCGGATCTAGCCATGTCTGTCTGTCAGTCTGTTGGCATATAGACTCATAGTTCAGAAAGATCAGGCAATAAACCTTGAAAGTTAATTATAAATCAGGAAAGAAGAGTGCAGCGCAGCAGCAAATAAGCTTGCAATTTTTGTAAAGGAAACTTGGCGCAGTGTTCAGGGTATTTGCTAGTCAAATACTCCCGACTAGAGCAAACTAAGTTGTTTTATTTTTATCACTGCTGCCGCTGTCGTCTGCTGCTTCTAAAGGGGTGTAAATGTGACAAGTTAAGACGACACTCAATGCGGCTGACACTCGTGTCCCCCTGTCCTGGCATTGCCAACACCCGCCCGTCCACCCACAGCTGTCGACTGTCAGCTGGCATTTTATGGCGCTGCCAGGCCAATAATTGTATAAATTAGATACGAACGAAATGCAGTTAGCAGCCAACTCTTGTGGATCCCCAAAGGGCTGTCGCCAGCTGCAAGGGACACACACACACTGAGACACACTCCTAATGGCGGCTAATGTAATAATATTTATGCTAGCTGCTGACCATTTTTATGGGCTTTTATGCTTTATGCGATTTGGCCAGTTACTCAATTCCAATTCCAGTCCCGGCAACGCGCGTTTGTTTACTCTGGATAACAGTTAAATGATGAAGAGTCGCCCAGTGGAGATATCAGTAGCCATATCAGAGGGCAGAGGACAGCTGCAGGCTTTCGACGCCCCCTGCGCCCACGCGCCCCACGCGCTGCGCCATTGCACATGTTAGTCATTCAGCATGGGACACAAAACCTTTTGTTTGCGGTTTTTAGTCAACGAGGGAGAAAAATTCAATTTCGGTTTAGTTGGCCAACAATGCCATTGTGTGTGTGAGTGTGCGTGTGTATGAGGGTCCTCTTGCTCCTCTTGACAGTGTGTGTGTGGACATGCTCGTGCGAGCCTTTTCTGCCACACATAAGAAATGTTTTTTGTGAAGCCAAATTGAATTATTTGATAAACATCATTAGAAAAATTACAAAATATATAGAGCACTCGGCATGCGGCAACAAATCAGCCAGAAAGAGAGACACACAATGATAGAGAGAGAGAAGGAGAGAGAGAGAGAGAGAGAGAGAGGAAGATAGAGACGAGAAGGCACAACATTTGTATCAGCTGCGGTTTTTCTAAAACATTTTCCCCAGCACTAAATTACTTTTCGGTGCACAGATGTCTGCGCAGACCCTCCCTCCCCTTCTCAGCCAAAACTAAATGAATAAAAACAATTTATAGTAGTAAATCAAATTAAATTTCAATCGCATGCCTGACAGCAAACAAAAAAGATTCACTCACATTCACACGATACTCCCGTTTGCAGTGACAGGCAATGCGTGGTCAAATGTGGCTAACTGATTGCCACAGCTATGAGCCCAGGTGGCCCACGCGGCGCATACGCAATATGCAAGCACAGTGCGGCTTATTAAAAGTGTTGAATTGTTTCTAATGCCATCCAACACTCACAAACATTATAAAAACGCCTGCAAAAGACCCAAAAAACAGGCAATAATATGGTTAACAGCACGAAAGTCTTGTTAAACTAGCTTTGCAAGTAAACCCAGTTTTTGCTTTGCGCCCTTCCAGCGCTTTTATTTTCTCCCATTGCAAATGAAAAAATTCAATTTTAAGTTCATACAATTTTCGCTTTGTTTATTTCAAATTGTAAACACGAAAGTTGTCCACTAAAAGGTCAGGCAAAAGACAACAAAAAATTGTACTCTACCCCAATTAAACTTAGGTAAAAAAAACTATACAATTTTAGGCTCAAACGGTGTGGTTTGAATACAAGCATTGCTCATTAAAGTACAGGGTATACATACGTATGCCAGTTTTGGCCAACGCCCAGGTTCGTGTTTGTATAGCATTGGACCCACATGTAACTATTTAAGCGGCAATTTGTATTTTATTGCCAATTGCGTTCTGCATGTCCGTTTGACGACAACAACAACAACCACAAGGGCAACAAAAAATAAAGTTTGGGCCACATCTAGCCCCAGACCAACTATATAGTTGATAAGTTAAATGCTGGCTGTGAGCTGCTGTCCCATTTAGATATGCGGCACACACATGTCCGAGCTGAGCGTGGGCGTCGTGTGGCAGGTTTGGGTTCTGGACTGGATTCCAGCTCTATCTGGGAGCAGCTACGTGCATGTGCTGAGTGGCGTCGTCCAACTTAACTATGGCTCACTTTGTTAGCGAGTTTTGCACAGTTTGAAATTCAATTAGTTTTGTGCGGGCTTCGGGCACTTGGCATTGTCTCACTTAGCTGGAATCTCTTCGAGTCGTGTCTGGCCTGTCGGAGACAGCCGGTCGAAAGTCAGTTTCTCGTATATACCGCATATGCACTGTATGTTTGTGTCGTGTTTAAAATTCAAGGCCCACACAGAGCAGAGCTGTTGTCGATTAAATAAATAACCAAATACACACACAGTAGTGTCCATAATTTAATTTCAGAGCAGGCAATGCAATGGCTCTAAAAGTGGCAGCGCCTCGGTTGTCGGTAGTCCTTGGGGTGCGCAGTCATATACATTTGATATTCTATTTACGCAAAATGAACTACTTGCCGCTCCTTGGCTTTAACTTTAACAATAACGACAATAATGAGCCGGCCAACCCAAACCCAAACCCGTCCAGCAGAATTAGCGCACGCGAGTTGCCACACACACAACAAAGACCTTTAAGTGGCACAAGCCGCCAAAGTTTTATAGAGAAACCCCTTTACCGCCGCCTATGCTGATTCAGCTAGTGCAACAAATTGCTGGCGCTCTGCCTCTACCTCTGCCTCTGGCTCAGTCCTGGCCAACACCCAAAGCTCAGCTCGAAGTTTCCGTTAAAGACAATTTAACTTTGTAAACTGATACAAAATGTCCGCCTTGGTATACTCAAGTCTTTTTAGGCTAAACTACCAGACCTTCAGAGTTTCGCTGTTAATCAGGGCCAGGCGCAGTGTGCGTTTCTGTGTGTCTGTTTGTGTGTGTAGGTTACCCCGATACATCTTTATGTGCCACAGCCCCATATTCCTTACATAATTTGTTCTCGATTAAAAAAACGGATAGAAAGAGAGCAATTCTTTAGAAGCTAGTGCTATCTCCAATATTCCAATTAGGCACGCAAGTCACCGCCCAAGTTAAAGTTTTTCGTAGCAGGCAACTTAAAAGTTAACACAGCTCCGTGTTCCGTGTGCCTTGTGCCGGGCGTTAAACTTGGGTCTAACTACGGGAAATACTTTTGCGCGGACCCAACTGGACCCCAGCATGCGAAACAATTTCCAAACTGACACAAAGTGTCATGTCAATCGAAGTAGAAGATAATATTTCCAACTAAGGCAACTTGCAGCACAGCCAACGAAAAATGCAGCACATTTTTTACCAACTTGCAAGTTGCAAGTTGTCCACAACTTTTATACATGTACTCACACATATTCAATGCACAGCAATTGCAACAAAAAGCAGCAAGAAAACGCCAAAATGGGGGTTCAAATACGTTTGCAATTTGTGTAGCGACATTTCAAACGAACCAACGCACAATTTACAATTATCACATTGTTACTCCTGACGGGCAGTCCTTTCTCAACAAAACTGACAGATAGAATAAAGATAAATTCCCAATTTAAAGAGAACGCAGCATGGGTTTGCGTTGATTTCACTTGAAAACTGCAAAGTTCGACTCACACCTCGTCTTGTCACATTAAAAATATATTTTCATTGTTAATCGCTTCATAGGGCTCGTAGCTTGTGCCTTCTCAAGAGCAAAATAGGACTATCCATTTCACAGCTATAACTTCTCTTTATCCCTATGAGGTAGCAAGGCAAAGGAGGAGAAAGTTGAGTAAGACGCAAGCATAACAAAGGCTGGGCTTGGGCTCACATCCCACTTTCTGCACAAATGAGAAAACTTTTGACGAAACGGAAACTGAGACCGAAATTCGTCTTAAAGCCAGAGCGCAAGCTATGCATAATTATGGCTCAGGCCTAGGCCAGGGCAGAGGCTGTTACAATGTGAAACTTTTTCTAATTGCCGACTTCTATTCCATTCTATTCATTTCAGGAATACCCGACAACACTGGACTTCAGTGGGCCGCCGCTGCCGCTGGCGCATCTGCAGCCGATGCCCATTACGGTGACCTCACAGGCGGCGCTGCTGGCGAGCAATGGAGGCGCCACGCTTATGGGCAATGGCAGCGCCGTGGGCGGTTCGGGCACATTGCGTCGCGGTATATTGCGCGGCGTTGTGGGCGTGCCGCCGCCCGATGTTACGCATCACACCTCAGCCGGCGGCACGCCATCCATGCAAATCATGCACGACCTGCATCCGGTCAATCTCAGCGCGACAACGCTGACAACTAGCACCACGCTCAATGGCAGCATGACGACGGCGCTGCCATTGACAACGGCCACGCTGCCTCGCCAGCCGCACGGCATCCTCAAGGATCCCAATCGCAACAAGCAGCAGCAACAGCAGCAACAGCAGCAGCAGCAGCTGCTTAACGCCAGCCTGGTGGGCGTGCCCGTCTCCGCGGGCGTTGGCAGCCTCCAGATCCTGAATCTGCCCGTGACCAGCGCGGCGCTGGGCAACAACTTGCTGATGACAACCAGCGCCACCTACGACCCCGCCTCGCTCAGCAGCTTCAATGCGAGCGGAGCCGGCGGCGTACCGGTAGCCTACACAGATGCGGACGGACATCTCGTATAGCTATAGGCAGAGACTGGGGCCAGCACTGAAACACGGTACTGAGCAGCCAGCTGCCATACAGGGAGACAGAAGATGCCAGCCGTCAGCACCTGAGTGTTTGTCGGTCTGTTAGTCTGTCTGTCTTTCTGTCCATTGAACAAGGTAACTTCTTGCATCATCTTCACATATACATATATATAACTAAATGTACTCCACTCGACTCGTAGCTAGTTTAGAAGCTTTCCCTCTCTTCAGCGTGAAGTCTGTATGAATGTATCCTAGACGTGTACTGTAGGCAATTTCAAGTAACAACAACAACTGCCAGATACCCTGCAACCGAAAAGTGACGGGAGAGGGCCTAAACTGTGTCTATATACCATCGATATTTGTCGATATTATTCAAATGGGTTGACATATCAGGTTGATTGTCATATATACGGCTCGAAGTTCTTCCTTCTGCCTGTTACACACATTAGCCAGAATATTCACACCCCACTGTGAAAGGCTACAGGGTATGAGAACAACGAGTGCCCCATTACCTTATTCAAATCAGCTACAGAATTAGTTTATGTTAATTTTTAAAACGAAACTCACTCCCCATAAAACATTGGACTGTGTTTATTCAGATAACCAGCCCAGAGATCTCATTGCCTGGAGACTGGTCAGCCGGTCGGTCCGTCAGTCCGTCAGTCGCTTCGCCGATTGCTGCTTGAGGATTTGCGTTTTTCTAATTAGCTTGGCAGCAGCAGCAATAACAACAGCTATAACGAAAAACTTTGAGCGGGTGGCTCCGGGGGAAAGGCGGAAGGCGGTCAAAATTTTTGAAATTAGTTCAGTGGAACGAAGACAACAGCCGCGCAGCCGTTTGACAGCTCCCCGGGGCGTGCTCAGGCCTCAAGTCGATGGGCACGTGATTGCGCCGGGCGCACTGGGCGTGGCAAGCAAATAAACGAACGAAAAAACACACAGTTGACAGCAGCAGCAGCGGCAGCAGCAGCGGCAGCGACAGCAGCGGCAGGTTACGGCGAGCGATTAGTTGGCCCCAACTCCTTGAACTGTTGCTGAAGGTTAGTGCGCCATATTGAAGACTCCCGGACGGGGCACTCCCCCGGAGCATAACCAAAACAAACATAGCTAGTGGCTCCTCTAATAACACAAAGCACCAAATGGAGCAGCTGATGCCGCGCCCAGCAATGGCCGGGCACATTATGTGCAGGCACCGCAGTTGCCACATTCAAAGGCTTCCGCACAGCTACGACTGCTCTGTTGCCGCCTCCGATTGCGATCTATGGGTGCTTATAGGTATCATTGCCATACCCCAACCCAGATACCCCGCCCACCGCGCCCCCCAATCCGGACCCAGTCTTAAGTGCTTGCCGCACATTTGCTGCTCGTCGCAGCTCAGCGAGCGTGACATGCTCCTCATCTTGGGGACGCCATTAACTTCTGCTGCTGCTGCTGCTGCTGCTGCTGATGCTGCTGGCCGCGCTGGAGCACATCATGACAATTCTATTATGTAGCATCAATGCAGTGTAGAGCCCCGCAACCCCTACGCTCAGCGCCCTGCAACTGCCACCCTTTTGCCAAGGGCAAAAGTAGACATATCCAAGGAGATATCCGCGCCGTATCTCGCTTTGTATATATATATATATATAAATATATATGTATGTGTGTGGGTATGGGTGTGTAGGTGTACGTGTGTTAATTAATATTCATTGAGCTGTAATTACCAAAGCAAGACCCTGCTTCTATACTCCCCACCCGCCCCCTGCCGCTCTCTAATGCAGTCGCAGATAATCGCAACTGCATGCCTCTATCTGAGCATCAATAAAAAATGAGCATTTGTCGCTGCTGCCAGAATGTTTCTCTGACTGAAAGTAATTAAGAATTAAATTAAATATATATATTCGAAATTAACGAACGTACAGACAAAGCCAAAGCCTGGGACAAAGGCAGTCCAGGGAGCGAAGCGATGCTTTGGCAAACAGAAAGTAAAATTAAGGATAAGCCACATATCCTTGCACACAATACAAATATATATATATATGTATATATGTGTGTTTATCAATTTTAAAGGCCTTGCAGCTCCTTGCAAGCCGCCCCTCACGCCCGCACATTGTTGCGCCAGGCCCTGCTTTGTGTGAGGTCTTCGTTGGGATTTCCGCTATTGAATAATTGTGATTGCCGTTCGGAGATAAAAGTTAAATGAGCAGGAAAATAAGGAAAATTATAATGGAGCTTAATGCCACAAGAGGCCAGCAGCACATACTTCTCTTTATGCACATACAACATATACACTCAGAGAAAAAGTAAAGCTTGTTTTGTTCAAAGCAAAGATTTTTCATATTTGTCCTACTTAGACATTTCTTAAACTTATCTTCGGAAGAACTTTACTCAAAAGGATTTCTCAAAAAGATTACTCAATGTTTGGAACGAACTAAGTTATTCATTTTAGAGCTTTGTATGTCGCTTTTCTCTGAGTGCACGAATGCAGATTATTTACCAACGAAAATTGAAACTGCATTCATCAATAAATAGCAGACTAACTGATTCGGCTTAAATACTCTCATATTTGCAAAAGATTTCCATTGTTCCGACAGACAATAAATTGAAAACCTTTGGAAAATTACAAGACTATTGAGAAATGAAGGCAAAGCAACACACAGACTAGCTAATACACTTATCATCAACAGTTGAGAAAAAGTGAGGGAAGGCAGTTATAGTCATATTATTCATTTAATTCAGATTATACTGCGAATGTGCTTGAAGGTACACGTCTAGGATCGAGTGTATTCACACCAATTAACATATATGTAAAGCTTATAACTCACATAGGGCTGCCAAAATTGCATTAAAGGCATTTAAAATTAAATTCTAGACGTAAGTAGCTAAGCGAACTAATTAAACCTCTAGTGAGAGAGAAAGTACTACGAATAAATCAATAAACTGGGATAAAGAAAAAAAGCGTATTTCGACCTACTCAATCAATATGCCAAATTTAATTTGTACAATAAAAGGTTAACTGGAAAAACTAAGAACGATATAAATAATGTAAAAGGACAAATGCAGGTATATATAGAAAAGAGACAGTCATACAACAAATAAAATAAAATAAAACTAAAATTAATTGGAAACATGCATAAATTGCTATTAAAGTAAAGTAGAATAAATTTCGCATCTCGTACTTGTAGAACTGTGTTTCTTACACTTAAGTGTCACTCCCTATAAAGCTGTCAGAAACGCGTGAGTGTATGAATTATCCTCGAATCGTAGAAGTCCCTCTTTGAGTGAATACTCACCATGAGTGAATAATTTGTGTGAATGATTCAATCGCTCGGAACACTAGAGTCTATCAGTGCGTCTCCCGCATATACTACATATACACTATCTTGCTGTTTTTTAAATATAACTACCGCACCTTATAAATATCTGAATTAAAATTTGAATGTGTGAGAATATGGAAAACGTACATTTTTATACAAAAAAAAAAAAAAAAAAAGAAGAAAACAAAAAAACCTAAAATGTCTTCCCCGCATAATAGAGAATACTTTTTGTTGGGTACAAACAAAGCGTGTTTTAATTATGATAAGTGCACATAAAAATTAAATTTAATTAGTTATAATTTTCATACACAGATATGGTACGAGTATGTATTTATTTAGTTTGTAATGCTAACATATGAAATGGGGGAAACTTAATAAGACTAAAGTTTAATTATGTTAAATTTTAATATAAAATAATATAAGTTATAACATTATTATAATTATTATTACTATTATTATTATTATTATGCTAATGTGTAGTTAAAGCATGGCCAAAGAGATTTGTTAACAAAGAATATAATTATTTACAGCATTCAAATGTTTGTTCTCAATTGCCTTTTATGATTTCATCTCGAATCACAACAGAATTCTTAAGAAATTCTCTTGTTAATACGCATATGTAATATGTTTATAATAGGCAGAGGAGCGATAAGACCGGCAGACAAGACTTGAATACTGAACTTAGTTTAAATGTAATTCAATCTCAAGCAACGTAATTAGAATACCAACAGGTACTCATAGACCTTATATACCCTGTAAAAAATGAAGGCATCTAAGCAGATTCGACTATTGTGAATGTTTTTATGATGAATTGGGTTTACTTCTATGTAGCATCTACTTATTAGAACTCTAAATGCAGCAAAGCGGTGTACAGAAGCCAGAGATAAAAGTGAAACAATAATTAAAGAAGAGGCAGAAAACAAAATAATGAAAAACAAACTATATATAAGTTTATTTGCTAAATGAAAACGCAGTCAAAAATTGTATAAATTAATTTGAAGGAATGAAAATAATGCATATGAAACTTATTGCATTTTTAAGAAATCTGTTAATATATGAATAAAACGAATATTCAATACAATGACATTTTTTTTTTTATTTAAGTCCCACAAAGTGGGCGGGGCACTGCGGGGGCAACAGAAATCTCGATGTGAGTGACGTAAAATGGTAGATTACGGCAAAGGACAATTTAATGGTAAAACTTTCCAATCAATTTTCAGCGAAAGCCAAGCCAGCTAAATAAAACTACAAGAGCTGTGAAACAAAGAAGGGAAAGAACGTTGGGAGATTGCCAAACGTGTGTGTGCACGGCAGCTGAAGCGGAAGCTGGAGCTGGAACCAGAGCTGGGAACTGCGAACGGCGAACTGGTGTTGGGGGAGTTGGGGGAGTTGTAGGTGTGGGCGAGCGACGCCCAAGAAAGTATCCACTATTCGTCTTACTTGGTGTGGCGCAAAAAATTGAATTCCTTGCAAAACTTACGAGCAGGCATTAATTTAACAGCTCTGCAGCCTAGCCAATGGGGGTGGTGGCTTCGAATTGCGTATACGGCCCATTGGACATGTGATGTGCGTACTTCTCCGACTGCTCGCACCATTATTTTTACTCTCACTGACTTTATGATGCCCATTCTCGATGTGGCCAAATCGCAGCTCGTATTTCATTTAAATTGAAGTTAATTAGTTCCGCCAAACTGCCAAATATAACCCTCCCTCCTCACACACGCACACAAAAGCGTGTAAATACTTTTACAGCCACGCCTCCAGCCCGCAGGCTGCGTTCTCAGCCTCAACATCGATAAAGGGCTGAGGTGAGGGAATTCGCTTTTGTGGCTCTTTCAATAAATAGCTGGCTGAATAAAATGCAAAGATTCGCTTGCCTTTTGTTAGTCCGTAGCTCGAATCCTTTCACGAGCCAAAAACGTTGCTATTTGTAAATCGCGACTCTCACAGTTCTAAAAGGATTAACACACCCAAAAGAACACTCTCCTCAACAACCTCCTAGCGCAGCCAGTTCATCTGTTTGAGTAAATGGAAAAGTTTTGTTAGTACGCCACCTTGGCCAAAACTTTATCCAGCAAGTAAAAACAAAAAAAAAAATCAACAGCAGACAGAAAAGAAAACGCCGGAAGATTCGTTGCAGCTGGTCAAAACGATGGTAGGCCACGAAACAAAAGTATTTTCCATGGCGGTCGAAAAGTTTTTGTGCGGGGGATAATCATTGTCACGGCCATTGACGCGCAAATTTGCAAATTATCAGTCGCATTGCCCACGCCCAGACATTGAGGTATACAGCTCGGACAAGTAAGGTCAGATCCTATAAAGGCAACTAACTTGAACACGCATAGATCAATGATGAACCGCTCCCTACTGGCTAAAAATAATTTTAAATAGAAGCAGGTTTTATTGACGGGAATGAATGTAAGTATTATTATATATAATAGACTAGCGGGTAATGTCCGGTCTTGCCCGTGGAAGTTTTTGTTCAGAGAATTGTATATATTACCTTTCCATTAAGTACACGCCCGTCGCAAATTGATTATACTCATCCAGATCTCCACTTCCATTAAACAAGTAAGAGATTCTAGTCGGGTCCAACACAAAATTTAGCTCGCGCTACGCGCTCTTTTGTTTTCATAGTAACAAAGATTAATATAAAAAAATAAAACAAGTAAGAGGTTCTAGTCGGGAGCTCCCGACTAGGAGATACCCTGAACCTTCTTCTTTCAACATCAAATGCATATATATATTCTATTTTAGAAGCTATATGTCAAGTTTGGTGACTCTAGCTCTTATTATTTACCAAAATTGCCCAAAAAACAGGATATCGATATAGATTTTTATCGATTGCTTGGAAACGGAGTAAGTTATCGATTATCGGAAACAAACTCGATCTGCGCGGGAGCTAGGAGCATCTACATCTAAAGTCTCTAGCTCTTATAGGTTCTGAGATCCTTGCGTTCATACATACGGACGGACGGACGGACGGACGGACGTACAGACAGACGGACATGGCTAGATCGACTCGGCTATTGATGCTGATCAAGAATACATATACTTTATGGGGTCGGAGATGCTTCCTTCTGCCTGTTACATACATTTGGATTTTGTACAAATACAATATACCCTTGTACCCATTTTTAATGGGTTCAGGGTATAAAAATAAGTTCCATTCGCAGGGTTCGAAATTGCAACTAACTGCGCTTCTTGCCGCCGTCTCTACTCGACAGTCACACCAAAAAATAAGTCTTAGCGAGAAAAAAAAACGAATTAAAATAGTAGCACAGAAAACAATACAATCGCAATTGCAATGCCGTTGATGAATTCAAAGCAGACGCGCATGAATGTGGGTGTGTACATGCATACAGATATTCTTCGAATTTGCGCTGGTATTCTCACAAAGATCTTTGAAAATGATTTTGAAGCCGATCGGATCGGCAAAAAACTTTTATGCAACCGTTTTCCACTAATTTACCACTGTTGCGGGTGAAATTTCCCAAATTGTTAACACACATATTCATTAAGATCTTTTGTCGAGCTATGCAAATAAGTTTGATGAAAATCGGACAAGGCTTACAACTTCGCCCAAAAAATCTTTGAATCACATTTCCCACCGAATAAGCATTTATTCTACTAAAAGTGTGAAGCAATTTGAGCAAAGATCTTTAAAAGTGAATTTGCGGCCGGTCGGGTGGTAAACAAAAAAGTTTCATAACAACGCTTACCTCAATTTTTCCACACTTGCGGGAGGAAACCCCGTCTTAACGTGATCCTTTATCACATTAGGTAACTACAGTGAAAATTTCAGCTTCCTAGCTCTTACGGTTTGGGTTGTGCGTTGATCACCAACCAGTCAGTCTGCCAGTCTGTCAGTCAGTCAGGACAAACAGTTTTATATATAGAGATAAGCATAAGGAGAACTGAAGTATTAAACAGGCGGATAAGAGGGAAAGATGATCTAGTCGTCCTTTGACTGGATTGATCGACACAGGAATCGCAAGCCTGTCCAAGGACTCGGGTGTACTGTGACAATTACAATACACACAGCCTGCTGAAAAGTTCTTTTACAATTTTGATTTAATACAAAGATGATTATATTTAATAGTCAAAGGGCCTTTGAGATAGTTTTAAGACTATAGGATCAGCAGCCTCACCCACATCTCCAGTCATATGGAACGAAATCACGTTTCGCATGCATAAACAATTTGTTATACTTATGAGATGTATATGGGCATTAGCCAACTGGAAACTGGAGTTACGCATTCATTCCGGCTGCCATGGAAAACCAAAACAAACACGCATGGCAAAATCCTTCATATTGGGTAAGCCTTCTATACCACACAGAGAGAGAGTGTATCCTTTTCCCACTCTGCAAGTGAGGCTTTTGTTTGGTTATTTCGCAAAATTCATTTCGAGGCATAGAAGATTTTAATATGCAGCTCTTTATCGCTGCACTGCAGTGGTAAGCGTCACGCCCCACCACGCCCCACCACCCACGACCAAACACCCAACCAAGGACTCACATACATGGCTAATTTATGCTCAAAGTTGGCTCACTGTTTATCCTCTTCGAAGGGGGGGTATGGGTGTAAGGATTTGCAATGAAATGCACAATAATTCACATTACGCATCCTGCGCATCAGAATGAAACTTACAAGTTGAAAGAAACTTATATCAAGCTGTTCCAACTGAATACTTCTATATGCCGTATATCCCAAGTCGGCTGCTGACTAAGTCATTTACTTATGGAACGACCCTAGGATTTGTGATTCATTCATTCATTAAAAGATGATTTTTGGCAAGTTCAAGTTGAATGAAATGCCTGGGTATATATATACATATATGTTATTTTTACCAAGTCTATTACAAATTCGTATAATATATGCCTACATATATGTATTTTGGGTACTCAGTCTTGGCAGCGAGAGACTACTTATAAATAAGTTTATGCAAGAAAACAATTTAACGCAATGTTTATTTTATTTTTGTTGAATCTAGACGAAGTCAGCTCGAACAGCTGTTCCAAATACTTGGCCAAGCAGAGGCCTCTGCGCGCCTAGAACCTACATACTAAGAAAAAGAGAGAGACGCAGAGAGAGAGAGAGAGAGAGAGAGCAAAACTAACAAGCAACAAGCTGCCAGTCGCCCATTATCGCGGCACGCCCACTTTCCATAGTCAGAGCGCAGACCTTATTGCCTTCGTGCAACAGTGTGCCGGACCGTTTCCACTACAATGTTGCCGGAATTCGGTTCATACATTTTCCAAAATATTAAGAACAGATAAAAAAAAAGAATAACCAAATTTGATTTTTATCGATTGCTTGAAAACGGAACAAGATATCGATTATAGGTTCTACGTGTTCTTACATACGGAAAGACAGACGGACGGACAGGCATGGCCAGAATATATATATATTTCACGGAGTCGGAGATGCTTCTTTCTGGCTGTTACATACATTTGAACAAATACATTATACCCTCAAGCATTTTCAATGGGTTCAGGGTATAAAACAACTTGGAATTGCGCATTCACAACGATTCGGTCTGCAAGCCTTAATGTATGCAAATGCTTAAGAATTTGTCGTGCGCTGCACACATTGCGTATACTTGAACCACTGTGCACTGAGATACTTTTTGGTCGCCGCTGCTGCCGCATGCTGCGTGCCGCAGTTTTTGGCGCTCGGCGCTCGCCGCTCGGCGGCATTCGGCAATCGGCATTTTCCCAGTCGCCGTTCGACCGTGCTCGTCAGTCTAGAGAGTAATATCGACACGAAAAGTAAGTTGGCCTGTGGGTCCCTGTCCGTTGGCCCACAGCAGCTAAATCGAGTATAGAATTTATAAGTGTGTGAGCATATAATCATTTACATAGTTCTACATGTGATGGAACTGCGTGGAAAACGTGGAAAATCCATGCGTACGAATCAGTTGCCGCGCGTGTGCTTTTCCAATAGGCAATTGCATAAGAAATGCAATTAAATCTATGTTCAAAATATGAACAATTTTGAAAGAAATTTTCAAATTCTGTGCTAGTTTTTTGTGCTGCCCAGGGCTTTGCGTGTGATATTTTTGGACTGGATGTCTGAAGCGCTCGTTTACTCTTCGGGCGCGTTCGTGCGGCGAAAAAACCCAAAAATAAACACACGACAGTGCTGCAAACTGCCAAAATGTCTTCTGGCTAGATTGAAAGAAGTATCACACTTATATCTATATATATAAAAGATATAATGAAATCCCAATGTGGGTGCTAGTGCCGGATATAATCCAATATATAATATTAGACGCTGCGTCCATTGCGTGCCATCGGACCCTGGATTACTGATGGCCGCAGTGGGAGCGTCCTAGTGAAATCCTGATGCCAAGTCAAATGTCTCTATACTTTGCACAGATATCAGTGGATATATATAACATGAATATAATTATTAACATATTCTTTGTATCATGCTAGCGACGCCTTGCGAATCCCTAATTTATTTATATTGGGCATGCTCAGATGCATATGCTCATCTACGTAACATTTAAAAATTTGCGGCCTAAAGTCCACAGTAAATTTGGCATGGCCCCAAAAAACAAAATATATTAAATAGAATCCACCTATTTATACAATTAACCATATTATATACACAACATCTGAATGAGGCGCACATAACATGCTGAAAAGCACGCGAAGGCGCCGCAAAACAAAATGACAAATGACACAGAAATGCGACTAGGAAAAGTGGGGAAAACAAATTGGAAAAACCGGCAGAACAGCTGTGCCAACTTGGCAAGCAAAAGCATATGACAAACTTGTAAAAGCCGACGAGCCCACCACGCTAACTTGTGGCAAGAGCGAGAGGGGGACAGAGAGAGAGAGAGAGAGAGAGAGAGAGAGAGAGAGATGGAAAGTTTTCTCTCGCGAGAGTAAATCTCTGTATACAAGGTCAAACATGACTAAATCGTGTAATTTTTCGCATTATAGAGAATTGTCGTTTAGGCATGACCAAAGAATATGTTTGTAATTATATTTGTAATCAAAACTAGTTCGAACCGTTTTTTTAATTGCTCCTAGAGACCGGTTTGAGAGTTACCTGGGAAAATAGACAAATAAACGAAATACTACACACAATTGCATAAAACTTGGTTTGGACGCTGCAGTCGTTGCGTAAACCGGCAAAATGGCTGAAGCGGAAGGTGGCTCCGAGCAGGATGATGTCTCATTCCTGAGAACGGTGAGTAAAAAAACAAATAAATATATAAAATACAAGAAAACAATTTGAAAGCACATCTAAAATCAATTACGTTCAGTCAATAAAACATGACGAGGATTTCACACAATTGATGTCATAAAGCACACACACACACGTGCTAGACAGGGGCGCTGATGGGGCTCCATAAAGGATACACGAATCCTATTTATTTATGGCTTCAGACACACAGCCCCAACTTTCTTTATGGCTGTCAATAAATACAAAAGTCAGGTCCACACTTTCAATCACAGCAGTTTAAGGCTTTCGCCAGATTTGTTGGCTCAATTTACATAAACAGCAGCGAGGTGTGGACTGGGAGATGAACACATCAGCTGACAAATGCACCTGGACATATATATATGTAACACCCTTAACTTGAGGGTGCGCTTTTCTAGTTTTATTAACTTTAGTATTAATACCCCTTGCTTAGGCACATCTATAAATGATAATAACAACGTTATTGGCCCTATTCATAAATGTAAAATATGTATTCGTATTTATACAAAAATATATATTTCATATTTACTTATCTGTTAACTCACACGCATAATTATTTTATCGTTAAACTTGTACAAACAAATAACTGAAAGAACAGAAAAAGTAGAGATATTGCTTAATATAGTCAGAATCGCGTAATAGAGCAGTATTTATGAATTCATGTCTGGGTCATCTTTAGCTCGACTTAATATACGCACTCATATAAATAAAGGTATTCAAATACATTCAAATATATACATTTCCACCAAGAAGGCTAGGTTTGAAAAATGTGAAACAAGTCTTCAATGAATTTTCATAAAAAGTTTTGGAACTCTTTTTGAAGCCAAGACCTGACACAACAAGTCTTTGACCCCATTCCCAACAAGGAGAAATGGATATTCCGTATAGTATGAAACACGCCTCAAATCAAATTCAACGAAAATATTTCGAAATTTAAATTATTTAATTCAAAATAAAATTAAAGTAACTACGGTTTGTGCTGTGATTTCATCACCAATTAGTCAGTCAGGAGAAATAGTTTTTATACCCTGAACCCATTAAAAATGGGTATAAGGGTATATTGTATTTGTGCAAAATCCAAATGTATGTAACAGGCAGAAGGAAGCATCTCCGACCCCATAAAGTATATATATTCTTGGTCAGCATCAATAGCCGAGTCGATCTAGTCTAGTCCGTCTGTCTGTCCGTCCGTCTGTCCGTATGTATGAACGCAAGGATCTCGGAACCTATAAAAGCTAGAGACTTGAAATTTTAGATGTAGATGCTCCTAGCTCGCGCGCAGATCGAGTTTGTTTCCGATAATCGATAGCTTACTCCGTTTCCAAGCAATCGATAAAAATCAATATCGATGTCCTGTTTTTTGGGCAATTTTGGTAAATAATAAGAGCTAGAGTCACCAAACTTGACATATAGCTTCTAAAATAGAATATATATATGCATTTGATGTTGGAAGAAGAAGGTTCAGGGTATCCCCTAGTCGGGAGCTCCCGACTAGAACCTCTTACTTGTTTATATATAAAGTCGTATATTGCCTACCTACCTGCCTGTATCAAAACCTACACCTGGCGCCGAAAATGACAGTCATTATCTGTAAATATGTATAGTTAAATCTGTCTGTAAATAAATAGCCCTTGGCCAGTGTGTTGCCCGTAATCCTTGGCGGTTCCCCCAGGGGCCAAGGAGGTCAGCCTGGGCACCTGCCTGCAATAAATAAACATTCTCCTATGCTTTGTAGCCGTATCTATTACTTTGCTGCCCGCCGGCTTTACCGATGCTCAAATTCAATAAATATGCTCCAAATATAGGCTGAAACACAGTAAGTGTTTTTCTACTTTGACCATTTTTTATATTGTGTGTCCTGTGGCCAGGAAATGCTGGGGGGCGTTGTTGTTTTCACAAGACAACTACGCCAGGGGAGAAATTTTCTTGGGTTTTTCTTTTTAGTTGTTTGCCGTCAAATTAGACTTAACGATAATTCTTTCAAATTTATAGCAATAGCTTCCCAAAGGATGTCTGACCTGGTAGAATGGAATACAAATGTATGCGTTAGAATGGAATAGAACGCACCACTCTAATTGTTCTAATTCTGAAATGATCAGCATTTTTACAATATAAACTATCAAAAACTCTAAGAATCTTCCGCTTATACCATTCATAGATTCTGGCATCGACTTTAGCTTAAACTCGTTGTGAATTATAACTAACAACAGCAAAGCGAGCAGAGACAAAACCTTCCTTCCAAATGTTTGCACCTAGATTGTAGTTGTCAGCTCATTGTCCCAGCCAAATGACTAAAATGTTGTGTTTGGCAATTCATTCCGATTGAAAATATGTAAATTGCTCGATTTGAAATCCATTACCGTTCATTTAACTTCGACTACACACAATAATTCTGGCCACACACCCAACTGACTTGGCCAAGTGCTAGGGTTGGGGCTGTGGTCATAGATGATGATGCCTCAAATTCGGTAACACGCTCGCAAGAGTAGCCTTTGCATCGATTCATGTCCTCAGTCAGGCTCATTTTGCGGGTGCATAGCTTTTGGTTGACTGGTCATTCAGGACGCTTGGGTAAACCAATTGGCAATTGGCAAGTGGTATTTGGATGACATGAATGCTGTCTCGTTGCCCAAAAGAGGGGCAAACGTAACGCACTTTCGGTGCAATTGAAATAAACTGTCGCCTGTGAGTTACCATAAACACTGTGATTAATATTATGATCTGTCAATTTACAGGAAGATATGGTCACGCTTTCCTGCACAGCAACTGGAGAACGTGTCTGCTTGGCCGCTGAGGGATTCGGTAACCGGCATTGTTTTCTCGAAAATATTGCCGATAAAAATGTACCGCCTGACTTGTCCCAATGCGTTTTTGTCATTGAGCAAGCCCTATCCGTGCGTGCGCTTCAAGAACTGGTGACAGCAGCTGGATCAGAGACCGTAAGTCCTTAACCAATTGTTTATCTTATTATATTGATTATAAGACCGTAACTTATCAGCATGAGATTAGTCTGACAAAATAAGAACCACTTCTACCTTCTACCCAATTATGTCGTACGCTACTTCCGTTGTTTCCTCTTTCCAACTCCTACGAACATGTAGTCCATGTATTAAATTCCTTCTTCAATAATAATTCACATATATTCATCTTTAAAAAAAAAAAAACGTATCTACAAATCCTCTCCCTCTGCATGACCTCACTATAATTTCCATTTCTCTTTTTACACAAATTGTAACCTATAAATTTCTCGTTATTTTTCAAAATTTTTCTAAATACACAACAGGATAGTCAAGTTGTAAGTATAAAGAACGTTCTTTACTCGTATTTTGACTTTAAAATCGCGCTTCTTTCTCTTTTTTTCTTAATTTATAACTATTACTGTATCTATTCTTTCTCTTTTTCACTCTGCCAGTCTAATGTAGTTGTTGTCCTTATTATTATTACTATTATTATTGTTATAATTATTATATTGCTATTGCCGCTACATTTGCTTCTCTGTCTCGTCCAGCGGGCTTCAGCTAGTTTAATCTATTAGCATTTAAATATGTGTTACTCTCTCTCTCTTTCTCTCTGTCTCTCTGACTCTTTCTGTATATGTTTTCCGACGATTTGTGAAGAACCAGACCGTGGATTCAGTTGACAAATCAGTTATCAAATCGACTGCTCCTACCGCATTTAACAATCTCATTGACATACTCATCAAGAGTGAATTTTGCCTCAGTTCTACCCACAAAGCATCATTCAACTTAACCTGGCATTCTCAATTAACTTCAAGTGCAAAACTCTCAACTACACAATGCTAATTATCAACACTTCGCGATGATGCACTCAGAGAAAAACTCAAGAATGTTGTTTAATTGTCAATATTCGAATAAGGCGTATGTTAGTTTAAAGAAAGCTTTTTCTTTGACAACAATGCTTATTTAACATATTTCAATTCTTTTCTACTTTAATTAATGCTAAAATATAAAACATCATATTTCTCTGAGTGCGCTTTACATAGTTGTTCATTCTCATTCTTTTTTTCTTACTATACACTGATTGTAGTAGCTGTAGAAACCCAAGCAATTCCCCTTAAACTCTCCGAACATCATTTTGTGGCTGCTTACTTATTAATTTTCAAATCTTCAGGGTAAAGGCACTGGATCTGGCCATAGAACACTACTCTATGGCAATGCCATACTTCTCAGGCATCACAACAGCGATATGGTAAGCTGGACTTTTGATAGTTTTGATAATAGATATTTCCAATTGATCATATTTATATCCTTGCAGTACCTCGCCTGCTTGTCAACCTCATCGTCGAATGATAAGCTCTCCTTCGACGTGGGCCTGCAGGAGCATAGCCAGGGTGAGGCCTGTTGGTGGACCGTCCATCCGGCCAGCAAACAGCGTTCAGAAGGTGAAAAGGTTCGTGTCGGCGATGATTTAATTCTGGTGTCCGTTGCCACCGAACGGTATCTGCACACAACGAAGGAGAACGAGCAGTCCATTGTGAATGCCAGCTTCCATGTGACCCACTGGTCCGTGCAGCCATACGGCACTGGCATATCACGCATGAAATATGTCGGCTATGTGTTTGGTGGAGATGTCTTGCGTTTCTTCCACGGCGGCGACGAGTGCCTGACCATACCCAGTACGTGGGGCCGTGAAGCAGGTCAAAAGTAAGTCGCATCTTAATGCAATCTTCATCGAAGTTGAGGTAAAACTAACAGGTATCATTAACTACCAGCATTGTCATATACGAGGGAGGCGTGGTCATGGCACAGGCGCGTTCTCTGTGGCGTCTGGAGTTGGCGCGCACCAAGTGGACGGGCGGCTTCATAAACTGGTACCATCCCATGCGTATACGTCATATAACAACGGGACGCTATTTGGGCGTCAACGATAGCAACGAGCTTATCCTGGTCAAAAAGGAGGAGGCATCGATTGCAACGACGACTTTCTGCCTGAGGCAAGAAAAAGACGACGAAAAGAAAGTACTCGAGGACAAAGACTTAGAAATAATCGGCTCGCCGATCATCAAATATGGTGACACTACGGTCATTGTACAGCATTGTGAATCCAGCCTGTGGCTCAGTTACAAGAGCTACGAGACAAAAAAGAAGGGTGTCGGCAAGGTGGAGGAGAAACAGGCCATTTTGCACGAAGAAGGCAAAATGGACGATTGCCTGGACTTTTCGCGCTCGCAGGAGGAGGAATCAAAGACGGCACGCGTCATCCGAAAATGTAGCAGCCTCTTCACTCAGTTCATAACGTAAGCTCTAACTTATCCCTGTTTTCGTAGAAAGAAAAGAATTTCTTAGTAATAACTTAAGTTATTTCTCACTTTCAGGGCCTTGGAAACTTTGCAGTCCAATCGTCGGCATTCAGTTTTTTTCCAAAAAGTTAACCTTAATGAGATGGTCATGTGCCTGGAAGATTTAATCAACTACTTCTCGCAGCCAGAAGATGATATGGGTATGCTTCATAAGAGCTTAAGTAGCTTAAAGTATATTAAAAACTGTCTTCCTTTTTTGTAAAAACAACATAGAACACGAGGAGAAACAAAACCGTTTTCGTGCCTTGCGCAATCGCCAGGATCTGTTCCAGGAAGAGGGCGTGCTCAATCTCATACTGGAGGCCATTGACAAGATAAACATTATTACCTCGCAAGGCTTCTTGGCCAGTTTTCTGGCCGGCGATGAGACCGGCCAGAGTTGGGATTTAATCTCCACGTACCTGTACCAACTGCTGGCCGCCATCATCAAGGGCAACCACACGAACTGCGCCCAGTTTGCAAACAGCAATCGCCTAAACTGGCTCTTCTCCCGTCTGGGCTCACAGGCGTCCAGTGAAGGATCCGGCATGTTGGATGTGCTACACTGTGTGCTCATCGACTCTCCGGAGGCGCTGAACATGATGCGCGATGAGCACATCAAAGTGATTATATCGCTGCTAGAAAAGCACGGACGTGACCCCAAAGTTCTCGATGTCCTCTGCTCTCTATGTGTGGGTAACGGAGTTGCAGTGCGCTCTTCGCAGAATAACATATGCGATTTTTTGCTGCCCGGCAAGAATCTACTGTTGCAAACATTGCTGGTCGATCATGTGGCGAGTATACGGCCCAATATCTTTGTTGGCCGCGTCGACGGCTCCTCCATGTACCAGAAGTGGTATTTCGAGGTGACCATGGATCACATTGAGCAAACAACGCACATAATGCCCCACCTACGCATTGGATGGGCCAATACGTCCGGCTATGTGCCCTATCCCGGCGGCGGTAAGAAATGGGGCGGCAATGGCGTCGGCGATGACCTCTACTCATTTGGCTTCGATGGCGCCCACCTGTGGACTGGCGGACGCAAATCGCTTGTCGTGGATGCATTGCCCGAAGAACCGTTCATCAGGAAGGGTGATGTCATTGGCGTCGCCATAGATCTGTCCGTGCCAGTAATAACGTTCACCTTTAATGGCGCCAAGGTACGCGGCTGCTTCAGGGATTTCAATCTGGATGGCATGTTCTTCCCGGTGATGAGTTGCTCATCCAAACTGAGTTGCCGCTTTCTGTTTGGTGGTGATCATGGTCGCTTGAAGTATGCACCACCTATGGGCTTTTCGGCGCTCGTACAGTGCCTGATGCCTCATCAGATTTTAAGCCTGGATCCTTGCTTCTACTTTGGTAATCTAAGCAAAAACGTATTGGCCGGACCCTGGCTCATCGAGGATGATACACCCTTTGTGCCTAAGCCCGTGGATACGACAGGCGTTTCCCTGCCAAGCTCTGTGGACCAAATTAAGGAGAAGCTTGCAGAGAATATACACGAAATGTGGGCCTTAAATAAAATCGATGCTGGCTGGACCTGGGGCGAACATCGAGACGACTATCATCGCATACATCCCTGCCTCACCCAGTTCGAAAAACTGCCAGCTGCTGAGAAGCGCTATGACAATCAACTAGCGGTCCAAACATTAAAGTAAGCACAATTAAATGCTCTCGAATGCACTTTTTATTTGAACGTTCTGCTCCCGCTCTACAGAACCATTATTTCGTTGGGCTACTATATAACCATGGATAAGCCGCCGGCACGCATACGTCCCGTCCGCCTGCCCAACGAGATATTCATGCAAGCCAATGGCTACAAGCCGGCACCGCTTGACTTAAGCGCCGTGACGCTGACGCCAAAGCTGGAGGAGCTTGTGGATCAGTTGGCTGAGAACACGCACAATTTGTGGGCACGAGAACGCATCCAACAGGGTTGGACCTACGGTCTGAACGAAGATTCTGAGAATCATCGCAGTCCCCATCTGGTGCCGTATGCCAAGGTCGATGAGGCCATCAAGAAGGCGAATCGCGATACTGCCTCCGAGACGGTGCGTACCCTGTTGGTCTATGGCTATGTCCTGGATCCACCCACTGGAGAGGGCACTGAAGCGCTGCTAGCCGAGGCACAACGCCTGAAATTCGCCGCATTCCGGACGTATCGAGTGGAGCGCAATTATGCTGTTACCTCGGGCAAATGGTATTTTGAATTTGAGGTCCTGACGGCGGGTCCAATGCGCGTTGGCTGGGCTCGCGCCGATTGCTATCCGGGAGCGATGCTGGGCAGCGAGGACACCAGCTGGGCGTTTGATGGTCACAATGTGAGTATACAAGGTTCCAGGGTTGTTCTGTAGGATCTGTCTACGTTATACCCAAGGATTTATGGTTTGAACGAAGGTTCCATTGTGCCTGCCCTCCGGGGGGTAGCGTGATGTCCAGTTCACATCGATAGGTTAGACTTTAATGATCAAGATCAACTCAAAACCCAAACATGATTATAGGTGACAAAAATGCATGCCGGAACGATCGAGCACTTTGGTGTTCGCTACGAGGCTGGTGACGTCATTGGTTGTTTCATCGATGTTAAGGAGCAAACCATCAGTAAGGATTCTAGCTGCACTGTCAACGTTTCAACGTTGTTTTACTTATTGAAATTTCGTTATGATCGAACGCATTTTGTTTAACTCTCTCTACTTTTTATCATTCAATAATTTGTTTTCTAATCAATACTTTTTTGTTAATTTAGCGATACTCTTTCACATCTGATCATTAACCAAAACCAAAACCAACATAGATACATGTGTATAACTGGGGCTTTGAAAGATCACAAGATCAATCTGTACATTAAACATAATATTACAACTTTTTAGGAAGAGAAAGTCTACGGTGGCAACAGTGAATCCTTTGGTAAACAGTGTGGACCCGGGGATATAGTCGGAGTCTTTTTAGATCTAGCCGATCATACTATTAGTAAGAATTTCTTCTACATGCTCGTTTGTTGTAATGTACCCCCAAACAAGATATGTACATCCGTGCTTTTGATATCTACTAAATGTCAAGGTCCCTGCTATACGAAAGCTAAGTACAATACATATGCATATTCAGTGTATCACATAAAAAGTGTCAACAAAGACCCAACGACCGACAGATCAACAATGTACTGTGAAATGGATAAAAAACAAAAATACATATAGTCAATATTCGAAGCAGGGCATCATATTTCGAACCACATACAAATCGGATAATGTTAAATATACAAAACAAAAATGCATTTATAGAAACATTTTGTAGTCCATTATAAATATTGCTCTTTTTTTTTTTAATAAGTCCAACAAATGTCCCATGCCCTAACACCTGATTTTTGTTACTTTGAACACAAAGCCTAACTATTGCATAATATCGAAGGACTACCTGAGCAAAAGGTGACACATCAGCTCATCTAAAATGCTTATTACCTAATTATTGCCTGTAACTACATCCATAGTATTAAGTTTCAATATTGACTAATTAAAGAATGAAATCGAAACTGAAGTTTCATAATATCTAAGTCAAATTTCGGTTACGATTTCAATCAGCCTACCAAAATATTATACAACAATTTGGCATGATAGCTTACAGTTGAATCTGTTTAATCCGCTTTTCTTTTGTGGCAACTAAACCAAGAACTGCAAAGTGAACTGCAAGCAATCTAACACGCACGCATTTTGTATAGGAATTTATTTTGTTTTTCTAGTGCGATGTGACTTTTTGGTGAATTTTGATTTCTATTTAGAAAGTCAAGGCATTACGGATCGATTAGTAAGCACATTTTGTGATCCTGTGCAGATTACGGCCTGATTAGAATTCTTAATTTATTTCAAAGCGGCTTCGCTTAGATACGTTTATGCATAACATACGTTCAAATTCTGCTGGCTGATTAAGAACTAAATCAAATTCAAAACCTTATACAGGCTTCTCATTGAACGGAGAACTGCTTATGGATGCCCTGGGTGGCGAGACAACATTTGCCGATGTCACTGCCGAGGGCGTGGGCTTTGTGCCCGCCTGCACCTTGGGCGTGGGTCAGAAGGCGCGTTTAATTTACGGTCAAGATGTGGACTCCCTAAAGTTCTTCACCACGTGTGGTCTACAGGAAGGTTACGAGCCATTCTGTGTGTAAGTATTCGGAATGAGAAACATGATCGGAATTGAAATATTATCCGTCCCATTTGCAGCAATATGCGACGCCCAGTTACGCATTGGTACACAAAAGATCAGCCTATATTTGAGAACACCGAGGAAATGCCCGATTGCCGCATTGATGTGACGCGTATTCCTGGTGGTGCCGATACTCCGCCTCATTTGAAAATCTCGCATAACACGTTTGAGACAATGGAAAAAGCGAACTGGGAATTCCTGCGTCTCTCCCTGCCTGTTACTTGCATGAGTGACTTCATCAGCGAACAGGAGAAGGCGAGGCGCTGGGAAGAAATCAAAATTCGCCAATACCGCTTAATGCGAGAAGCACAAGAGGCGGCAGCACAAATGCAAACCCAAACAGTGGCACATATGGATCACATGCTCAAGGGCGGCTTCAACATGAACGACATCAAGGGTTTGACACGCAATTTCGATGACCACGCCGAGGCAGAGGCAGAGCATATGATGCGTGTGCCCTCGCGACCATCACGCAAAGGCTCCTTGACGCGTAATATAACCTTTGAGTCCGATATGACGGCTGCATTAGATGAGATGCAGCGCTCGTCTTCGGTGTTGGATATAAATGGCTTGGGGGATGAATTGGATGACAAAAAGAAACGTGGTCGTAGTCCATTCAAGTTCTTTTCGAAGAAATCCCGCGATCAGAGCCGTGAGAAAAATGGAGCAAGAACTGCAGATGCGTCGCTAGAACGCAGAAATACGGTAGCCCATGGCAGGAACGTGGTTAACCAGCAGATGACAACACGAACACCAACGCTACGACTAAATAATGTGAGTAGAAGAAGACTTTTATTCCATACAAACAGTTTATGTATAAACTTACTTCAGGCCGAAATACCACCCAGCCCAGTGCCTCAGGGTCCAAAGCAGTTGAGCTCATCGAACTTGGGCCAGCCGCCCGTGGAATCATCTGGAAATGAAATGTTCGATGCCGAGTGCCTTAAGCTGATCAACGAATACTTTTATGGTGTGCGCATTTTCCCTGGTCAGGATCCCACCCATGTTTACGTGGGCTGGGTGACCACCCAATATCATCTGCACAGTCGCGAGTTCAATAAGAGCAAGGTGCGACGGGGCTCGGTATACATTGAAGATTACTATGAAGTGCCCATCGAGCGCATAGATCGTCAGAGCTGTTACGTAGTACGCGCGGATGAGCTCTTCAACGAGGTAACGCAAGATGCTTCGGGCAAAGGTGCGTCGCAGGGCATGTTTGTAGGCTGTTTTGTGGACACAGCAACAGGCATCATACGGTTCACTTGCGAGGGCAAGGATACCTCACATCGCTGGATGATGGAACCGGATACGAAATTATTTCCAGCCATTTTCGTTGAAGCCACCAGCAAGGAGATCCTTCAAATTGAGCTCGGTCGAACACCAACTACGCTACCCCTGTCGGCAGCCGTGCTGCCCACCAGCGACAAGCACATTAATCCACAATCGCCACCTCGATTGAAGGTGCAGTGCCTGCGGCCACATCAGTGGGCACGTGTTCCCAACACATCGTTACAGGTGCATGCGCTCAAGCTCTCGGACATACGTGGCTGGTCGATGCTCTGCGAAGATCCAATCTCAATGCTAGCGCTACACATACCCGAGGAGGATCGTTGCATCGACATATTGGAGCTTATCGAAATGGATAAGCTGCTCTCCTTTCATGCGCACACGCTCACGCTCTATGCCGCGCTCTGCTATCAGTCAAACTATCGGGCTGCACATGCACTTTGCCAGCATGTCGATCAGAAGCAGCTGCTTTATGCCATACGCTCGGAGTACATGAGTGGACCGCTGCGTCAAGGTTTCTATGATCTACTCATAGCCCTGCATCTGGAGTCGCATGCCACCACAATGGAGGTATGCAAAAATGAATATATTACACCCTTGGGTGTTGAACTGAAGGAACTGTACGCTGAAGATGAAATGCGTCACTCGCTCCGTTCGCTTGTCACGGAGTCTGTGCGCCCACAGCTGCGCATGACGGAAATCACGTAAGTGCAGACGTGTTAGGTTAGCTGCGGCTCCTAAGATTACTTCCTTGCATTATCACACAGTAGTAGACCACATTTACATACTTGTACATTTTAACGACAGGCATAAGTATGAAAGGTTCTCTTTTCTGTGGCCCATTATCCATATTGCATCTGTGGTTTGCTCATAACCCATTTTATTTCCAATACTTTCAATCAAAACACCTGCACTGATCCAACACTCTATGCACCACCAATCGATACCGATACCGATCACAACAACAACAACAACAACAACTCCACCCGTTCAGACCCCCTGTGATTGCAACATCTAGTATGCCAAGTGTTTCTAGCGAACCGATACCCAACATCGATCAGTTGTACTCCCCGAAGTTCCCATTAGAAGTAGTCAGAGAATTTGTAATGGAAGCTTTAAAGGATGCTGTGGAAATAAATCAAGTGCACAACCGTGATCCCATCGGTTGGACCAATGAGAACCTATTTTTGTAAGTATACGGAATATAAATGCATAATCGTGTGTCGATAATTTATTAACGATTTACGAATTTAATTGTAGACCACTTATTAAGCTTACGGATCGCCTACTGTTAGTGGGCGTCCTTACTGATGAGGACGTTCAGAAACTATTGGTAATGGTGGACCCAGAGACTTGGGATGCCACTTTCGAGAAAGGTGGGAAATGACTGAAGGAAACTTATACAAGAAGCTTTAAAAAATATTCAACACAATTTATCAAAGTCGTATCTAATCCTTTAACTTATCTTTTTGCAGAGGGGAAAGACGAGCATCGCAAAGGCCTGCTCACCATGAAAATGGCTGAGGGAGCCAAACTACAAATGTGCTACCTGTTGCACCATCTGTATGATACTCAACTTCGGCATCGGGTGGAGAGCATAATTGCGTTCTCACACGATTTTGTGGGCGATCTACAAACCGATCAGTTGCGCCGTTATATCGAGATTAAACAATCCGATTTGCCAAGTGCTGTTGCGGCCAAAAAGACTAAGGAATTCCGTTGTCCACCCCGAGAACAAATGAACCAGATTCTGTGCTTTAAGAATCTTGAGGTTGACGATCAGGACAACTGCACCTGTGGTCTTGAGTTGCGCAGTCGCCTAAGCGAATTCCACGACTGTCTAATGCAAAAGGTGTCGCTGAATGCGCTGCAGGAGCCTGATGGTACCGAGAGCAATGCAATCGAAGAAATCAAAACTGGCCCCATAACGAAAATCTATAATTTTATCAATACCGTCAAGGAATTAGAAGAGGGACCCAAAGAAGTGGAGGAGCCTGAGAAAAAGACACCTGAAGAGATTTTCCGCAAAGTCCTAATTAAAACCATCGTCAGCTGGGCTGAAGAATCGCAAATAGAGAATCCAAAATTAGTGCGCGAGATGTTCAGTTTACTAGTACGGCAATACGATACGGTCGGTGAGCTGGTAAGAGCTCTGGAGAAGACCTATGTGATTAACAACCGAGCACGGGATGATGTCGCTGAGATGTGGGTTGGCTTGAGCCAGATTCGTGCATTGCTGCCCGTCCAAATGAGCCAGGAAGAGGAGGAGCTTATGCGTAAGCGTCTCTGGAAATTGGTCAACAATGCCACATTCTTCCAGCATCCAGATTTGATACGCATTCTGCGCGTTCATGAAAACGTCATGGCCGTCATGATGAATACTCTAGGCCGCCGTGCTCAAGCCCAGAGTGATGCCCCCACCCAGACCGAGGGGGCCGAGGGTGTTCCTTCCAAGGAGAAAGACACATCACACGAAATGGTCGTGGCCTGCTGCCGCTTCCTCTGTTACTTTTGCCGTACCGGCCGTCAAAACCAAAAGGCCATGTTCGATCATTTTGACTTTCTGCTGGACAATGCGAATATATTGTTAGCCAGACCCAGTCTGCGTGGTTCCACACCATTGGATGTGGCATATTCGAGTTTGATGGAGAACACAGAATTAGCTCTGGCACTTAGGGAGCACTATTTGGAGAAAATTGCCGTTTATCTATCCAGATGTGGCCTGCAAAGCAATTCGGAGCTTGTTGAAAAGGGCTACCCCGATTTGGGCTGGGATCCAGTCGAGGGTGAACGATATCTGGACTTTTTGCGTTATTGCGTTTGGGTCAACGGCGAGAGTGTCGAGGAGAATGCTAACCTTGTCATTCGTCTTCTTATCCGTCGTCCAGAATGTTTGGGACCGGCTCTAAGAGGAGAAGGAGAAGGTCTCTTCCGGGCAATCGTCGAGGCCAATCGTATGTCGGAGCGCATATCAGATCGTTGTAAAATGCAAGACGAAGCCGAAGGCACCATAGCCGGACTTAATTTTACACATCCGTTGCCCGAAGGCGATGAAGACGAGGACTACATCGATACCGGTGCCGCCATATTGAACTTCTATTGTACGCTTGTTGACCTGCTGGGAAGATGCGCTCCAGACGTGTCTGTCATCGAGCAAGGCAAGAACGAATCACTGAGAGCTAGAGCTATTTTGAGATCTCTTGTGCCACTGGAAGACCTTCAGGGTGTGCTCAGCTTAAAGTTTACGCTCACACAAACTGCTCCCGGGGAGGAGCGTCCGAAATCGGATATGCCCTCAGGCCTCTTACCCAATAACAAGCAGAGCATAGTGTTATTTTTGGAACGTGTATATGGCATCGAAACGCAAGATCTTTTCTATCGGCTGCTGGAAGATGCATTTTTGCCGGATCTGCGTACTGCCACTATTTTGGATAAGAGTGATGGTTCCGAAAGCGACATGGCCTTGGCCATGAATCGCTATATCGGCAACTCCATTTTGCCATTGCTTATCAAGCACTCAAAGTTCTATAACGAGGCTGAAAACTATGCCAGCCTCTTGGATGCCACACTGCACACGGTCTATAGGTTATCCAAGAACCGTATGCTAACCAAGGGGCAGCGTGAGGCAGTATCCGATTTCCTAGTGGCGTTGACATCGCAAATGCAACCTGCCATGCTTCTGAAGCTATTGCGCAAGTTGACTGTTGATGTATCCAAGCTATCGGAATACACGACGGTTGCACTCAGGGTAAGTTTGAAAGTCAAAAATAGTATTATACCTACATTATAGCAAATAATACTTATTTCGGGGGAAAGCCTAGTCACTAGTCGATTAATAAACTGTTCCCTTTCTACAGCTGCTCACACTGCACTTCGATCGCTGCGCCAAGTACTATGGCTCGACTCAAGGCCAGGGCTCATATGGGGCTTCGTCAGATGAGGAGAAGCGTTTAACAATGCTTCTGTTCTCGAACATTTTTGACTCGCTGAGCAACATGGACTATGACCCGGAACTGTTCGGTAAAGCCCTGCCCTGTCTAATAGCCATCGGCTGTGCCCTGCCACCAGATTACAGTCTATCGAAAAATACCGACGAGGATTACTATGGCAGACAAATGGGCGCACCCGATCAACCGCAATATGTACCAAATCCAATCGATACCAACAATGTACATTTGGACAATGACTTGAATTCGTTGGTTCAAAAGTTCAGCGAACATTATCACGATGCTTGGGCCAGTCGCCGATTGGAAGGTGGCTGGACATATGGCGAAGTTCGGTCCGATAACGACCGCAAGCATCCACGCCTCAAGCCCTACAATATGCTTAGCGAATATGTACGTAGTATCTATACATTGAGCAACTCGTTCTAATGGCCATACTCATCGTTAATTGCAATCATATGCATCTTCTACATGTGTCTCTGAGAATATTGAGAACCATTTATCTAATATTTTAAACTGATCTTTCAGGAACGTGAGCGCTACCGTGATCCAGTGCGTGAATGCCTTAAGGGTCTCCTGGCCATTGGCTGGACCGTTGAGCATTCTGAAATGGATTTACCACTCAATCATCGTGGCTCTACGCGTCGTCAATCGAAGCCTACAATTGTATGTATCCCAACACTACTGACTAATATATATTTCCCAATATTTCTCTAACGCCTCTTGAAAATTTCTTCCGCCTGCAATGGAATACCCCTAACACAATTGGCAAAACCACTTGTACTCAAAAACCTGAACACACGCTTGCTTTCACACTGCTGGCGCTTAAACAAATAGCATGATTTTCAGAATGAGGGCAGCCCCTTCAACTATAATCCACATCCTGTGGACATGAGCAACTTGACACTAAGCAGAGAAATGCAGAACATGGCCGAACGTCTGGCTGAGAACTCACACGACATATGGGCGAAGAAGAAGAACGAAGAGCTGAACGGTTGCGGCGGTGTCATACATCCACAGTTGGTTCCCTATGATTTACTCACGGACAAGGAAAAGAAGAAGGATCGCGAGCGCTCGCAGGAGTTCCTCAAATATATGCAGTATCAGGGATACAAATTGCACAAGTAAATAGTAACGAGAAGGAACTAAACTAAACATTCTAGCTTAAACCCTATATTCCTGTTACTGATAGGCCCTCCAAGGGTGGCGCTGTTGAGGAAGGAGGTGCCACACAGGCTGCCGTTGAGCTGCGCTTCTCCTATTCGCTGCTGGAGAAGCTCATCCAATATCTGGACCGTGCGACCATCAACATGAAGCTGCTGAAGCCATCGACCACGTTTAGTCGAAGAACCTCATTTAAGACGGCATCGCGAGACATCAAGTTTTTCTCAAAGGTGGTGCTGCCTCTGATGGAAAAGTACTTCTCAACCCATCGCAATTACTTTATTGCCATTGCCACGGCCACAAACAACATAGGCGCCGCTTCGCTCAAGGAGAAAGAAATGGTTGCATCCATATTCTGTAAACTAGCCGCATTGTTGCGCAATCGTTTGAGCGCTTTTGGACCTGATGTACGCATCACTGTGCGCTGCCTGCAGGTGCTTGTCAAGGGCATTGACGCCAAGACATTGACCAAAAATTGTCCCGAATTTATTCGCACATCTATGCTAACATTTTTCAATCAAACGTCCGATGATCTGGGCAACACCATTATGAATCTACAGGACGGAAAGTATAGCCATCTGCGTGGCACACACCTGAAGACCTCCACATCGCTGGGCTACGTCAATCAGGTTGTGCTGCCAGTGCTAACAGCCATGTTTGACCACTTGGCCGCCTGTGATTATGGCAGTGATCTGCTGCTGGATGAAATTCAGGTGGCTTCTTACAAGATCTTGGCTGCTCTATACCATTTGGGCACCGATGCTACCTTAACGCATGATCGAAAGTATCTAAAAACCGAAATCGAGCGACATCGACCTGCTTTGGGCTCGTGTCTGGGCGCTTACAGCTCGTGCTTTCCGGTCGCGTATCTGGAGCCGCATCTAAATAAGCACAATCAGTACTCCCTGCTGAATCGCATTGCTGATCATTCGCTGGAGGCACAGGACATTATGGTTAAAATGGAAAGCTGTATGCCCAATTTGGAGGCGATACTGAGTGAAGTGGACCAATTCGTCGAGTCGGATAAGACTTACAATGATGCGCCGCATATTATTGATGTCATACTTCCGCTGTTATGCGCCTATCTGCCGTTCTGGTGGTCCCAGGGCCCCGACAACGTGAGTCCAACTAGTGGCAACCATGTGACCATGGTCACAGCAGATCACATGAATTCGCTGTTGCGCAATGTGCTCAAAATGATCAAGAAAAATATTGGCAACGACAATGCGCCCTGGATGACGCGCATTGCGGCGTACACGCAGCAGATAATCATCAATACATCTGAGGAACTACTGAAGGATCCATTCCTGCCGCTGGCCGAGCGCGTCAAGAAGCGTACCGAAAATATGCTTCATAAGGAGGAAAGCATGCGGGGCTTTATCAAGTCAGCTACCGATGATACCTCGCAAGTTGAGACGCAGCTTCAAGAGGATTGGAATCTGCTAGTCCGCGATATATACTCGTTCTATCCGCTACTCATCAAGTACGTGGACTTGCAGCGCAACCATTGGCTAAAGGATAACATTCCAGAAGCCGAAGAGCTTTACAATCACGTTGCAGAAATCTTCAATATCTGGTCGAAGAGCCAATACTTCTTGAAGGAGGAACAGAACTTTATATCAGCTAATGAAATTGACAACATGGCCTTAATAATGCCCACGGCCACACGACGCTCGGCCATTTCGGAGGGCGTGCCGGCAGTGGGCGGCAAGGTGAAAAAGAAGAAAAAGAACAGGGATAAGAAACGCGACAAGGACAAGGAGGTGCAGGCAAGTCTGATGGTCGCCTGCCTGAAGCGTTTACTGCCCGTTGGACTTAATCTATTCGCGGGACGAGAACAAGAGCTGGTCCAGCACTGCAAGGACAGATATTTGAAAAAGATGCCCGAATATGATGTCATAGAATTTGCACGCAATCAACTAACGCTACCCGACAAACTGGATCCCTCGGATGAGATGTCCTGGCAGCACTATCTATACTCGAAACTGGGCAAAACGGAAGAGATCGTCGATGAGCAGGCACTGGAGAAGGTTAACACCAATTCAAATGAGAAGGGTAAAGACAAGACAACAGAGACCGTCGATCGCATTGTGGCCATGGCAAAGGTGTTATTTGGCCTGCATATGGTAAGTACGGACGGACTTATTACAAAGTTTGTAATACAAACCTATATATGGTATTGCAAATACATGTACTCGCATACAAGTATCTATCTTTTTTCACTTATGTACAATATTATTTTTCAATGCCAATTGATATTACTTACTTATACTTTTTGAACTTTGCACATTTCTAATTTTCTTTTCGATACGATACCCAAACAAACAACTATATAACGTACCGCTAAACAACATTTAAATTTCAACGGTTTTATATGCTGACCAAATCGTGAACCAAACAATTACAGATCGACCATCCACAACAGCAGAGCAAAAATGTCTACAGGAGCGTTGTATCGATCCAAAGGAAGCGTGCCGTCATTGCATGTTTCCGTCAGACATCGCTACATTCTCTACCCAGGTTATTACCAACTTATTAACTACTACAAGCAAACATACATACATACATATGTCGATTCGATAGGTCTGTGATGAGTGATATGTATGTATGCAATGTAACGGTACTCTGCGAAAACGATGCTAACAAATAAGAATTTTAGTTGTTAGAACAAGACATTTTACTTACACTCAGCTACAACTTGGGACCAAGCGATAGGCCTTTATACCTATTTGATCTAATATTATTTATAATTTCTATCACATTCCGCACTTTGATATTTTTTGTTTTCATTTTCCACTTTTGTATTTCAACTAACAAAATTGTACTAACGCGCAATACCACTTAGTGTGACCGTAGTGCTCTACACCCATTGTTGTATTATATGTATATTTTTATGCTCTTGCTCTTGCTATTGTACGCTCCATATAGGCAACCGGCGCCAAGAACAAAACAAAACATTGGACTTCGAAAATTTCGGTCGCTCGACGCCAGGCAGTTATTTCAAGCTTACGCGCCAAGCATCTATATCGTTTCAGCAGGTGGTAGCCACATAAAATACTAATATCTTATACACACACGAGTAGTATTCAAATGTATACAAAAAAGAAAAAAAAACTCTTATACACATGTATATAAGTATGTGCAAATGATCGCTTAACTGATTTCAGTTATTTTTTAGTATATTTAGTATTTAACTCCTTGCAGAATCGTGTATTTATCATATTTTAAATGTATGGTCTCTCTTATTACTTATTGTAAAATTCTGAAGTATTTATCGATCTTATTTCGTTTATTTCCATATTTTGTATTATTTATGACAATAATCAAAAAACTCTGCAAGGATAATATTTAACGTTCGGCGAACCGATTAGCTTTCTTTTCGTAGTATGTAAAAGCTTTTAAATTTAAATACTAAACGCATGCCCATTAACGTTGACGGTTGATAAATTCAAATATTTCTAATCGTGATCTATTATTGCCTACAGACATCGTGCCTGCAATATCTTTGCACGCACCTACTACGAGCAATGGCTGCAGGAGGAAAACGTCGGCCAGGAGGTGATGATTGAGGATCTGACTCAGACATTCGAGGAGTCTGAAAAGTCCAAAAAAGATGAAGAAGAAGCTGACGGTAAGCCGGATCCATTGACCCAGCTGGTGACCACCTTCTGCCGCGGTGCCATGACGGAGCGCAGTGGTGCCCTACAAGAGGACTTGCTGTATATGTCGTATGCGCAAATAGCGGCAAAATCCTGCGGCGAAGAAGAAGAGGAGGGCGGTGAGGACGGCGAAGCCGGCGAAGGCGGCGAGGAGGGCGAAGGCACAAGTATTCATGTAAGCTTAGCGATAATTAACTACCAAATGCAGAACTAATCAAACGTAACCCAATTGTGCTTTCAAATCAATCAAATTTGATTGCAAGTGTCGCATGTCCCATTTAATGGTAACTATTTAAGCTAAATTTAATAACTGAGCCCACTAACGTTGCACTTTGCTATATATGAAGCCATATGCTAACAATCAAATACTCTAAACTATCGTTAGGAACAAGAAATGGAGAAACAGAAGTTGCTATTCCATCAAGCGCGTCTGTCGAATCGTGGCGTTGCCGAAATGGTGCTGTTGCACATATCCGCCTCCAAAGGTATACCTTCGGAGATGGTCATGACGACACTCAATTTGGGCATCGCCATATTGCGTGGCGGAAACATTGATATACAGATGGGCATGCTGAATCATTTGAAGGAGAAGAAGGATGTGGGCTTCTTCACATCCATCGCCGGGCTGATGAACTCGTGCAGCGTGCTGGACTTGGACGCGTTTGAGCGCAACACGAAAGCCGAGGGTAAGTTAGTGTGCCTCCCAATTTCGGGATATGACAACCTGAATCGTGAATATCCCGCTTTTAATTTGCTGCCCTCTTAACTTATTATTATTGTTATTGTGGCATCATCGTGCACCACCGTCTCCTGCATTTATTCTGAGTTCAATTATTAATTTGGTCTCTCCTTCCGACTACTGTCCCAATCACCCAACATACTCGCATGCCATCACCACCACCAATCCCGTATATGTACTTGATCCCCGCTATCGTTGTAAATCCCAATGCAACATTTTTGCAACACAACAAAGAGTATATTCCAAGTGCGGGTGCAGGTCTTGGTGTCGGCTCGGAGGGCGCTGCGGGTGAGAAGAATATGCACGATGCCGAATTCACGTGTGCTCTCTTCCGGTTCATCCAACTCACCTGTGAGGGACACAATTTGGGTAGGTGACAATAAATCAAGCAAGTTGACATATACATGTACTCATAATTAATTTCTCATAGAATGGCAGAACTATTTGCGCACACAAGCGGGAAACACGACCACGGTCAATGTGGTAATTTGCACTGTGGATTATTTGCTGCGTCTACAGGAATCGATCATGGACTTTTACTGGCACTATTCCAGTAAGGAAATCATTGATCCTGCTGGCAAAGCGAACTTTTTCAAGGCCATCGGAGTGGCAAGTCAAGTGTTTAATACCCTCACTGAAGTCATACAGGGTCCATGTACTTTGAATCAGCAAGCCTTGGCCCATTCCAGATTATGGGATGCTGTTGGTGGATTCCTATTTCTGTTTTCTCACATGCAGGACAAACTCTCAAAGCATTCGAGTCAAGTGGACTTGCTGAAAGAGCTGCTTAATCTACAAAAGGATATGATCACCATGATGTTGTCCATGCTGGAAGGCAACGTAGTAAATGGTATGTCCTTAAATTTCCTGTACCCAATATATTTAATTACTATTATTCTCTTCAGGCACTATTGGCAAGCAGATGGTGGATACCCTTGTTGAGTCTGCAGGCAATGTTGAACTGATTCTTAAGTATTTCGACATGTTCCTGAAATTGGCCGACTTGATTGAGTCGCCCAGTTTCCATGAGATAGATATGAAGAACGAAGGCTGGGTTATACCCAAAGATTTCAGAGAGAAAATGGAGCAATCCAAGAACTACACACCGTAAGTGAAAAACAGATTGTTGACAGCCAGTTTCTTATGGTGTTTTTTATTAAACCGCATTTAGGGAAGAAATGGATTTCCTTTTGGCCTGCTGTGAACGCAATCACGAAGGTAAAATTGACTATAGAGCCTTTGTCGAACGTTTCCACGAGCCATCAAAGGAGATCGGTTTCAACCTGGCTGTGCTGCTGACCAACCTAAGCGAACACATGCCCAATGAGCCGCGTCTGGCGCGATTCCTAGAGACGGCTGGTTCTGTGCTGAACTACTTTGAGCCGTTCTTGGGTCGCATCGAGATATTGGGCAGCTCGAAGCGTATTGAACGTGTATACTTTGAGATCAAGGACTCCAATATCGAGCAATGGGAGAAGCCGCAGATTCGCGAATCAAAACGAGCCTTCTTCTATTCCATTGTGACCGAGGGAGGCGATAAGGAGAAACTAGAAGCGTTTGTTAACTTCTGTGAGGACGCGATCTTTGAAATGACCCATGCCTCCGGACTGATGGCAACGGACGATGGTGGCAGCAATGTGAAGCGTGATACCGCCTATAGTTCCTATATGAGTGAAGAGGAGGAGGAGCGTGCCGCTCGCGATCCCATCAGACGCACAATTACCGCAGTAAAGGAGGGTCTTAAGTTCGGAGTGCACATGCTGAGTCCATCGAACATCAAACATCAAATCGGAGTTATGCAAACCAAATCTATACCTGAGCTGATTGTTGGTTTCTTCAAGATCATATTCTATATGTTCTACTACACGGGCTATGCACATTACTGTGTAGTCCGCTATATCTTTGGTATTCTTTTGAATTTGATGCGCGGTCCCGCACCAGAGCAGGAGGAGGAAGAAGCTGTTGTTGAAGAGGAAACATTTGGACGTGCGCTGCCACCGTTGCCATTGGAAGAGCCGCCGGGCACTGTTCAGGCCTTTGGCCTGGACATAAACAAGGAGGAAAACGGCATGTATAAGGTGGTGGTGCACGAGTCTCCAGCGGGCTCTTCTGTTGAAGAGGGCGGTGAATCCAGTCCAGAAGATGGCGCAGCTGCTACTGCTGAACTTATCGAGGGCGAACCATATCAGGAGCCCATTTCGATCGTTGATCTGCTGGGCGGTGAGGCCGCTAAGAAAGCGGCTCAGGAGCGTCAGGAGGCACAGAAGGCCCAAGAGGCAGCCATGGCCTCCATCGAGGCGGAGGCTAAGAAGTCATCGGCAGCACCACAGGAGACACCAGCTGTGCACCAGATTGACTTCTCCCAGTATACGCACCGCGCCGTCAGCTTTTTGGCCCGAAACTTTTACAATTTGAAATATGTTGCCCTGGTTTTGGCCTTCAGCATTAATTTCATGTTGCTCTTCTATAAGGTTACCTCGTACCCCGAGGAATCCGATGGATCTGGTGAGGATGAACTTATTCTAGGATCGGGCTCGGGTGGTGGTGCAGACGTAGCTGGCTCTGGCCTGGGTGGTTCGGGTGATGGTGGCTCTGGCGATGGCGATTTTGATGAGGACGATATACCGGAACTTGTGCATGTGGATGAGGACTTCTTCTACATGGAGCACGTTTTACGAATAGCCGCATTGCTCCACTCCCTTGTGTCATTGGCCATGCTGATCGCCTACTACCATTTGAAGGTACCGCTGGCCATATTCAAGCGGGAGAAGGAAATCGCACGACGTTTGGAATTTGATGGTCTATTCATTGCCGAACAGCCGGAGGATGATGATTTCAAGTCGCATTGGGACAAGCTGGTCATCTCGGCCAAAAGCTTTCCGGTCAACTATTGGGACAAGTTTGTGAAAAAGAAGGTGCGCCAAAAGTACAGTGAAACCTATGATTTCGATTCAATCTCCAACTTGCTGGGTATGGAAAAGAGCGCATTTACCGCACAGGAGAGCGAGGAGACGGGCATCTTAAGGTACATCATGAACATCGACTGGCGCTACCAAGTGTGGAAAGCCGGCGTTACCTTCACCGACAACGCTTTCCTCTACTCCTTGTGGTACTTTAGTTTCTCGGTGATGGGCAACTTTAACAACTTCTTCTTTGCGGCCCATTTGCTGGATGTGGCTGTCGGCTTTAAGACCCTGCGTACCATTCTACAATCTGTCACCCACAATGGCAAACAGCTGGTACTGACAGTCATGCTCCTCACGATTATAGTGTATATATATACGGTAATTGCGTTCAACTTCTTCCGCAAGTTCTACATACAGGAGGAGGACGAGGAAGTGGACAAAAAGTGTCATGACATGTTGACCTGCTTCGTGTTTCATTTGTACAAGGGCGTGCGAGCAGGCGGTGGCATTGGTGATGAAATTGGCGATCCGGATGGGGATGATTATGAGGTTTATCGCATTATCTTCGACATCACATTCTTCTTCTTCGTTATTGTTATCCTGTTGGCCATCATCCAGGGTTTGATTATCGACGCATTTGGCGAGCTGCGTGATCAATTGGAGTCGGTCAAAGATAATATGGAGTCCAATTGCTTTATATGCGGCATGGGCAAGGACTTCTTTGATATAGTGCCGCACGGCTTTGATACCCATGTTCAGAAAGAGCACAATCTGGCCAACTATATGTTCTTCCTGATGCATTTGATTAATAAACCGGACACGGAGTATACCGGCCAGGAGACATACGTCTGGAATATGTACCAGCAGCGCAGCTGGGACTTCTTCCCGGTCGGCGACTGTTTCCGCAAGCAATACGAGGATGAGCTCTCTGGCGGCGGTGGTGGTGGAGGCTAGCTCCCCATAGTCTAGATTCTCTCATTTTTCATTGAAAACAATTTATAATGGTTGATAACGATATGATAATGATGCTTGTTTCAATTCTTTTTTTGCTATGTCAATAATTTTAATATAATCTAAGTACTTATACATATGTATGGATATTTTGCATATATATGGACGGATGGATGTTGATGATTCTAGCATGTACAGTTAGAATGCTCCTAACTCAAATAAATAAATCGATTCATTTATACCGAAGGTATTGTTATATTTTTTATTAAGGACACATTGATAACATTTATAAATATATACTTATAGTGTAAAACCACAAATCACATAACACGCAATACACATTAATTGTTTTCTTTTTTTTTTTTAATTTTGCATAAATCACAGCTACTAATTTATTCTAATTTCTACAATTTGGCTAACTTAAAAATTATGTTAATTTCTTGGTGGACATTTATCGAGCATATTTTTCACATTCATATTTGTGCGCTATATATACAAGTGTTCACATAGATAGCCATATATATATATATATATATAACATGTCTGCAAATTCGATTCGGTTCGAGTCCGGAATTCCAAAATATCCTGGTCAACCGGGCATTGGCTCCAGCCAGTTTTCAATTTTATTGGAATTTGCAGTCATGATATGAATAAATTTAACAATTGGTTATAAAATAGTTCTTAGTTGCCTCATAGGCTGTCATATAAATATATTCTAGGTATTTTTTTGTTTCTTTGACTAGCGAAAATTGTACAATTGAAAATAATATAGGATAAATACAACGAAAATTGCCGCAAAATATCAGCAATCGAGTCGCTTCTTTAAGCGAAAGAACTCGGCATTGTCAATGCTATTGATGTTATCCATATATAAATTGCGTAAAGTGCGCACATCCGACATCCGATCCTCGATATCGGTGTACATTCGACGACAGCGATAAATCGAGAGGGTCTCCAGGCAGGCACAGTTCACAATAATTGCATCGATTGTGTGATCCGTCAGCTGGCTGCAGCCGCTGATGTCCAGGGAACGCAGTCGTTGTAGCTTCTCGGTGATAATCTTGATGCCCTGATCGCTGATGTTGTAGCAATCGGACAGATCTAGCATCTCTATGGCTGGGCAGTTGTTGACTAGCGCTTCCATGCCCAATAGCGATATTTGTTGGCAATTGGAGAGCAATAGCCTATTCAGCTCCAAATGTTTTAGGCCATATTTTAGGGAAACATCGCTTATTTTATTGCAGCCGCGCAAATTTAAGGACCGCAATCCTCGGAGCTCCTGTATATTATGACCCTCGAAATCCTCGTCATTGATTAGATTCATTTCGTAGGCCGCAAACATTGCCTGCTTGCGTTTGGCATCCCGTACAATCTCCTCTTCTGCTTTGCTGCGTAACGATATCTTAATAGACTGCAATGAGCCAGTAAAACTATCGGACGGTGGGCACGCATTTCCAGCGGAGGAGGCTCGGTTCAGTTCCAGCTTGGCTATATTAATGCCAGTAAGCGCTGCGTCAGTTAGCTACAAAAATAAACGAATATAAGATTTATTTCTCTATGCAAAGGTTACTTTCGTCACGATTTAGCTGTCACTTTTCTATCCGGTATCCGGCAGTGGAAAACTTAATCCTTTCGCCCCATTTTTAACCAGAGATGTGGAGTTCCCGCTCTGGCTCACAACTCTCAAACAAAATTAGAAAATATAAGTTTTAAGCCAATAGAAAAAAGGAGAAGATAAGATGAGTTTAAATCCAATCTTTCACCCCCATTTGCACTCGGAAATCGGCTTTCCATAGTGTGTTTCACACATTTTTCGGATCTTAGTTTACAATATATTCCGTCTAAGTATGCACACTCATCATTATATTGCCAATCAGTTTATGTAAAAGGAAGCTTTATGTTAACTTTTCTGACTCACCCGGCAACAACTCTCCAGCGAAAGCTCACGGAGCCAACACAGCTGGCTAATGATAAGCTGCATTACCTCATCCGTGACGCCGTTGACGCAGTGGTTCAAGTGAAGGGAGCGCAGAGCGCGCAGATTTCTGGCTATGGACTTAATGGACTCCTCACAGATAGTCAAATATGAGACGTTCAGCTCCAGCAACACGGTGTTCTCTTCCCGTGCTACGCCCTCCATAATGCCATTACTGCTAATGCCGTCGCAATTGGAAATATCCAAGAGACGTAAGCGCGGTAAATGCCGCAGCTTCGCGGCACCCAGGTTGGTGATGCCCGAGCAAGCGTTTATCTTGAGATCATGCAATTGTGGATTTGCCTGCACAATCGCCGCCAGGCATTCATCGTTTAGACACATCGTGGCGGACAAATCCAACACACTTAATTGCCTTTGCGTGCTGAGGAAGCTTTTAATGGTAGCTGCATTCAACTGCCTACAGCCGGCTAAATACAAACGGCGCAATTGCAAGCCACGCTGGGCGTTCTCATCCGCCTGGCTGAGCTCGCACAGTGCCAGCAACGAGTGTCCGATTAGCGTGTGACTAAAGTCGAGTGTGTGCAGCATCCGACGCTGCTGGGTGAGCACGTTCAAGATGTATTTGAATGTCAGCACCGACTCACTTGGCATGCTCGGCTCCTGGGGATAGAAGCGTCGATGTATGGCATTGTGAAACGAGATCTGGCAACCGGACATATTGAGCAACTCCAGCTTTGGCATCAGCGCAGTCAGGCGCAGCAGTATGGCATCGGTGAGATACTGATTCTTGCATATAGTAAGCTCCCGTATGCTGGCGAGATGTGCCGAGATCTCATTCAAATCGCACGCATTTGAGTCTAAGAAGGTGGCCGACATGAACAGGGGCAAACAACGTGTTACGGCCAGGACCTGTAAATGTGGCAGCAGGCGTAGAATGCCATAGAACTGCTTATCATTCAAATCGACATTATCCAGGCTTAACGAACGCGCCGATTGTCCTATGAATGACATCAGCTCAGGTACCTGGCCCAGGGTCACATCCTCGAACAGAAAGTGACGAAAGCGTCTTTCGCATCTCATCAAATCAACAGCGGGACTATGCTGATCCGAGAGCACAACTTTCGAGAAACGTACGCGTGTTCGGGCTATAAATTCAGTTTGATATAGGGCGCTTCTCCAACGGTGACAAGTGGTGCCAGCTGCCAATAGATCGGAATAGCCCAGATACTTGTATATATGCAGCACTATCTGTGTGTAAGAATCGTATATTCAATTATTGTCAGCTGACTTGAGGTCACGAGTGGAAAACTTGCTATTAACCATTGTATACATACCTCTAACGGCAGCTCACTATAGCTGTATGGGTAATAGTCCGAGGACGACATTCTCAATTTAATTCAACGATCCCAACACCGAATATCTCACCTAATTATAGTCCAACTACCTCAATACTAAGCTAACTATAACTATTAAGCAGTGCGACCGTATTGGGTATACTGCAAAATACCATTGTCTTATAATAATAATGGTATTCCTAGATGTAATTTGAAGCATGCTTAATTGACGTTTTGTTGTTAACCCGGAATGTGTTAAGCAAATACAGAAGGGTTAGCTACATAGAAACTCGTTTCTTGATAAAATCGAAAAGGCAAGTAAAATTAAATACATTTACAATAATTTGTAAATTAATTGTACAAAATGGCAAGTCAGTATTTTATTAGGCACAGCTGATCTTATGCTTTAGTTCAATTTACTTTTTTTACGACGGTCACACTTTGTCTATGACATCAGTTTTAGCTTTGCTGTCCATTTTTGTTTTGCAAAACTTTTTGCAAATTTCTGCAATTAGAAAATAATCTACAACATCAAAACGCTGTCGAAATATATAACTCGCAGTGCCCAACATAATGGCCGATCCGAAATTTCAAAACTTGCCCGGCATTGTAAGCATACAAACTTTCATATTTTCTATATGTACACTCATTTCTTGCCTAGGCTTATGACCAGCCGGATGTTTTTGAGACTCCCGACGATCCGGAGCCTGATACGTCCGACTATTACGAAGAGGAGCCGGAAAACGAAGCCATTGAGCGAATGCACATTTCGCCCAGCGCAGCACACAAACGCTTTAGTAATTCAACTCTCGAGGGCAACGTTGATTTCACGGATCGCATTGGACGTCGCGTGTGCCGCGGCTACGATGTGCGCGGCGGGGAATACGAGCTGGTTTGCCAGGGTGAAAAGGAAACGCCGGTGCAAAAGTGTCAGCGCCTGCAAATTGAGATGAATGAGCTGCTCAATGAAGTTGCAGCCCTGCAAGTCGATCGAAAAATCGCCGAAGAAGAGAAACAATCTTATGATGCGGTTGCCACTGTGATTAGCACGGCCAAGAGAGTGTTGGATACCTTGAAACTGGAGCAAGTACTTGGCAAGGAGCAAACGCCCAATGATAAGCAGGTCAAAGCACTTGTCGCCCAAGTGGAGGAATTTAAGCAGTCTGGTGTGCTGACAGCTCTGCCGACGCCTGGCACGGATTTGGCATCCACAGCGCGTGTCGCGAATCTCGAACAACGTTTGCATCAACTGGAAAAGGCTGTCGGTGCGCACCCAGAGAAACTAAGTCGCTTGACAGCGGTCACCAACACGTCCAACGTGCTTGAGGCTGTCCGGCATCTGAGCACCAAGGCGGCCCTACTCCAGCCGGATAAACTGGACGCGATTGAGCAGCGTTTGACTTCTTTGGCTGGCAAAATGGATGCCATTGCCGAAAAGTCCAGCGGCAGCACTCAGGATGCGAAACGTGACCAAAAGGTGACCGAGCTCTATGATATTGCAAAACGTACCGAACCAGTTGTCGAAATGCTGCCACATGTCATTGAACGCATGCAGGCACTGGAGGCTTTGCATAAATATGGTAAGAATCAGTTGTTTGCGTTCTTAGTGATTAGATAATGCCTGTTTTTGTCTTTTCAGCAAACAATTTTGCCAAGATCATTGCGGAAATCGAACAAAAACAGGGCACCATTACGACCAGCCTGGTAAACAACAAGGAACTTCTTCATTCGGTTCAGGAGACTTTTGCCCAAAATCTGGAAACGATCAACACAAAAATGGCTAAAGTTGAACAGCGTGTTGCGGCCATAACCAGCGCTAAGTAAATAGGACAGGATATTTCAAATGTCTAGCACACATGACTAGAATTATAACAATTATCAATGAAAATATTTATTTGTATCAATAAAGCAAACGCTTGGAATTTCCACATGTACTTTAAACGAAACTGTATTAACACTGGTGTCCGTTTTAGAGAGCATACCCCATATAAAATTTGAAATGTGGCGCGAGCTCTTGATTTTAATGCATACAGTATGTATTTGTATGCAACATAAAAATACCGATGCCTTGCACAAACTAATTATCGATTCATCGATATTTTAATGTTGGCAACCGTAAAATGTCGCTGCCTTCGATAGAAACATCGATTCTGCGACAGCTTTTAGTTCTTATAAAAATATTAAAAAACGTATTTATATATATTTTTAATTAATTTAAACATACTGTTCAAGCAATAAACACAAATTAATTGCGTGTAAGTACAGTTTAAGAGTAACTACAACATGACAAAACATAAGAGGCAGCATTTTTCGGCCACGCCAATGTTGTAGCGACTGACAAAAAAAAGTGATGACGGGGCGCGCTCCAATTGGACGTGCCACAATTTCGTTTAAATTCCATTTGGCCAGAGCCATAAGCTAATAATCTAATTGCATTTGCAGGGCGAAAAAATGAAAATTAAAGAGCTACAGAAGACTGTAAACATTGCCTGGTCGCCAGCGCAGCAGCAACAAATACTGCTGGCCGCCGGCACAGCGGCTCAGCAGTTCGATTCGAATGCAAGTGCCACATTGGAGATATATTCACCAAGCATCGGCGATGCCAGCTACGATTTGGAGCTGAAGGCTAGCGTTCCGAGCGACTTTAAGTGAGTTGGAGCTTTATTTGTGTAAGAACTGATAGATAAACGTTATTTGATAGATTTCAGAAACTCATTTGGAGTCCGCACGGTGCAAATGGCACGCATGCAAATGGATTGATTGTCGGCGGCTGTGAGGCTGGCCATATCAATGTCTATTCGGCTGCGAAGCTTCTAGCTAACGAGGAGTCGCTGCTGGCGCGTCAGGATAAGCATACCGGCGCAGTAAGCGGCTTGGACTTTAATCCGTTTCTAAACAACCTGCTTGCGTCATGTGCTTCTGAATCGGAGATTTATATCTGGGATCTGAACAACCCGGTCAGTCCTCTGAATCCGGGCGCAAAGACGCAGCCGCTGGAGGATGTCAAGAATGTCGCTTGGAACCGGCAAGTTCAGCACATATTGGCATCTGTGTTCAGCACACGCTGTGTTATTTGGGATTTGCGCAAGAGTCAGCAGATTATCAAACTGTCGGACACGCAGTCACGCGTTAGATGGCATGCCATTGAATGGCATCCTGAGGTGGCCACACAGGTATGGCTGGCATCGGAGGATGATCAGGCGCCGGTTGTGCAGCTCTGGGATTTGCGTTACGCCACTGCACCGGCAAAAACATATCAGATACACGATCGTGGAGTGCTTGGCATGTCGTGGTGCTTGCAGGATACGGATCTGATGGTCTCATGTGGCAAGGATAATCGCATCTACTGCTGGAATCCGAATACCAAAATACCCGAAGGCGAAATACTTTCAGAGGTAGCCACCACGGCCTCTTGGTATTCGGATGTGCAGTTCTGTCCGCGCAATCCTGCGCTGATTGCCAGCGCCAGCTTAGAGGGAGCAGTTTCGATATACTCGCTGAATGGCGGCACGCACCATTTGGTGCAAACATCCGAGAAAATAGCCGACTCCTTTCCAGGAATGGATCAATTTGCCCAGGCGCCACTGCCTCAGCAAGCCACTCAAGTTGTCTATCACGATCTGACGCACGCTCCCAAATGGATGAAGCGTCCCTGTGGCGTGTCGTTTGGTGTTAGTATTTCCAAGTAATTCCACATAGCACTGTGCCCAATTAATTACAATTTCATCAACAGTTCGGGGGCAAGCTGGTTAGTTTCAACGCAACATCGAAAACTGTGAAGGTATCCCAGCTAACAACCGAGCCAGGTCTCGTGGAGCGTGCGAATGCATTGGAGTTGTCTCTGGCCGAGGCCAACTATGCAGATTATTGTCGACAGCGTGCAGATAAATCAACGGATCAGCACGGTCGCTACATTTGGTATTTCATCAAGGCAAACTTTGAACTGAATCCCAAAGAAGAAATGCTCAACCTTTTGGGTAAGCGCCAAGAGTTCATTATTAAAGCAATCGCTTTAAAGGTTTTTTATTTTAGGTTACAACAAGGATGACATCGATGGAAAATTTACAAAGTTTATCAAAGAGGCCGAGAGCAACTCGCAGTCTGACGTAGATACGCTCACGACCCGCATATCAACTCTTACACATGTGAGTTTCCGCTATGGGCTTTCTATTTGTTCAGCTCGGTCCAGCTCTTATCTCTAAGAACAGAAAAAACATATGTGTATGCTACAACACGCTATCAATATTAAGCATTGCTTCAGTTTGTTCATCTTTCCTTGTATATTCTTCTGATAACAATTTTTCATGCTTGCCTAACATTTGCTCTAAGTAGAGCGACTCATCTGAGGTTGAATGCGACCAAAGCACCAACTCAAGCACCGATAATTCGGTAAGAAATTGGATGCCCTACGAAAAGTATATGCAAATATTCATTCGCGACACTGACATCGAACTAACATTTAATTTATTTGGTAAGAGTTTATTAACATAAATCCATTTCCAGCAAACGAATGACAACAAAACCCCATTTGATGGCGCCTCAATCGACCCGCAAAACGACTATGCTAGACCTCAGTTCAAAATACCAAACGGTGATCGTAAGTAGAAAAGAAAAGGGTTATCTTCGAAAGACCGAATATACCCATTGCAGAATTTGATGCCATCTCCTTATTGAATTAATTTTCTTGCAGACACCGACAGCTTAATTACGGAAGCCATACTCACGGGCAATGTTGAGGCTGCCGTGGAACTGTGCCTGGAGGCGCAGCGCATACCGGAGGCACTAATCATAGCTTCTACAGCGGGCATAGAGACGCTAACACGCACTCAGACCCGTTATTTGCTGCAGCAAAAGAACGAGCTGTCCAATGTCATATCGGCATTGGTAACGCGCGATTGGCTGGACTTTGTCAATCGCTGTACCGTGGACTCCTGGAAAGAGGCTCTCGTAGCTGCGCTCAAGCACAGCGAGCGCAAATTGGACGACATTTGTGAGAGGCTCGGCGATCGCCTGTTGAACGAGTCCGCCAGCAGCATCGAGCTGACGCGCAATGCCATGCTATGCTATATCTGTGCCGGCAGCATTGATAAGCTGGTAACCGCCTGGTATCAGTTAAAGCAACTGGAGCAGCAGAATAACAACTACAAGCTCAATACAACGGAGCTGCAGGAGCTGGCCGAGGTAGTAATGCTGCTAACCAAGTCATTAGAACAGCAAGGCATTGCTGTCGACTTGGCCGGACGCTTTGCCAGATTTATATCTGAATATAGTGGACTACTGGCCTCCCAGGGTGCCCTGACCGCAGCTCTGCAATATATAACAACGCTAAGTAAAGCCAATGCGGAAAGCGAAGATCTGAATGAGTTGCGTGAGCGCATTAGCAATGCTGTCAATGTGGATCCCATACAGCCAGCAGCATCCGCTGCCGCTCCCATGGGTTATATGCGTCAAATGGAGCCGCGTGGTTCCTTCTCAAAGCCAGCCAATCCACTGCCGTATAACCCCTATAATGCAACAACAAATGGAAGCTGGCAGCAGGCAGCAGCACCGCCAGCTGTACCTTTGCCGAGCGCACCTTTCCAGGCAGCTCAGCAACCAACACAAATCTACAATCCGCCTCAAATGAAAGCAGAACCCGTAACGCATCCGCCACGACCCCACAGCAATGCTAGCTCCTCGGGCGGGCCCCCGGTGGCTACGTCAACTGGGTCTGGATCCGGATCTGGCCTCCACTCGCGCTCTAAATACGTTTTAGATCCTTCTGTGGCAGCGCCTACCAGCGCATATGGTATGGCATATAACCCAGTTCCAGCTCCAGCGGCAGTTCCGTTTGGTGGCGCCCCTGTCTCACAGCCTGCCAGTGTACCACAGACTTATAATAGCAACGTCTTCAACACCAACCCTATATCTACGGCTCAACAATACAACCCAGCTCCCTTCATTGGGGCCCCACAAAGCAACTACTTGTCGGGTGCTGCACCCATTGAGACAATGCCAGTGGCTAATGCACCGCCACCTCTTCTCCAAAATATACAACGTAATCCTACGCCACCACCTGGCTGGAATGATCCACCAGCTTTGAAATCCTCGCGTGTGGTAAGTCTTGACTTCATTTTTCCATCTCCTTTTTAACGATTTAATGCAATTTTTAGCCAAAGCCACGACCAACAGCGGAATCAACTGCAGCACCAATACTTCATCCACTATACGGCGTTGATCCGAATCAGAATCAGAACAGCCTTATGGATCCCAACCAGTATCAGGTACCATAAACTTGAAAAGCCTGTACTAATTAGAAATGTTTGTCTAATTGTTGTTCATTTGTCTAATACGATATTTTTCTTCAGGGCGCTCCACCGCCAAGTGCTACATCTTTCTACAATCCAGCTGCCAATAATAATCCGCAGGTCTTTCCACCTCAACAACAACAACAGCAAATAAATTTCCAACCAACGGCAGTGCCTAATCAACAACAGCAACAATACTGGCCGGGTCAGCCACAACAGCAATCGTTCGGCTACACCGAACAGCCAGCACCAATACAAGAACAGCGCCAACCAGAGCCGCCCAAGGAGAAGCCTCCACTCCCGGAGGAATACATTTACTTGCAAACCGTTTTGGAGGAGCTGAAAAACCAATGCCTGAGCGCAACTAATGATCCGGTAAGCAGACAAATTTTAAACTGTTTCTTGTTATTGAATCAATATTTTTATTTTTCGCAGCGCACCAAACGAAAATTTGTGGATGTGGTGAAACGCTTGGAAAATCTCTACGATTGCTTGCGCGACGGACGGGTAAGCATACAGTGAAATTTTTAAATAATATTGAAAGGCTAATAAAATCTTCCACATTGTCGCATTAGCTAACGGCCACAACTGTGCAACATCTGAATCAAATTGTGCAGTATATACAAATAGCCGACTATGCAAATGCCCTGGAGGTGCATACACGCATTGCATTTGGCACGGACTTTTCGCAGTGTGCGGGCTTCATGCAGGGCCTAAAAGTTTTACTTCAATCGGCAGCGGAGCTGCACCTGGTTTTGCGCTAGTTTACGATTATTTGTGGTTTGTGTGTCTAAATCAAAAGCGCGTTTATGTTTGTTCCATTTGATTTTGTGTACTCCTGCTTTTTGTTAGATGCAGTTATTATAAAGGATTTCAAAAATTATACATACATAAATATACAGCTTTGGCTATAATAACAGCTATAATAGCTTTGGCTGATTTCGTATATTATCCAAGTCCAGCATGGGCTCCTGGTGCTGCGCGGCTGCTGGTGATCCGGAACGTGGCATTTTATGCATTGCTTGCGGGGATAATATATGATGATCATAGCCCAATTGCTCTTCGGGCAGCAATCGATATTTTTTGAGATATTTATATGAAGCGTTTGACATGTTACTGGGACTCGGGCTGAAATTGTCAATTTGACGCAATGGTGTTGAATTGGAGCCCGCATTGACCATCACATCATTGCCTGTTTTTGGTGATACATGCAGGTCCTCCATCAGTTCGTTGATTTGCCGTTGGGGCAAATATTTCAGAGCCAGCTCATTCATGACCAAAGTTTTATCTGTGTTCGACTTGGGCAGCGCGGATGCAGCCAGTGGCGGCACCGGTGACTGCTTGCCCTGCGGCGTGTTGGCTCGATATCCAGTGGATTGTGCTACGGGTGGCGCAGCGTGTGGTGATTGAAATTGTGGCAGTTGTCTCGCTGGTAGTTCAAGCTTATCTTCTTCAACTATATAATCGTGAACAATAGGCGTAATCCGCTTAACTGCAGCATTGCCTACAGGCCGTATTATACAAAGGTTTTCTATATAACTAAACTTATGATTTGACTTAATACTTACCCTTAGTTGGGACTACAATCGCGCACTGGGAGGCCGTTTCTTTAAAAGTCTTGGTGCTTGCTTGCTGTTGTTGCTGAGCCAGGGATTCGCATAGGCGTTTTAATTGCTTTTGCTCCTGGCGCATTGTTTCCAATAGAGTTAACAGCTCTCTGATATCCTTTTTATCTGCTAAATTGGTCAGCTCAGGCCTGGCATCCTTTACATCAGATATAGTTTCTGTTTCGGTCTGGGTGCTAGCACAAATTGTAAGCACATCGGCTGCAATTGCATTCGTTTGGGGCAAGCGCGTTGTTGGCACTGTGCAATCATCTGTGGCAAATGCTTCGCGTGTGTATTGGCTAGGTCCAGACACCGCAAATCCTAAATTCACATTGCTACCCACCGAATGCGTGGGGGCTATGTGCTCATCAAAAGCGCGAGTGCGCGGTAGAAAATTATATTCATTGCCACCGGAGGCTGTGCTGATTGCGCCGGGCGTAGCAGACGTCGGGTTGCCTGGGCCCAATTCTGTTGTTAGCACTGGAGAAAAGTTAACACGAGGAAGTATTTGTTTCTTCCAGGAGGCAAAACTGTTTGCTGGACGTTGAACTGGCGCTTGTTGTTGTTTTAGTTGAGCTTGTTGCTGAGGCGGTTGCCCGAACAATATGGACACTTCAGGGACAGTTGGCTTAACTATCTCGTCGGTATGTCCCAGCGGTATTGGCGCACTGGGCCTGGGAGCCGCTCGTGGCAGCATATCTTCTGTTTCAAACATTTTCTATTTGTTTATTGAAATTGAATTCGAGCGCGACATAAATTGTACTGCGCAAGCGAGCAGGGCTGCTATTAACCAGGGCCGTATACAAGCGAGACTCGTTGAATAATAAATGTCTAAAATTTACTGTAGCCCTAGCAGCTGTGTCATAGGAGAACAAAAAAAAGGAAAACAAACGCGTTACCTACAAGCCGACAATTTGAACAATTAAATATTAAAGCCAATATGCCACTGCTAGAGAACATTGAAGCCATGACCGTAAACACGCCACCAGCGCCAACGGCAGAAGCGGACGACCCACACCAGGAGCAGCCCGTACGCGAGCTAACACAAACGGATCACCTAAATAAACGCTTGTTGAAATCGTTGCTGGATTCGATGCAATCCGCAATCGAACCGCAGGATGAGTCAACTGAAACCGAATCAGGCGGCAGCGACTTCGACGATTGAAACTTTAATATATACACTTAATTTTTAAGTCAAAGTTTTGGTCACAATTTAACTAAAACTAATAAAAAATAACTATTTGTTCTTAAAGCATTGATGTGTTTCCAACAATGCATTTTAAATACGACGGCGTTTGCTGCTCTGCAAGGGGGGTGGTGTGGTGGAGGGGCTAATCGATTCATTTGACATGGAACCACGAGTTCGTTTAGCTGGTCTCTTTGGCATATCCAAGACTTTTGCCATCTTCTTTTCGTTATCTTTTGCCTGCACCACTGCCAACTTTGTGCCTATAGATTGGGCATTAATATTGTGAATAATATGGATTGAATCTTAATAGTGTACCTTTACTGTTGCTATCGGTGGCTTGAGCGGCGACCACTGGTACAAGGGAAGCATGTGTATCTGTTGTTTCTTCGCTAGCGTTGGCTCCAAGGGTCTTTTTGGTCACGAACGTGCCGTAATCCTGTTCTGGCAAACAAAACTCTCGCTCCTCATTGGGAAATGGCAGGCCCTCAAGATCATCCAGCTCTTTTAGTTTGTACATTGTGCTCAAGTGCCTCCAGATTAGATCACTGGGCATTTCGCGGTTTAACGATTTTGAGAGACGTTCCGCGATGCAGGACATGTAGAAATGTTTGTTGATGCCCACAGGTCGTAAGCCTTCCATGGCATGAAAGAGCTGCAATTCCTCTTCCGCGGACCATTCGTCCTTCGCCATAATCATTGCACTAGAGTCGGGCATTCAGGGATGGAAGCACATACAACCACCCGCATGTAATATGCCGATAACCGATAGCGATTACTTCGCCATCAATTCGCAGCCAACTTCACGTTCCATTGGTTTGGGTGTGTATCTTTTTGTTCAAGTCAGGCGAACCTGAACTTATTTGTCGGAAATATTGACAAAATATTAAACATAAAACTGGTAAATTTTGTACACATAACTTTATTAATATGTAGTTGTGCTTGTGTGTGTCCTACTAACTGAAAATTATTAGTGTAGTCAAAACATAAACGTTTCCGTGTTGACATTCGTATGCATGTATGTGTGCACTCATGCCCACAAATTTTGGCAAGGGAGAATAAAATCAATTGGCTAGAATTGAAAAACCCTTAATTTACTATCTTTAAATGTGAAACATTACAGTTGCGGTCAACTGCAAGAAAACATTCGATTTCATGAGCTGAAAAGTGAATCATTATGAGCAATAAATATTTACATTCTAATTAGGCAATAATACGTACAATATATTTCGCGTCATTAGTATTTACTCACACACATACATACATGCATCGGTGGACATGAGTGTACCGTTGCCATAACGGTATAGAGCATTTCTTAAAAGCTAACTAACACAATCTTGTCTAGAACTTAGATACTTCCTTTCAAGCTGTACCAACTTTCTGTGTATGTACTCGATGTCGTATCCACTGTCCGTGTCAGTATGCGAAATTTTTAAGAATATTTTAAACAATTATTTTGTGGCATTTGCTCTGTTTTCTTTTACTTCATTTACAGCGCGCGCGTCTGAATACACAGATTCATCCAAAAACGAGAAACCTTACCAAAGAAAAAAAAATCAAAAAGAAATTTAAACTATATTAAAAGCATTTTAAGCACACAACCAGCACTACTACTTACTATTGTATTTGCATATCGTATCTGAGAACATTTTCAACAATAGGCCTATCCGAGACAGCCGTAATGGACGTAATGTCATCATCACTGCAACAGCAGCGCATTGTCGTGGACCAGCTGCGTCGGGAGGCGGCCATAGATCGGCAGTCGGTGTCTGTGTCTTGCGACAAAATGAAGAAATATATATCGGAGCACGAGCAGGAGGATTACCTATTGACTGGTTTCACCAGCCAGAAGGTAAATCCCTTCCGCGAGAAATCCTCGTGCACTGCTCTTTAAGCCGATTCGTATCGGATAATATATTTGTTTTTCGTTATTAAGTTCTTTATAAACATCAAGCACCCAATCCCAATTAAAGATGATGAGTAAAAACCTGAACAATAACACCACCAGCTAAAAACATAATATATATATATATATAAACACAAATTACAAAAAGCAATATTATTACAAAGCAAAAGCGCATAGAAATCTGTAAAAGGGCCTAATGTGTACCAAGTCGTAAATACTTAGAACGAAAAGACATAACAACAAACAGCAATGAAAATCTTAAATTCTTCAAAAACTCTTAACTTTTGGCATTTATTCGGGTAATATCAGCATATATAGTAGAGCAACCAACCAGTGTACACGAATATATCCCAACTTAAAGGACAATTACTGTGCGGACTATAGCAACAACTACCTAAACTATGAAATCAATATGAAATTAATATATCAATCCAATATATATTTATTAAAGCATAGTAAACACACAAATAAATACAAAATTAACACGAACAACACCTATTTTGCCTACTTATTTCAAGAATAATCTGTACACGTTGTTAAACATACTCAATTATGAAGTATGCATATTCAAGAATATATTATTATATACATTTATAAATCCCAACTATGCGGATTCAAACTATATGATTACTTTAAAAGCTTTAAATGCAGGCAGAATTACGGCCATAACAAGCTAGTTCAACTTTACATAGTGTGTTTAATATCAAGTTTTTCTTAGCAAAATATTAAAGCTCGTTGCAGTAACGCGACAAAAATATATAAATGCAAAAATATATATGGTATATATATATATCTCTAAAGTAGTTTTTGTCATTTTGATTATCAACTGGCAGTTCATGCTAATATATTATCTTGCTAAAATGAACGATAATTTATTTTATGGATCTCTAGATCTCAATGAAACTCGACACGAATCTGAAAATTGTTTCTTTCAATTTCTGGCTTAAGCAAATTGTAACAATGTGTGATTCTGTGCTAAGTAAACGAAATATTAAGAAAAGAATTGACAAAAAAACTCACTCATAATACTTGCATATTATTAAAGCTAATGTCGACATTGTAAATCGGGTGTTATCACGACAGCACATGATGTCACATCTATCAAATGATTTGTGCGCGGTTGAGCCTATATTTTTGTAAAGGATAAACGAACCAAATTGTATTTGGCATGAGTGGCAAAGTATATATTAAAGCTGAGTTATTTTTCTACACTCTAACATGGTATTGGGCAAATTTGTATGGTATTGGAATGAAACAAAACGGTTCTCCCATCGAGAGAAACATTCAAATTTCCATAATCACATCTAAAACAAACCCACAACCCACACTCATAAAAAAAACAAAAAAACTATTAGCATAATGCAAATTTGCCTTGTCGACAAAGCTAACATTTTATATTTAATCGGTTCTTCCATTCCTGCATTTATTTGAACAAGGAACCACACATTTTTACTGAAAGCTTTTGTTTTCCAACACATTCAGATAGATTTTGAACTCTGTTCTGCTGTCGTGAGCATTCAGCAGAAAATTGTTCAAAATTGAAGATTCCCTACTTTAAGAGTAGCTTTTCTAGACGCTTCCAAAAAAACCAAAACTGCAGTTGGTTACGAGGCAACTATTTTCCGTAGATTAACAGTATTTGGCACAATTTTCAATTTGCTGCAAGTTTCATGTAGATATCCCGTTTTAATTAAAAGTTTTTGTTCTTCAATTGATTGAATCTATAAAGATTAAAGTGTGCTGAAAACAATTGAACTATCCACTGGAGCACGGATGGTTTCTTTTGCTTTCAGCGACAAACATCAAATCTGATATACGTATTTACAACTATACTTACTAAAGCATACACGAAATAATGGATATATAAAGCACCGAATACCAAGAATGAGAAAACACTTTAAGAACTTTATTAAACTTCAATTTGAAAACGACAACGATATCGTATTTTATTCGAACCAAATATTGAATTGTATCTGCGTATACGCATTTGAAATAATGTAATGTACTCCAAAATGAACAAATAATTGTTTGCTTGAATTCCAAAAATAAAAAGCTTAGATGAGTTATCTAGCGGACACAAAAAGCCTTTTCTTCTGCGTTTAATTTACAGGCATGGACATAAACACGTCGCTTGAATTCACTTAGAAGCCGCACTTCAGGCAATGAAACACAGCGTGAAATGCATTTAGTTTTTTTTTAAGGTTTTAGTTTATTAATACAAAGAAGCTGTTTATGTGAGTTGTGTGTGCGTGTGTGTGTGTGTGTGTGTTAATGAAATTTATAATTTCCATGTGTGACAAAGAATATGTGAAAATACATGTAAAGGATTCTTTGAAACTAAAATAATTAAGCTTTACATATTATCGAATCGTTTAGTTTAATATTACATAAGCTTAACTCTCATCATCGCTGCCAGCCGCCTGTCGCGGTTTTGGCCCTCCGGCACGCTTGGCCATGATAATCTGGTCCACTTTTAATATGGTTGCAGCTGCACTGACGGCATACTTGAGACCCCAGAATTTGGCTTGATACAGATCAAACAGTTTCGCCTCAGCCGCGTCGAGGGTCGTTGCTTTCTCCGCTTCAATGTCAAAACCAATATTCTTGCCCTTCTCCGAATTGTGCGCCAGGTACAGCTGATTGACAATATCTGTGCCATTGGATCCAGAGTTTTCGGCCAGAGCCTTGGGAAAGACTTCGAGTGCATTGGCGAACTTGCGCACAGCGTATTGGTCCAAACCGGGCAAAGTGTCTGCATAGGCAGACAGTTGTGTAGCCAGCTCTATTTCAGTAGCACCTGCGCCGGGCAGAAAACGACCATCGCGAGTCAGGCATTTGAAATTGTTGACACCGTCGTCCATGGCGCGCTCGATGTCATCCATGAAATTGTCTGTGGCACCACGAATCACAATGGTGGCAATGCGTGAGTCCTTGCCCTCATTTCTGTAAGTCAAATTGCACACATTTATGTTTGATTAAATTACCAGTAAGGCTTTGGTACGCACCTGAACGCCACAATTGCGGTGTCACCCAGCTCTTCAATGCAGACCTTGTCGCAATAGCCCAACTCTTCCTGGCTGGGTGTTGTGATGCGCGGCAGCACAGTGCCATTTACGGCGCGGCTCAAGCGACGCAAATCGAATTTGGAGTTCAAGCGAACCGCCATGAGGCCGTATTTGTTCAGAAAATGCAGGGCCATGTCACCGACTTTGCCACCAGCTACTACAACCTTCACGCCCGTATCGGCAATGGCTTTGATTTGGTTCTCTAACAAGCCCTCCTCACCCGAGGAGAAGTTCATCAGCTCATCCGCCGACTTGATCAGCACCGTGCCTTTCGTCTCCGTCTGTATGATATCGACTGGGCACGAGAATATAACGATCTTTGCCTTTTCAGCGTATGAAACATCGCCCTCGACGAAACGTTTGAAGACCATGCCGCGCACAACTTCCGACTTGTAAATGCCACTGCCCAGAATCTTGCAGATGCGGATGTTGTCCACATTGAACGTGCCATCATCTGGCAATATGGACACGCACGCCTTGCTCACCAGTTCCGTGAGGAAATCCTCCTGGCCGTACTGCTTCGACATGATGGCCGAGCGTAGGACTTCCTTGACTTTGTTGACATCGCGATAATCCTCCACCTTATGGCACACCAGAGTTGGCAGAATCTCGAGCGCTTTGTTCAATGCCTTCTCATATCCATCAGCTATTTCGGCTGTGGTGATGCCCAGGCGCAGCAGCTCCTCTGCTGATTCAAGCAGCGCACCAGCCAGCACAACCACAAAATTGGTGCCATCACCAACCTCGGCATCTTGCATTTGACTTGCCATTACAATCAGCTTGGCCGCTGGATGCTCTACATCCAATTCGCGGATTATGGTGCCCGCATCGCTTGTCACAAACTGCTTCTCAATGTGATTGATTATCATTTTGTTCATGCCGTTTGGGCCGTAGGCCGAACGCATTGTCTGTGAGAACTCCTTACAGGCACTGATGTTGCGATAGACTGCCTCCTCGAGACCACTATACATCTAGAAAATTCAAATGTGATGGAACCAATCATTATAAATGAACATATGCGATGACTAATCACGCGCTTCGGTAGAGGACCGCCGGTTTTTTTACAATTTCAATTAAAGCTATACCGAAAACTAGTCATTTATTGATTTTCATATTTATTACACTTACCCTGGCGCCATCCTTGAGCATTTGGGCCATTCCCGGGGCTTTTGGAACAGATAAAGCCATTTTAATGCACAGATATTTAACAAACGCAGAGCAGCTAAAGCAAGGCAATCAGTCGGTAGTGCACTTAACCTCAAAGTGAGGCGAACGAAAATTCTGGATTGTACACTGGTAGCTAGCAAAAAATACTGCTTCTGTTTTGTACAAAATACTGCAAATGTAGTTTCGTTGAGTTAATCGGACAACCAAAAAATATTTCAAAAATATTAACAATTATGTTTTCTATTGACATTAAATTGACAAAGTTGTTTAAACATGCAACTACTCAGCAATCGTTAAAATTTAGGTTATACAAAACTTAAGTTATGGTTAAACATTTAATATGTTAGAAAAATGTTTTTAGTATTTTCATGGCTGTTTACGCTTTATGAAAAACGACATACCAAGAAAACTACCAAAACATTTGGTCATTATATTTGCTTTGCTAACCAACACTAAACAAAGTGTTTTTTGTTCCAACCGATTTTAAAGAGATGTCGCTGGTCAAGAAGCACGTGTTGGGATTCTCCTCAAATGGAGGGAAACTATTTGCCTTGATTGATGAGCAGGGCACATTACGAATATGGGACACTGAGACGAATGCATTGAAACAGGAATTTACACCGAACCTTCAATTAGCTGCACACTGCATAGCGCTCACGTGGGTAACAATTGGCGCTCCTTGTCCAAAGAAGTCGCGCAAATCCCAGCCACAAAAGACTTCCACAGACGACGACAAGCTTTATTTAGCACTCGCTACGGTTAAGGGAACAGTCGCTCTCTATTCAGTGGCAGAGGGAAAGGTATTTGTTATCTTAGTCTATGCCTTATGTTGTACAAAAAATAATCAATTTATTGCTTTGCAGATTGAGCGCATACTGGAAAATGAAAGCCACGACGGGCCTGTCACATCGATTGCCTATGACAACGATGGGCACCTGTACACTGTGGGGGCAGATTGCCGCGCCCTGGTGTGGTCATTAGCCGAGGAACGCTGCACTGGCGAGTGGCCAGTTGGGCCCGAGAAGCCGCTGAATATTGCATATTCGCCAAAAAGCCGCACACTGGCCGTCGCTTCACGCCAAATTAAAATCTTTGATGTGGATAAAAAGGAGTTGGTGGAAACATGCACAGGACACTCGGGAGAAATAAATGCAATTAACCACTTTCAATGCAACAATAATGAATACGTTATTACGACGGCCAAAATGGAGCGGGTCATATCGTTCTGGAAAATTGACAGAAAAGGCAGGAATAAGGCATCGGTGTGTACGCTATTAATGGAGGATGTGGCCCATAGCTTGGCGTGCGAGGTGCGTGAAGATGGACAGTTGCGTGTGGCAAGTGTGACGCGCAATGGCAACATACACATATACTTGCTCAATGCGGATAGGTAACTAGACAAGAATTAAAATGATATTTGTACGAATTATTTATACCGTCACACTCTACAGCCTGTCAGCGGAGAAGTACATTAAGCCTAAGGTTTCACTGCAAATTGCATCAGATGGAGCTGACACCGTGGAACCTATTTATGCTGTAGCCGCACACTTTGTGCATGACGCCCAACGCTCTCACGAGATACTCTTTGGATATGGCAGTCGCCGCCAGCTGCAGTTCGAACGATACACTCCCAATTACGCTGAGAAGCTGAACGTCATTGTGCGCGCCGATCCCAAAAAATTGTACACTAAGAAGCAGCGCATCGAGCACAGCACGGAAGCTGCCCTCAAGTCGCAAACACCTGTCGTGCGTCCCAATGACGTGGAATACAATAGCGCCTTGCCCAAGTCCAAAAAGAAGATAAAGAACGAGGTGCCCATGGAGGCGCGACTGCAGAATTTGACTATCCAGGCGACCAATCTGCCAGGTGGCAAGCTGCAAAGCCAGAGTAAGACGCAACTATTGATGCAAGCCCTACACAGCCAGAACCAAACGTAAGATATTCTACTTAAGGCTATCGAATCACACTCAATGCTTGTTCTCTTTAAAGCATGTTACATGCCGTGCTGGGCACAAACAATGAGAATACAATACAATTAACATTAGATCGTTTGCCACTTGAGTATATAAGCCCGCTGGTCAACGAGCTATCGGTGCTGCTACAAGGAAAGGCTGCCAAGTGAGTAGAAATAAATATATCTTATATAAGCATATGCCAAGTAAATCTATCTTTTCCTTTAGGGTAATGTGTGCCTTACGTTGGCTGCAGATCTTAGCTACAACACATACGAGTGTCATGATGTCAGAGGATAAGGAGGAATTGCGCGACAAGCTGGGTGTCTGCCTAGGCATTGCGGAGCAACGTCTGCATTGTATTACAGAAGCACTGCAGTAAGTGTACATGCAGCTTAATCTCCATATCCATTTCCATTTCGTCCGAGACATTATACCAAACTCTGCCCCGTATGAGTTTTTGTTAGAGCCCCCACCTCGTTTATTGATTCGATCTCTAAAAACATTTTAGCTCGTTTTCTTAACATTCTTGGACTTAACGTTATTCTTGGGCTTGTCGATGGTACCATGGCGACACTCACAGATCTCAGCATAGAAACTCAGTTTTGTGTGTAGTATGGTATCAATATAAAATCTTTGAAATGTATTCAAAGTCAGCGCACGATCGCCCACAGCGTAATATAGTGTGCGATATCCTTCGAAACGGTACGTTATCATCACGGGATAATATTTTTGCATGACAGTGGATACCGTGATTATAAAACGAACCTTGGCAACTGCCAAGGGATTGGGACAACGTTGTGTGGGTCGCGAGAAGTGCGCATCGACAAAGTAAATGGTGCCCTTTAAGGCCACATCGTGTCGTCGGGTATTTGTAAGCACCACGCATTTCGTTTTTGGGGACAGCTGCCATTTACCAATAAAGTCCCGAATCACAGCCAGCACATTGTTGTACTCAAATTCACCAATTTTTAGCCATTGTTGGACGAAATCACTTGAAATGTCACTCAAGCCCATTGAGGGTGTCACTGGGTATTGAAATTCGTCCGAGACATTATACAATGTCTTCGGATACTTGTAGCAGAAGAGTCCGCGCGGATCCGACTCAATTATTTTGATCGCTTCACAGATGGTTGCATTGACCATATTAGAGACGCACTCCAGATCAGCGTCATCGCACAAAGGCTTTTGACAGTTGGCTACGGATTCAATCAGATAATCGAGTTCAGGCAAATGCACACCGTCGACTTTCTCGTTGGATGGCAACCCAAAATTTTCAACTATAATTGGTTCGTTCCCTTCAGCTTCTGTTGCAGAGTCTTTATTGGATATTGGCGCCATTTGCAGAATATTTATTACAACCAGATTTGGGAATGGAAAATTTTGTATAAATAATTAGGAAGAGAGTATCGAGTTTTTTTGCTTTTGTTTTAAACGCTTGTTTTTGTGTATTTCAGAGTTTCTGGAAGGGTTAACTTGATTATAAATCAAATGAAGCGTAACACGGACAATCATTTAAATGAAAACAATGTTTTAGTTGTGGACGAGGATCCTGGTAATGCATATATTATCTATTGTTATCATTTGTAAAAACAATTAGCACTTTTAGCAGATGAAAATCCTACGCACTTGGCCGAAAACAATTGGAGCGATTTGGAGGAGCAAGATAACACAAACTACGCTTTCGATGATGATGATAAAATGGAGGCTGACGATGACATAGCAGCCGATGAAGAGGATTTGATAATGACACAGAATTCTTCAGATGAAGACGAAGATGCAGAGACTACAGACACAGATGCATCTGCTGGTTAACCCATCTGTTCCGTCTCAGTTTAATGTTGAACAAAAGAATTTTCCTTCTCGCCTGCCCAAAAATAGATGCAACTTTAATAAATTTTGTTCCAAATACATTTTATGACTCAAATTTCATGCATTCGTTTTTTTTTGTTTTTTACATGTAATTAACTACTGCCAAACAACAACAAATATCTGTGTAATAGTGTAACTACCGATAGTGAGATTTTTGCCAATTTGCAAACAAATGCTTTACGTATAATTTCAATATGCATGCAAATATAGTGTAAGTATATATGGTTACATATATATTAATTTTGTACCAAGAATAGGATTGGTAGCGCGAGTATATAAATAAGTAAAAGACCTAATTGTCAATGTTGTTGGGCTGCACGATTTACTTCCAATTGGCTTTAATGAAATTAATCAATCCATTCGTGGAACTATCATGTCCGGAGACTTCTTCGCAATGATCAAGCTCTGGTTCGATGGCCTTGGCCAGTTGTTTACCCAACTCGACGCCCCATTGATCGAACGAGTTGATGTCCCAAATGATGCCCTGAACAAAGATCTTATGTTCGTAGAGTGCTGTAAAATGGAATTGAGATATTTCAGAGATCATCGAGTTCGTTCCGCTTCAGTCCACTTACCAATCAAAGCTCCCAACGTGAATGGTGATACCTTCTTTACTATAATCGAGTTAGTCGGCCTGTTGCCGGCAAACACCTTGTGTGGCAACAAGTTGTCCAGCTCGTTGCCGCACAAGCCCGCCTTGGACAGCTCTTCTTTGGCCTGGTCGGAGGTCTTGCCCATCATTAATGCCTCGGTTTGAGCTAGGAAATTCGACAGTAAAATCTTATGGTGCTTGCCACCAGCAATGGGATTGTGCGTCTGTGCAGGCGCGATAAAATCGCAAGGAATTAGACGCGTGCCCTGATGTATCAGCTGATAGAAAGCATGTTGACCGTTTGTGCCCGGCTCGCCCCAAACAATTGGACCCGTATTGTAGCCAACCTTCTTTCCCGATTTGCTGACAAATTTGCCGTTACTCTCCATATCACCCTGTTGGAAATATGCCGCAAATCGATGCATATACTGATCGTATGGCAGTAGAGCGTGCGTCTCGGCGTTATAAAAATTCGAGTACCAAATGCCAAGTAGTGCCAGAATAACAGGTGCCTACGGAATTGAATTTGTATTATTATATTATTATAAAACATTATTTTTTTGTTTTTCAAAAAGTGTACTCACATTTTTGGTCAGTGGTGCAGTTCTAAAATGGTTATCCATAAAATGGGCGCCCTCAAGCAACTGTTCAAAGTTCTCGAAACCAATGGACAAGCAAATGGAGAGTCCAATTGCCGACCACAGGGAGTAACGTCCGCCCACCCAATCCCAGAAGCCAAACATGTTGGCACTGTCAATGCCAAAGGCGGTCACCTTTTCCTTGTTTGTGGACAGAGCCACGAAATGTTTAGCTACCGAATCCTCCTAGAAGCAAATCACATTAAGTCCGAAATGCAGCCTCTCTCTCGCCGATTGGTACACTTACATCCTTGGCGTGCTCCAGCAGCCAAGCCTTGGCCGATGTGGCGTTCGTAATGGTCTCCTGAGTAGTAAATGTTTTCGACGCGATGATGAACAGCGTTGTCTCATAGCAGACCTTTTTCAGGACCTCGGCCATGTGGGTACCATCGATATTGGACACGAAATGCGAATGCAGGCCCTTGCCGTAAGGCTTCAACGCTTCGGTGACCATGAGTGGACCCAAATCGGAGCCTCCAATGCCAATGTTGACCACATCGGTGATTTGTTTGCCAGTGCAGCCACGCCAAACACCAGAAATGACCTTGTTGGTGAACTCTTTCATGTGCGCCAGTTCGGCACGCACATCGGGCATCACATCCTTACCATCCAGCAAAACCGGGTCCAGACCACGATTACGCAATGCCGTATGCAGAACGGCACGATTCTCGGTAATGTTGATGTGCTGTCCGGAGAACATGGCATCACGTGCCGCCTCCACGCGTCGCACTTTCGCCAGTTCCAACAACAGAGGCCACACATCTTCATTCACGCGATTCTTTGAGTAATCCAACAGTATTTCACCATCGCTGGGCGTTGGCAGACGCAAGCTGAAAGCAAAGTTAATTGATTATTGATAAAAATCAATTTATTTGACCTTAATCAAGTATAAATTGGCATATGAAATGGAATGAACGGCTAGCCGACGATTAAATACGCTTGTCAAAAAATAGAAAGAAAACAAACAGTATATAGACCCAACTTGATTCTGATCAATAATATATATACATTAGGTATCTATTGGGATCCGAGATGCCTTCTTTTATGCGTTACACATTTCATGACCATATCAAAATACCCGCAGTGAAAGTATAAATGTCGTTGCTTTGACCTTATGCAAGGACAAATATAATCAGATAACTTTACTAAATTAAATATTATTGTCTGAATACAGTTAAATTCCTTTACCTAATCTCTTTTGCTAAACCCTAACCAACACTTTTTTACTCCCTAGTTTAATGCTCTTTGATTTGGGCGCTCAATCAATACATTAAAATAAATATGTATATCAACGATTAAACACATACACACACATGTGTAAAAATGTAATTGAATCGGTATTCATATGCGCATAGATGTGAGTGTCCATAGATGACCGTGAAAACTCACCTATATTTGGTAAACCGTTTTGGATCATTGACAAACAGGTCCTTAATGACCAGATTCTTGTGGTGAATGTCATAGTACTCCTGGAGTTTCTTAAAGATTGGCTCTTGATTCAGCGGAGGCAGATTACCAGCCATTTTCCTTTTGAAGGTTTCGTTAACACAAGTTGACACAAACAAAGACAGAATTGAACTGCACTCGCAACAGAGTTTACACTTTACTTAAATGTTATTATTACTGTTTTTGGCTCACTGGAGCACAAGTTCTTTGATAATCGGTACTGGGCAGCTCGGCCCACAGCGTAGCTCCACAAAAGCGCCGTTGTTATACTAATTGCCTGTATGGTACCGCAATGGTAGTCCTTTTCCACCCACCAGCTGGAAATGTGTTCACCTTCAATGTCAAATGAAAAACAAGTATCGGTGTTGCCACGTCGTCAATTTGTGTTCGTACCAAAATAAAAGAAATGATTTTGGCTACATAAATTATAAATGTGAAATGTGTTATCAGCTGTCAAAAGTGTTTATAAGCATGTGGTTTTGATTTAAACATAAAATATAATTAATTTTTTTATATTTTAAAATGTGGCAGCTCTGCCTAACAGAGGTGCCAGACAAGGCGAATTAGTATTACTACAATGATGGCCACATTTTTAGCATAATTATAAATTGAAATATTCATTTGAAGTTTCTTTCCCCTTTAACACACAATGGAAGATGAAGTTATTAATTTTTGGAAAAAATTTTCAATATGATAACTTGCATGTATGGTCGTAACGTGTGCGGCGCACGCCTACATGGCTGGCCGTTTGAGTCGTAACGTGTGTGTGCCCACTGGCCAGCATATGAACAACCCAACACTATAAAGATGGCGACGCGCTCGCTACTTGTTAATTAACAGTGGCAGTTGTTTTTTTCACAAACCTTAAATAGAATGAATAAATAATGTAAACAAAATAATGCAAGTCTTGCATGCAAAAAATGTGCACTACAATACCATAATGCAAGCTTCTTGGGAAAATAAAAGTGAAGTGAAACTTATACAAACATTGCAAAGGTAAATGAGCAACAAGTAGCCAAATATTAAAAATATTGAGAACCAACAATACAATAAATTGTGCTATAAAAACTAACAATACACAGTTAGTAAACGGTGTAAATATTTAACAAATATCTGTATTGTCATAATACATAAAATTAAATGCAGCCACACTGCACACGTAACCTTGTGAATACGCGTAATTCGGTAGCACTCGCAGTAGCTGTGGCATGGCTTGGTTGGGGTTTCGTTTGAGTATTTTTGGTGTGCAAAATAATATTATTGGCTTACGTTTACTTGCAGCGCACAAAAGAAAGAGCGAGCAAACAATTAACAAAAGGGCGTCGGGTACGTCAGGTATAACTCAACATGGACCCAACTACGGGCAGCAGTTGCAGCAGCGGCAGTTCAAGCAGCAGCACCAGCGGAAGCAACGGAAATGCTGGCTGCCCCTGTACCGCGTCCAGCACGGGATGTACTGGTGTCTCCACAAATCATCACAACGAACAGCCGCAGACAAAGCGGCAGAAAATAGATAAACAAATACGTTTGGTGGGCAGCAAATCGCCGCCGGATATACTGGCTGAAGCGGATGTAATGGACGCCAACGGCAACAATCAGAGTCATCATTTATGCTCATCATTGTCCTCCTCATGCTCCACACATTCCTTGTCCAGCAGCACAAACAATTCACCCACAAATACGCCATGCAATTCGCGGGCCGCCTCCTATGCGCAGCTGCTGGTCAACAATATCATGCCACAAAATAGTGAAATCGTCGCCAAGGACGAAGTGGACCGTGCTGCCCAGCTGACCGAACTGTTAATTGCCACAAAAGATGCGTCACAGACTAACTGCAGCGAGCGCAGCACCACTACCAGCACAAGCACGAACACTGGCTGTTCCAGCTCTAGCATCGATGATATGCTGGAATTCGAGCAGTCACTGACGCGGCAGTGCCTGTGCGGGGTTTCGGAGCGTACATTGAGGAAGCCTTTTCAGTCGCACTACTCACACGACTCGAATGGCCAGAAGCGCATTGCGTATCTGCGCGAATGGCCCACCAATAAGCTATTGCAGTTCCTGTCCAATCTGCAGCTGCTCTTCGATATTTACCTTAAGCAAAACGCCAAGGGCTACATCTGCACAAGGATTATGGACGTTTGCGATGCGTTGATACGCAACGATCACAAGTTGATCGATGAGATTATTGTATTGGCCGGCTATAATAATTCGTATGTGCAATTTCTGGCGGCACGTGTGCTGGCCGCATTTTTGGTAATTGCCAAGCAGGAGCTGAACGATGAGTGGCTGCAAAAGATTGTCGATCAGCTCTTTAACTATGTGCAGCTGGATGTGGCGGCCGTGCAGAAAATACACTTTAGCTTAGATATAATCAAACGCATTGTTGAGTGGAAGGATGTGGAGCTACATCCGCTGGACGATGACTACACGGTGGCAGCAAGCACGGTCACGAGCACTGTGACAGCGGATGCGTCCGTTAGCTTCATGCATTTCCCGGTGCAGGATCAGCCGCTGGCAAATAACTACTTTGCGCTGCAGTTTCGTGATGCAACCGCAGATCCGACAGATGCGGACCTTTATGATAACAGCAATATTACAGCTAGCAGTAGTACACCCGCTAATTATATGCCGCCTAATGGTTGTCATGTCGTCGCTCTTACCGACTCTGAAAGCTTCGATACAACGCATCTGAAATGCGTGACCATACAGAAATTGGAGCACAAATGGCCAACGCTCGTGAAGAATATGTCGGAGCTGATGACGCCGGCACAACAGGACAGTGCGGAGCATTGTGTGCTCAATTTTCTGCAGCTGTGGGAGAACATTATATCGGTCAAGGCGAATCTCTCGATAGACGAAACGCGACCATTCTATGCGCAACTGGACAAATTTGAGCTATTGCTCAATCACAATTTGTCCTGCACGGTTTATAAGCAGATGCTGTGCCTATTTAATGAGGCTCTTTGCTATGGCTCCACGCTGGCGCTGCAGGACATGCTGCCGGAGGAGACGTGCAAGCTGGCGCATCAGATTGTATGCCATGTGCGTAGCCTGCGCATTCTAGAATCGCTGCCACGTCGCCAACCCGAGAACATTGTCGGATTAATTGGTTATAATGGTGCGCCCGTTAATTATGTTTCAGGCACGCTCCACAATTCGATACAGGCAGCGGCTGTAGCTGCTGACGGCGGCGACCTCATTGAAATGGACAAGACTTTGCTGCAAAAGATGGTGCTGCTGGTGCTGAAATCGATTGCGGTGACCGTTAAGGAGATACGCAGCGATTCATCAGATTCGTCAATTGATTCAACCGATTATGACGCGTTTCAGGATATACAGCTTATCGAGCGATCCATACGGGATGTGCTCAGTAAACTGGAAACGTTCATTAAGCAAACACTGGAGTTTCATCCGGAATGCCATTTTAGTAAAATATTGATACATCTCTTCGATGATCAGGACGATCATCTAATTGAGGCGATGGTCTGCACACTGGATGTCACCTCCGGCATATCGTTTCGTAATAATGCATTTCCGGAGCTGGTCGCTATGTTGAATCCTGTATATACATTTCTTGAGTTTCTCAAAATGACATCGAATAGCTCGGACCTGCTGCTGGATCTGCTCGTCAGCAATGAGACCTGTTTCCTCTTGTATTTGCTCCGTCTGCTCAAATATATACGCATGAACTGGACCATGTTTGTGCACAGCTGCCATAGCTTTGGCATGGGCAATGCCATGCTCGACGAAGCTATGGGAGTACTAATACGCCTCCGACTGCAAATATCCAGACTGGTGTCGCGCCAGCTCTACCCATATGATATATCGCCGGTTCTGCGTTTATTGGAGAGCTGCGAGAGTCTGTACGAGGGCAATGAGCTTAGTTAAAGATAATGTTTAATCACACACAGACACACACACACACACACACACAAACAAACATACACACACGCAAGCCTTATGCAATTAAAATACGTAATTTATTTTTGTATTTAAAGGAATAGAAGAAAACTAGCACAAAATTCAAGAAAGTTTTGTAGATTTGTCACATACTTAATGTACTGATACTCTTTGTACTCTGAGAACATGCATAGACTCTTTTTTTTAACTCATCTCAACCTAAAATCTAAGCAATACACATAAAGAGAACACTTGATAACCTATTCAAATCATATGCATATTGAACTGTAAATCAACTCTTTTTCCATGGATACTCGATATTCCATTCTAAAACAAAACACAATACAATAATTTAGCTTAAGATTGTTTTAAATCTTGCCGTTAAGTAGATTATTAGCATATAGACGTTTTGGTAATACGGCTCATCTGTGCAATTTATTAAATGTGTGTATATTGTATATCTTAATAATTGCATGGGCGTAGTTATAATATATTTTGTGTTTAAAAATGCCTTAATAATACTACACTTATTAATTAAAAGCAAAAAACAAAAACATTAAGATCATATTCTATGATTTGTGTTCGATTTCAAATTCCAGTCGTTGGGGAAGATTAAAATTTGTATTGGTTAGCATTGCTACTCCTTGGCCATGATTCAAACCTAGTTTGAACCTGCAATTTTAGTTTTAATATATATTTATCAAATAGGTACATCTGTAATAGTCGTTTGGATGAGTCTGAGTACACCTAGATATTGCACATAAATTCGTTGAAAGTTATTTCTTATTCGTTTTTTAAAAATGACTTCGCTTAGTGGCGATTTATCATGCGGACCCTACGCTTGCTGTCCGGTGTTTGCAGTGTTGGCAGGACACTTGGAAGCGTCGGGGGCAGACCTGGGATCGCCATGTCTGCTACTGAGCCGCGTCTTACCATTTCGGGATGCATAAGCGGAGAGACGTGCACAGTCTGATAGTTTATGCTGATCGGAACCGATAAGCGGCGGCTCATACGTGGCTCTAGAATAGGAAAACGTAATCTTAGCTCGGATGAATCTCTGTTTTGATGGAGTTGAAGTTTGGTCCATTACCCAAAATCGCATCGCTTGTGAAATGCTTGCCTACAGATGGATGGATGGGCTTGAATGGGTAAGTCCTGGGATGGTCACCAATTGAAGTCTGCTGGCGCACGCTCCTCAGCAGCTCTTTGGGCGCCTTTCCTTCCCGGTAACGATCCAGCGATACGGAACGGCCCTCCGTAAAAATGTTGTGTCTAGTGTGCAATGGAAAATCTGCATTGCCGGCGTGAAAATATAAAATGGGTATCAGTACTTGAAGATTTGAAGAGTATTTGAGAATGAAAGGTAAATAAAACGCAAACTTTTGCATTGTGGCAAGATAATACTTTGTAAAATCATCACAGGAGTGCAGAGAAGAGTTTTATTTGTAACATACATTTCACAGATTCATATAGGGTATATATATAGGCATATAAACATACAAAGTCAATAACACTTAAACTTATATATATTTATAGGAATCGAAGTACATTCACATACAGAAATAGCTTCTAAGTGGAGTTTGAGAGTAAAATTAGTAGTAGATAGGATATGTCTTATATCGATATAGTAGAAAATCAAGTTATAGCTCACAACACATATATGACAATAAAAACTACTTTGTATCTTAAAGTTTTGATTTGTTCCCTATTTGAAAAGCATACAGTTACATTTATGTGGATCCTCTTTAAAATTTTGGAAAACTTTTTGCTGAAATACCTTTTGAAGCACGTCGATCTTGATGATTGTGTCTTTGCTCCTTCTGGGCGTAGGATTGGAGGGAACAGCGACGCAGTCGTTTATCTCCTTTGTTCTGCTGTTGACAATAAAGATGTGTTAATATATATATACCATTTTATAATGATGGTTAAACAATTGTTACCGTTTTATAATGTTGATTAATATCGGATGCTGCCTTTAGCAATAGATATATAAACACCAATGCAAAGAGATAAATAATGGGCTCAGCTGTGTTTGATTTCTTGGAGTTGTCCCTTTTCCTTGCAGACTCAGACTTGGACTTAGTGGACTTCAGCTGTTTGCGTCGTTTTATAAGGAGATTGCTAGACATTATGGGTTGACCTGTGGACTCATTGGTTGTCTTTAATGTAAACAATTCCTTGGAAAAAACCTCAATTTTTCTGCACAGGGGCTGCTCTTCAAAACCCAACTCCTTTCGATAAACGTGTACATTTTTATCCTTGAAGTTGGCATTTGGATTGCTTAGCTTTAAAGCAACAACCCCTGGTTTTACATAGCCGTTGTAATTATTGCGTACTCCTGCGATCATTAGATAGACTGTGACAAGCACTATAAGAATGCCCATAGGGACCACATGATGATTGTTGTTCCGACAGTCGCGCCATTCATTTGGGTTTTCATCGCTTAACCTAACTCTATCAACTGTGGAGTTTTCATCTTTCGTATCCTTTTGCATTGCCAACCCAGTTCAGTTAAAACTTTAAATAACGAAACTATATTTCATATGCGCGCAAATATGTATCTACAAGTCGCTTGGGAAAATCGATAGTCGAACTTTTGGCATTGTACAATTTCGTTCTCAATCTTGCTGTTTTAACAAAACAATTTTTATTGTTGCAATTTGTAGCGGAAATATTTCTTAATATTATAATTTTTTTGTTTTTTTTTTTTATATTTTAAAGATTTGCAAAATAAAAACACCGCGTACTACCACTACGAATACGAGTATGAATATGAATACGAGTTAAAGCGCGTGCGAATGTGTTGTCGGCATTCACAATAGTTTTTTTTTTTAAATTCGCCTACTTCCCCTGCAGGCTCTTGCTGAAGCTGGACGTTAGGCATGTTAGCTGGTTGAGTATTTCTATAAAAAAAAAATAGAAATATTATTAGTAAATGATAAAGTTGTTGAAAAGTCAGTTATAAGTCATACCACTGATTTCTAAACTGGCGGATTGATTATTGCTGGTAGTATGAAGTTGGAGACTCTCAAAAACAGTTTGGCGCTTGAACATCGTTGTGCGAAGACTGTCCTCTGCAAAATTTAAATGTCAGAATTAGCAACTTAAAAAGAAAATCGAATACCTCTGCAGAGAGTAACATCTCAACAGATAAAGATCTCAAGAACAGATGCAAATGCTCGTAATTATGGTTAAGATATCTTAAAATACAAAGATTTTTTCACATTCCTAAGGATACTTTAGATATATCTGCTCTGTTTTAAGATTTCACTCTTATGCGGAGCTTATAACTGCAAAAATTGGTAGGAACTACAAAATCCATCAGTTATTGCTCTAAGAACTCTACTTTAGATGAATAGTTCCCCATTTCGGCTTGATCGTGAAGCAAAAAAGCAAATCTATACCAAGTTTTATCCAGATAGCTTCAGAGCTGCGAGCAGACAGACAATGGCACATGGATATATAGACCAGGCTCTTGATTGCACCTCATAAGTTGATTGTGCTCAATATATTGCTGAAAAAATATAAAGACCCTCCGAAAGAGTATTACATTCGAATAAACCTATGCGATAACTTACTCCGACGTAGACAGTTGTGGGCCTTCGGCTTAAGACAGTCCGAATGAATTTGTTCAGCATTTGGATCTGTTAGCGTACAACTGCTTCCTTTACTGTGATCCTTGCGAGTTGCGTAAAGTATACTGCGTGATGGAGAACACAGTATGCCTTTCGGATTACCTTCATCCGTGCAGTTATTTGGATACTCCATTATGGTATGCTTTATATTTTCTGTAAATGCAGCAGGTTTATTCTGATCTCCAGTAATCTGGCTGTGTAGTTTGCGCAAAATGGTGCGTAATATCTTAAATCTCTTAATAATACGGTCTTGCTGAACCTGGGACGCACACATGAGTATGGCTTTGCATTCCCGCAAGATTCGCACGAAATTTTGCAAGTGCTCGTGACCCGGCTGTAGGACAACCTTTTGATTAGTATCCAGCTGGAAATGTTCGAGTATTGAAAAGCCCATTTGGACCAAGTCTTCCAGTTGACTTTTGTCAAACTTTTTCTCAGCCGCATTAAGGCCAGTTGTAAGAATTTGCAAATAGCAGCCGACAAAAGCGCGGCTATCCATAATCTCTTGCAGTGACTGCTTAAATTTAGACATTTCCTCCTTAAAGTGCTGTTCCAAGAGTTCTGAGTGCAAGTCTGAGGCATTCGACTGCAGCGATGGTATTAAACTGGTATCCAAATATTCAAATGAGGCGAGACAGCTGCGTACAATGGTTTTAACTAAAAAGAGTTATAGTTTTAGTAAACAATAAGAAACTTGATTTAAAGGCACACACTTTTTAAGTTTGGCGCAAAGGCAATTGCAAAAATGCCAATTTGTGTTGCGCGATCCAAATTTACATCGAAATCGGCTATGAATTCATCAGCAGTGGCATCGGTATCCGCAGTGTTTGAGTTACGCAATATATTGCGTATTTTATCGACTGAAATTCTTTGAAAGTCCAGAAAACAGGTGTATACCAAACGCAATAGGGACTCATTTACGTGGTCCTCCAGTTGGCAAACTGCCTGCTCTAAGCTCATGGCTTTAAGTTTTTGCATGGAATAGTTGGTGGCTGTCAGTTGGCATTCCTCTTGGAAGGCACTGCAATCGCGCATGACCTGAAAATAGAGTTATATATAATACAATTGACTTTTTAAGTATAAATAGTAATATATAATAGGTAACAGGTTGCTGCCCGAACGTAAATCAGGCATAAAATGGATTCAGGTAATTTGTTTTGTTACTTGACGCTTGGAATTCACCACAAGTTAAAGCATCGGAAGGAGGACAAGTTGTTAGCAATAGGAACACAGACAATATGCTCAATTTTGTATGCTTATAGCTTCATTTTTTCTGGCATCACATTTAAATAGAAAATAGTCAATATTCATATTAGCTTAATATTAGGAAAGTTATATGCATCAATTTGAATTCATTTCGTACATGGCATAAAGGAAATACCTTCTGACAAAGCGCACTCAACGCCTTCTTATCCTGTTGCAATGCCACATTGGCAAAGGACAATGTTTGGCCAAGAAGTAAATCTATGTGGCACTTTATTTGCTTGCTTAGGGCTAGCACGTTTGCCGGTGAATCTATAACGAGACTTCTGTCTACATTCTCGCTGGTGAACTCTGAGAGGGAATCTAACACAGAATCCAGTAGTTTCAGAAATGAGACGCCTTCTGTAGCGCTGTTCTCTGAAGGTCCTGTCGAAGGCAGCAGACACACGCACAGTCTTTTAAGGCAAACCGAGATGCGGTCAGTAAAATGGTGATGGCTAGCCTAAAATTAAAGGATTTTAAAGCTCAGTGACACAAATTGCGGCTTAAGTAATAATCTACCTGAATCCTTATGCCACTTGCTGCTTCGGTTTGGATTGTGTACTCCAAGTGCCGAATACATATTAAAATTTGCGTTAAGCATAGGCAAATTATTTCCAGACAATCATGTTCTAGCTGGTTGCTTAAGCACTTTTGCAGCGTACTCACAAAACCCAAAAATTTTGCACAGAAGTTCTGAAATGAATAAATTCATATACAAAAAAAAACAGCTGCAAAGGACGCCGGTAATGTTTATGTTTACGTTAAGCCAATTTATATCGCCGTTATTAGTGGATCCACCACAATCTAGCATGTGTAGGCATGCATCTAGTTTCTCTCTCAATGATTGCATATTTATATCAGATTAAAAGTTCACTTGTTGCACATAAAAAGAAAAGTACACACTACAAAGGTTTTAAAAAAGTGGCTTGCCATTTGAACATCTGGCAGCACTGTCTGCCTTTTGCATTTTGACATTATTGTTGCCAGACTTTTAAAATGAGTCTGACGTACAGACGCAGACGTACACTATTTTCGATAGCAAAAATTGTAGTATTCTTAAACCAATAAAAAAATTGACTAAGATCTATGCGAAAATAACTAAACAACGGCCAATCACTTAAACACTCAAGCCCACGTCTCACAATCTGTTTGACTCATTATTAGAAACCTAGAAACACAATTCCAGACATAGAATTTCGTGCAGCGCGTACACAACGACAAGTGCAAGAAAATGAGCACGTCAAATGCAAGCCGTAAGGAAACGGAGCGCACCAAACTGATGCAGGAAAAATGTCAAACCCTGTTAACCCAAATGCTACGTGACGATGACAATAAATATTGTGTGGATTGCGACGCCAAGGGTAAGTACACTGTCACAAAGGGTACGAATCTCTCTACATACATGTACAACACAAAAACAAAAAACATTATGTACTAGCATATGCACACATGCATACATACATTTATTATTAATCTGATTTAATTATAAGGCATAATTTAATAAATGTCGGCGCACGCAACCAGCACGTTCAGAGAGTATTCCCTTTTTAATTAGGGTCAGGGTCAGCTTAAGACAACCACGCAATGTCCTGTACATAATGTACAGTGAAAGGTCTACGGACGGACAGCTCCCTTGGACGAGCCATCCTTCCTTTTGCAAGCAAAAGGCATCCAGTGCTATACATGGCAGTATTAGTTTTGTGAGCACAAATTGCATTAAGCTTCACATTAAAACCCTAAAAAACGGCCAAATGTGTTGAAACGTTTTGGGTAGATAGATGTTTAGCCAGAAAATAGCCAAATTCGCAGCACTTCTGTGGCTAACCGCCTCCTTTATAACGCTTATATACATGTATTTATAACTAAGGCTTCAAGATAAGCACAAATGTTGGATAATTCGTTCTTGGTGCTTTGTTTGTTTGACTGTGTATACAAATTACTCATTGGGTCTTGTAAATTTTCAGGTCCCCGCTGGGCATCATGGAATCTGGGTGTGTTTTTGTGCATTCGATGCGCTGGCATCCATCGCAACTTGGGCGTACACATATCGCGCGTGAAGAGCGTCAATCTGGATGCATGGACACCAGAGCAGGTGATATCGCTGCAACAAATGGGCAATTCCCGGGCACGTGCCGTCTATGAGGCGCAGCTGCCAGATGGTTTCAGACGCCCTCAAACAGATACGGCTCTGGAGAACTTTATACGGGCCAAGTACGAGCATAAAAAGTATTTGGCGCGCGAATGGGTTCCGCCCTCGCCACCCAAGGTCGATTGGGCCAAGGAGATAGATGAGGAGCTGGAGCGGCAGAAACGTAAAAAGAAATCAGCTCAAACCGGTCTCGGCATTAGCAACATAACTAGTAGCAACAGCGGGTCCGTCGATAAACGCCCCTCGGCGACAGCAACAGCGAAAAGTACACCATTGCCGGCGCCACTGCCCAAGCCGAAGCCCAATCAGGTCGGTGGCTGTAGTCCAAAGACATCGCATCGTGTGCATAACAATAGCACCCAAAGTGCCGCCGAAAGTGATCTGTTGGGTCTCGCCTCGCCCACAAAGCCAATCGCCCACAGCGGTGTACAGGACTTGCAGAATGATAGCTTCACTAGCTTCCTGAGTGCCAGCAGTAATGTGAGCGCCATAACAACTCCGGAAAAAACAAATGGGAATAGTGGCGACCATACTACGCTGAACATGCCCAGCCAGCAGTCGAACTCTTTAGCCCAACAGGAGCAGGACTTCTTCAATCAGGGCACACTAGGAGGTGCCAGCGATAAGGATCAGTCGGGCAAAATGTCCAAGGACAGCATATTGGCGTTGTATGGCAATGCACCAACCACACACAATCCACAATTGAGCTTTGGTAATTTTACGGGCATGGCACCTGGCGGCTACATGCATCACCAGCAACAGCAGCAGGTCCCACAACAGGCACATCATCATCATCAGTTCATGACACCTCCCAATTCAGTGAGCATGTACAATGCACCCGTCATGGCCGCACCGAATGCGTTCAGCAATGCGCCCACTGGCGGCGCCATGAATCTGGTGGGCAATGTCGCCTTTGGCGGTGGCCAGTTTCCCAATGTCAGCGCCAGTCCGTATTTGGTGGGCAACAGTCTGGCGGCCGGCCAGGGCACGGCATCAAATTTGATGCAGACAAATCAGAATCTGCTCAGTGGTATGCAGCTGTTTGGTGCCGCTGGAGCACCGCAGGCGACAACACAACAACAACAGCAGCAACAACAAGTGGGAATCGGGATGAACTTGATGCAGCCCATGTCGAGTGGGTTGCCTTCAACTGGTTATCCGGCTGCAACTGGTACCACCGCCTCGTCCGTGACGTCAAACTTAAATCAGCAATTTGGCAATTTAAATATCGGTAATGTTTGGCAATAAATGAAGACTCCTGTGCATTCCTTTATCGAAGGTCCATATGCTGAAATAAGTTATAATTGTTAATGTATAACTTTTTGTACCTACTTGCCGCCGAAGCCAGTGTTTGTGTTGAATTGTATTAATAGATGAATTCTGTATTTTTTTTTTCTGCGCCCCGCCCAACCCTTTCTGTTTATTTGTTTATAAGATGTTGTACAAAAGAGAAAACTATTATTGTCAACAAAAAGAGCTGCATACACATATTTATTTATGTAGGTGCATATGCATACATACGTACTTGTATGTAACTAACAAATGTTCCCGGTTTGTACATCCACATATAATGCATGTGTAGGTAAGTGCATATGTATGCATATGCATTGGCATATACGTACGTACGTGTTTCCGAATTGAACGTGCATACATAATACATAAAAAACATACATACATATAACTAACGATAACAAATTGATAAGTTCTGACCACATAGCTGTATATGTTCATGTTTATGTACTTATCTACTATGCTCATCCAGCCATACGTATGATACGTTCCACCAATACTGGGAAGAAGTAAGTGAGATTTTTTGGCAAGTGTACTTGTAAGTTATATTATATCCTTAGCTGAACTATGTATGTATGTCATTCAATACCTAATTGAGCATCCGCAGTATGAAATACGTATGTACTTCTATTGATAAGTGGATACCATTTTAATAAATAAATATTCATTAACTACATAATAAAATAATTTAACTACAGCTTTTACTTATTTCAAACTTCAACTTCAAAGTCCGATAAATATTTGATCATGGTTTGTCCTCTGGATTAATATGAAATTTAAAATGTATGTATTTTCAATGTTGCCGTTACAATGCTTACATGCTAACTTTTTAGCAGTGAAAAACAAGAGAAATAGCACGCCTGTGTCTTGCGTTTTATCCCACTGGGTATTTGAATGCAACCCTGAAACGAAATAAATACCTCCGATATTTCTGCACACCCCGCGGCCGTCTATTGTTTAACACGTCAACTTCAACAACAAAGTAAATCAAATAAAAGTAAAATTTGAAAAAATCAAATAATATATAATTGATTGCAAAACAATAAGTGAGATGGAGAGCAGCGAAGGGGCAGCTGGAAGCTCAAATGAGCTCCGAGAGCGCAAGTGCAAAGACATAAACAAGGAGTTGTCAACAAAGGAGGCATATTTTGCTAGCCTCGCAGAATGGGCCAAACAGGCGGCGCTCATGCAAATGTTTCCCAATTACCTGCTCGCCAATTATAGCTATCCACAATTGTTGCAAACTCCATTGCCATACGAAGCGCCGCCAGGCATTGAGCAGCTGCAGACAAATCGCCAAACCCAACAGCCGCAGCAGCAGTCAGCGCAGGCGAATGCATCGCCAGCTGTTAGGCCCAGCTTCAGTCGTTTTCGGGTGCTTGACGAGGTGCAGCAACAAGAGATTATCCAAAGAGTTGGTGGCACTGAGATGGTTGTGGCGCCATTTTGGAAACGCGCCTTTGCGGAGGCCATAGACATTTTCATATTATTCATATTGAAAATAATTGTGACCTTTTCACTGTTTCACGTTTTTGATCTGGATTTCGACAAGGATGTGATGCGTAAGACATTGGAGGACGACGATATCTTTGTGAATTTTCTGGACATCTCCATGGACTTCATCAGTCTATCGTCGGATCTAATACTAATTGAGTTGCTGACCAAATTGTTGGTATGCTGCTATGAATGCCTCTGGACGGTGTTTTATAATGGCGCAACACCTGGCAAATCGCTGATGAAGATTCGCATACTCTATGTGGAGGCCGTAATGCCGCTGCAGGCACCTGTAATGCCTCAATTTGTTTTCCAAGCTCAGCGCGAACCGTTGCGAGCTGTGCTCTATCCCGCTGAGACACCTAGCTTCCTCAGGGCATTGATGCGCGCATTAGCCAAGAATCTGGTCATGACGCTACTATTTCCCATTTGCGTCGTTATGGTTTTCTTCAAGAATAATCGCACAGCCTACGACATTATAACAAAGACCATAGTTGTCGAGTCAAACCGAAATCCAGCTCCACCTATCGTGCCGCCCGCCATGCCACGCCCACATCAGCAGTAGTCAGACACAAGATGCGGGACACTTCTATATATAAAGCCAAATCTTGTAAAGAAATGTAGACGACCATGGCATAGCAGAAACAACAAATTAATTTATAATTTTGTTAACCATAAAATGTCTGAGTTCATGTTTGTCAGATAGACACAAATATTTTCTTCCTATTATGATGTAAATAGAAGAAATGTAAAAAAATGTTTTCCAAGCATACGAAGTTCATATCTCTTTTACTCCTATGAACTTAGTCTTAAGTCCGTTTTCTCAATGTTTGAAAGATATCGTTTCCTGAAACCGTATGTTAAGAAACCGGGCCTAACATTGTTATATTATTGATTCCTAGTGAAAGTTAAACAAGACGTCAAAATAAATATAGAATGATAAATAACTTGCAGAATCATAACGCATTTATTGCCAAATAACATTATGCCAAACAATTATTTAACCAAAACATTTTTCAAAGACTGTGCCACAACATTACCTTTGCCTGGCACATGGAGCGGTGCACCCTTATAGCAAGCCACCAGCTCAGAGTTGGTCATAAGATCTGGAGCACACGTTTCAAACACTTTCTTCTTCGGGTTGAGCTGCGCATCTGGTTGGCGTACGTAGCCATCACAATGCACTAAATCACCGGGTACGGCGCCAGTTGGGGGACTGAGTACTTCAACCTTTTCGGGGGTTGAGGCGCACATAACCATTGCCTCAGAGGTGACGCCACGCATCTTGGCCGGCTTCAGATTGCACAGTACAACGACCATTCGGTTCTGCATTTCCTCCAGCGGTACAAATTTAACTAGTCCTGAGACAACAGTACGCGGCGCTGGTTCGCCACAATCGATCTTTTCCAGATATAAGCTGTCCGCATCCGGATGGCGTCCGACCTCAACAATTTTACCCACGCGCATATCCAGGCGTCCGACATCCACTGGAGCCTCTGCCACAGCACTTGGTTTCGCAGCGGCGGGTTTTTTCTCCTTGACCTTTTTCTCTTTGGGAGTAGCGGTAGCTGCGGATGCTTTCGACTCACTCGCAACAGGCGCAGGTGCATCGGATGTTTCAGTTGTGGTGCAAATGCCCCGGTTGCCGGGCACCGGTATCTGCTTCTTGCCATTGCGTACTTCAAGCGCCACTAGCTGCGCCAGAGCTGCTTCTATTTCCTTAGCCAGCACAGCGTTCTCTTTAATCAGCTCCTGTTTTTTACGCTGGACAATCTCGTTTTGTAATGCCACCATCTAAAGTTGTTAATCAGCAAAGTTTTTGGTATGTGGGTGCATTCATCTACTTTACCTCTTCCTTTAATGAGTCAATCAGCATTTCGGCACGTTGGTTATTTTCAACAATTTTTTGAAAAGCAGCCATGTTTACGCTCTTTCTGAACTGATCTCCAGTTAGGTTTAATGCGATTCTGCATGTGGCACGCAGCATTATTGAGACAACCAGGGCTGCAAAACAGTGTTGCTAGCTACCGCTGCAAAAAAAAGCTTAAAATAGCTGAATCGGCTTTCTGAGCGTAACCTTCTATATATGGGATTACTTGAACTTGGCATCGACATGCTTAAAAGAGCTAAATCGGCCTAAAATTGGCCAAATTCGGCTAGAAAATTGAATTGCCAACACTGCTGCATCGTCTAAATAATTTGACATTTAAATAAATCATTTTGATAAGATATTGGTTTGCCCTAAATTTTGAATAAATAGTTTGGACTGCCCCGAATCGTAGTTATCTCATTAGCTCTGTTCTATTTAAAATGTATATAATTTGCTTAAAATTAAATTAATATTTTTTGGAATTCGAAATATCGATGTTAATATTGCTACGACATATCGATAACTTTTTGATACTAAACAATGATGAGTCGTGAGCATAAATATATATACGCAACAACAACTGATGCAAATAGAACTTGTTAAATATAATAATAATAAACAATAGATAAAGAGTGTTCATATTGCAAATGGATTACGTTTATTGTGGCGGCACCGATCAAATCGGTGCGTCCGAAGACATTTTAAGTACGTCAACCAATATACACATAAAATTGTATTTGTATTTGTCTGTACAACGCATATGTATCATGTATTTTGCCAACTTTCTCCATTTTTATTGAAATATACATATACATGTATTATATTTTATATTTGCTTAAGGTGTTTACGATACAGGGCCCCCGCGTAACTCTGAGCATTATTCACCAAGTTTCAATGGCTTCAATATTGGTTCCAGCGATGCCGACTACGTCGCTAGCCCAATTCCAATTCTTGCTGACGGCGGGGAAAATTTTGGCGTCTCGACTGTAGCCTTCGATGACTATGAAGAATTGCTTTGGATGGGAAATCAAGGTGTAAGCAGCATCTGTTTAAACTTAAGTCTGCCCTCTGCTTTGATCAAAAACTTCTTTTAATATACTTTTTACAGGGACATGTTACCTCGTACTACACGAGCTCCCTGCAAAAATACACCTCCTTCCAAGTACACGCCAGCGATATAGTGCGACAAATAATTACCATCGATTCGGGAGTTCTAGTATTAACACAGACTTCACTGCGACACCAGATACGTCGAGGATTGCCAAAGTTTACGCACAAGTGAGGGTTTAACACAATTCCTTTTCATACCTGTGCAAAACGATATGTATACCAAATTTCTGCAAGAGTCTTTAATCTTCGGCAACCCGAAGACAACGGTTCTGTTCTTTTGTAACACTTATGTATAAATATTTTACCAACCAGATCCAATAACATGGTGGAAATGGTGTGCATGCTGCAGTTATCCCCGCATCGTTTAGTCATGGCTGGCTTGCAGGAGGAGCTCATAGATTTCGATATGCGCAGTCTGAAGGAGACGCGGTTGGAGCATGTCGGATCCGCTGGATGTACGGTGTTGCGAAAGAACTCCCGGTATCTATTTGCAGGTGACCAATTTGGCACAGTCACACTAAGAGATTTGAACACCCTAAGCGTGGAGCATACAATCAAAACGCATACAAATAGTCTCTCAGATTTTGATGTGCAGGGCAATTATCTTATATCGTGTGGTTATAGTGGCAGGCAAAATAATTTGGCAATCGATCGTTTTCTGATGGTCTACGATTTGCGTATGTTGCGACTGATATCACCCATACAAGTTCTGATTGATCCGCAAATGCTGAAGTTTTTGCCATCGCTTACATCCCGTCTCGCTGTCGTGTCCAGCTATGGACAATTTCAGCTGGTTGACACTGTGGAGCTGAGCGAGCCACGCGTATCCATGTACCAAATTAATACGAATGGCAGCCAATGCTTGAGTTTCGACATCAGCTCCTCATCGCAAGCTATGGCCTTTGGCGATCAATCGGGTCATATAAATACAATTGCCTCCATACAAACGCCACAGCCACAGTTTAATGCGTTCTCGAGAAACACTGAGTTTGCGGACGTTGTGCCACAGTTGCCAATGGTACCATTTACAGACACAAATTTTCCACTGTCATCGGTTATGCTGCCGCATTTGACGACAGGCACGCGTTGGTTTTCTGATTGGCCAGAGGACCTGTTGCGCTATGGTTATCATCGCCCAAAGACCATAGATCCAGATGTGCTTAATAGTATGAAAATGCAAGGACCCATTGGATATTCACCGAATCCACGAACCGCACGACGAAATCAAATACCCTACTTCCTTATTGACCAGGGACAGAGCGGTGGCGGTAATGCGAATGCAAATGGCAACACGACGGCTACAAAAACCGAGAGCGGCGTTAAAATCATACCCAGGCGATATCGTAAAGTGGAATTGAAATATAGCAAACTGGGTACGCAAGATTTTGATTTCGAACAGCATAATCAAACTTGCTTCGCCGGACTCGAAGCTACCTTGCCCAATTCCTATTGCAATGCCATGCTACAGGTAAGCTAGCCCTAATTGAATTGCTAACCAGAAAATTGATTTAAACCTACTTTCCCATTAGATCTTGTACTTTACGGAACCTTTACGAATGAAGCTAATTGGACACACGTGCTCCAAGGAGTTTTGCTTATCCTGCGAACTGGGTTTCCTCTTTCATATGCTGGACAAAAGCACTGGTTGGTTTTAGTACGCATACAAGTAAATGGCTATTAGATGATGTACGCAAAACTTATTTTAGCTTCAACTCCTTGCCAAGCCAGCAATTTTCTGCGCTCGTTTCGCACAGTGCCTGAAGCATCTGCTTTAGGCTTGATTTTATCTGATCGATCGTCAAATGTTAATCTAATTACACTAATTCAGGCAAGCATTGAAATTTATATCCGCATTGGGAAAGCAAATTAAGTGTGCATTATGAACTTTTTTATTTACAGAACTGGAATCGGTTTATATTGCATCAAATGCATTATGAAATTCTGGATTCTGGCAAAAACTCTGGCTTGAATGGTCCTCAAAGTGCATTATTTGTCGGTAAATGTTTATTACTTTGTATTTCAATTATAATTGGTTTCTCACCAAGTTATATTTTAGCAGAAAGTATGTGCACAGAAAGTAACACGGCTACTGAGTTATATGAATCAATCTCTGGTCAGTAACTGCTCTTAAGAAGTCCCCTAAAGCAATGTATACTTTTTACAGTTTTAAGATTAAGTGTAGCTCGTGCATGCTTTTATGTTCAAATTTAATCATTTCCATCTTACAGACGAAAGCACAAAGGAGGAGGAACGGGAACGTTGTAAAATAAACGCCGAAACGGATATAAGTAAAATTTTTGGAACTAAACAGATATGCATAAACAGATGTATCAAGTGTCAGGCAGAGGTGAATATTAAAATTATAAAATACAATTAATTCTATAAATAACATTTTAACAGAAATCAAAAGAAAATATTTTGCTGGCTTGCAACTTATCATACCCCACGCATATAAAGGACAATGAGCAGCACTTTGATTTTGGTAACATTTTGAAGCGATCTTTGAGCTCTGAAAAAAATATTCAAGCCTTCTGTGAGAGCTGTAAGAAGTTTTCGCCAACGAATCAGAGCGTTAAGGTAACACATCGATTAATATAAATTTCGTATTAAGCCATTAAATTGAATTTTTATTTCTCGACTAGGTTACATCGCTGCCGCAAGTATTGGCGATCAACTGTGGGCTAAACAATGAAAAGGATATTAGCTTCTTGAAACGCCAGCTTAATCGTAACAACGATCGACCAACTGCTGAGGCAGCATCCTTAAGTACCAGCAAGCCGTGCCGTTATGGCATCAACTGCTCGCGTAGTGATTGCCATTTTATGCATCCGGATAGGTGAGTGATTAATTCTTTGTGTATAAAGAATTATAAATTAATGTTTTCTATCTATATAGAAAATCTCCTTCACACACAAATCAGCCAAGCAATGTCAACAGCTCACCAAGTGCGCGTCAAAAATCCTGGTTCCCACTGGCCTTCAACATGGGCATCAGTGAGACAGGTGAGCTGAGCGTGCTATCACCCACACACGCTTCCAAAACGGAACAGGAGTCGGAAGATGAGGAGCTAATGCAGCAGCAACAACAGCAAACGCTGCCCAAGGATCACATCCAACGAATGTATGCCCTCCATGCAGTTGTCTGTCAAATTGACGATGGCACCCAGAAGAATTTGGTGTCCCTAATAAATGTGCGCCAAAAATATCATACTATGAAGGCGACTACCTCGGATGCAATCGATGAGACGCAGTCGCAGTGGTATATTTTCAATGATTTTAGCATTTCACCTGTTTCACCACAAGAATCTGTTTGGTTCACGTTGGATTGGAAGGTGCCGTGTGTGCTGTTTTATCGCAGTGTAGAGGATGAAACAGACGCAACTCCAACCGTGGGAGAGCCCGCTACTGTAACAGCCACACAAACCAACGATTCAGCCAGCAATACTCCAACCAATCCATTCTTGCAAGTAAGAGTATTGACCACATAAACTAGATAACACCATTTTATTAATTCTTTAAATGCTTATAGGACATCTTAAACCCGATACCAAAAAAACCCGGCACTGATGCAACCTTGCGACCACTGCAATCAAATGAGATGCCGCAGGCAGGCGACTTAATCGCCATGGATGCGGAATTTGTAACATTAAACCCGGAGGAAAACGAAATACGGCCGGATGGCAAAACGGCGACCATAAAACCCTGTCATATGAGTGTGGCGCGTATATCCTGTATTCGTGGGCAAGTTTGTGTGCGCAGTGTCCAAGAGGATCAATTACTTAATATCTTATTTAATATTAGGCAAGGCCCTGATGAAGGTGTACCATTCATAGATGATTACATTTCGACACAAGAGAAGGTTGTCGATTACCTTACACAATTTTCTGGCATTAAACCCGGCGACCTCGATGCTAACTTTAGTAATAAACGTTTGACTGCCTTGAAGTATTCGTATCAGAAATTAAAGTTTCTTGTCGATATTGGCGTCATATTTGTGGGTCATGGCTTAAAGAATGATTTCAGGTAATTTGAATATACATAACATGTAATTTGAATATATATATATATAACATGTGAGATATAAGATTTGATCGAATTTGTTATCTTTAAAGGGTCATTAATATATACGTACCATCCGATCAAATCATCGACACGGTGCACCTGTTTCATCTTCCCCATCATCGCATGGTTTCATTGCGCTTTTTGGCTTGGCATTTTTTGGGTAAGTTCCACAATTTGACAGGGTTTTACCACTCATTATTCACATTCAATTTTGATAGGCACAAAAATACAATCTGAAACGCATGACTCCATTGAGGATGCTCGCACAACCCTTCAGCTATACAAACATTATTTGCAATTGCAAGCAGAGAAGAAATTTACGCTAGCATTGAAAAATCTATACGATCGTGGTAAACAGCTGCAGTGGAAGGTGCCGGAGGATTAAGAATTATTGGTACCATCCGCTGGTTAACGATAGTTAAAGCCAGTACAAATGCTAGACCGGCCACCTAGATTGCAAATTTTTTAAATGTTGTATTTGAAAAAAGAATTCCATTTAGTTTTAAGCTCAATATCGTCTGGACAGACATGCCCACAATAAAATCAAATCTAATATATATTTTCATTAATAGTCTGTGTTATGTCTTAAACCAAGCAATACGTAATTTGTTATACCCTGTACTCATTATTAGGTAATAATGGGTATATTGGTATATGAGCTGTGCCTAATAAGCATAAATTCTATATAAATTATGAAAGTCCTGAAATTTAATCAATTCCACATTAAAAATTGCGAATTGCTTTAAAAGGGTATTTTCGAGTCGAATACTCTTGTTTGTTTCAGGGATTGCTTGGGCAAGTGGTTCGGTTCAAAGTTCGGTTCACTTGAATGTTCCTGGAATTCCAGGTTCACATTGGTTCGGCTTAAACTCTGCATCCCTGATTTAAATAAAAAACGTATACAAGAAAAACATTGAAGCTTATTGTAAAACTCGTTTGTAATGCTTATTAAGTGGAGGTTACTTTTTGTTATTGCCTATTTTACGAGCATGATTTGTATTCAATTATAATACACACACACACACACACACACACACAAACTCGCACACACACACACACATATGCATACATATATGCGTATTTACTAATATGCATGCTGTGCATTGAATCGATTTGATCTGGCGTAGATTAATTCAACTTGTTCGTTCGTTGGGTATTGCCCGGGCCATTATTCTGTGTAATCAGAACTAGAAGCTATTGAAAACAAACAATGTGATCTTATTATAAACATGTACTATGTGCATATGCGCCTGAGTTTGATGGGAACGTAAGGTGAGCGCCAGTTTAAATAGTCATATTTATCCATTTTACTGGGGTCAAATCTGGCAGATGGAAGTCTTGGAAGTGTCACAGATGCAAAGTGCCAATATATGAGATATGTTAGCTCAAAGGCAAGTAGATGTTATTAGCGGTTAGCTGGGACTGGCAGCCTCTGAATTTCCCGAGCCCGATCTGTGCTTATCAAACCGAATGTCGTCGTCTGGGGAAATTTTCTGCCGATTAGCACCTTCCGAGACTCTTGCTATAAATACTGGAGAAGCACGGCGCTTATAGCATTCAAAACAGATCAGTTGTGGAATAGGCAACATGGGGTCACAAGCGATGTTTGGATTGAGCTGCGTGCTCTTGCTTTGTGCTGGTAATTAAATATCAATATCAACGCGCTAGCTTTTTCCAATTAAATTAACATTATATTGAATTCCGCCTACAGCGGCTAGCGCACAAAAAACCTATGACGGGCGCAATGGTCCGCACGTATTTGGAACACCTGGCCAGCAGGTATATATACGCGGTCAAAATGAAGGCAGCTACCAGGTGCCTGGTGTGGCTGGCACGTTCCAGAACACGCCCGGAAGTGGATCGCACAGCTATACCGACGAGCGGGGCAACACCTATGTACATAATAAGAATGGCGCCGGCCAGCCAGGTAAATTCCATTATCAGCTTCAACCTCATTAATGGCTGCAAAGTCATAACCTTTTAGCTACCCACAGCATAAGTGGACCGGACCTAGTGGCCCAGCGCAGACCGGCAGCTAATGCATATCGTGGTCGCCGAGGCGTCGTAGTGAGCCGTCCGGATCGCGTTGTCGCCAGCGGCGGTGGTCAAGTCTATGTTGGCCGCAGTAGCCGGGACATTCACGTTGCTCGCCCGGATCGCACAGTCGACTATGGCGGCCCTGGCGGTGACTTTGTTATACAACGAGCCCGCCGCAGCCCCCAGTCTGGGCACGTGAGCCGTCCGGATGGACGCTCTGTTAGCTATGGCGAAGGCGGCTTCGTTGCCACTGGCAACGATGGCCGCACTGTCGCCCACTCCCGTCAAAGACGCGCTCGCGTCCAAGGTGACAACTTTGTGGCACGCGATGATCAAGCTGGAGTCTGGAACGATGGTGTCTCTGTTTGGAAGCGCCCGGATGGACGCACAGTTAGCATTGACAGAAATGGCAACGTCATCACCTCAGGCAGCCCCAATGGACGTGGTCCACAACGCGTAAGTGATATATAACATAGCTAACAAATAGAAAATATTAGCTAATTTACTTCTTTGCAGTATTCCGGTTAATCCTAGATGGAGCGACAATCGTACCCAAAAATCGAAATGTATAAAGTAGGGAAGTAATTATTATTGCTGAGTTAACTCCTAAATGAAATAAATAAGTAGAAAACTATATATATTCTGTTTTTATAATTGAATTTATTATTTTAAAAACGAATCTTTAGTTCAGACTTAAGCCGGGTCAAAACCAGTTTGCGGTCTTTGAAATAATCAATGCTTATTGTAGAACCTTTGCATTTCATGTTAAGTGCAGGCTGCTGGTATTTATTGTCAACTTTACAAGCAAGATTTGTATTTAATTAAAAGCAATACATATAGTGTTTTCTGAGAACTAATTAACATGACCTGTCGTACATTGATTAAAGTTATTTTTTCATTCTGTGTAATTCTGAGCATGTTTTTTGAAATCTATAAGATCGTTAAGTAAGCGCCTGTTAAGTCGCGTTAAATAGTGTTATTTTTCAGTTTTGTTGTTGCATGTCAAATTTAGCAGATAGCTAGAAAAAGTCACAGGTGAGAGGTGGTGAAAATTAATATACATATGTAAATGGAATATATGGAAGTTGTCAGCTTAAAGACAAGTTTGCATTGAATGGGGATTTTCCGAATTTCCCGAGCCCGATCAAGCCGAATGTCGTCGTCTGAGATCTGGAACTTCGCTTCCGATTGGCGCCCGCTGAGATTCTTGGTATAAATGTTGAAAGAGCTTTCCGGCCAGATCATTCGCGGAATAGGCAACATGGAATCACAAGCAATACTTGGATTGAGCTTGCTTTGTATCGGTAATTAAACTGATTTGCATTCTTGCCTTTTTAATTTACATCAACATTCGATTCCGCCTGCAGCAGTCGGTGCACAAAGCACTTACGATGGAAGCAGTGGTCCGCACGTGCTCAGTGCATCTAGCCAGCCGGTTTTAATACGCGGTCAAAATGAAGTTAGCTACCAGGTGCCTAGTGTGGCTGGCACGTTCCAGAACACGCCTGGGAGTGGATCGCACAGCTACACCGACGAGCGGGGCAACACCTATGTGCATAATATGAATGGTGCCGGCAATTCAGGTGAATCCCATGATAAGCATGAACACCATTTGTGAATACCATATCCATGCCCTCAGCTACTCAGCACAATCGTGATCCCACAGTCCGGGCTTATCGGGGCACTCGCAGCGTAGTTGTGAGTCGTCCTAATCGTGATGTTGCGAAACTCGAGCCTAGTTTCGGCTCTAGCTCCGCTCATTCCGAACGAGAGTGTTTCGATGTGGAAAAGCCCAGAACGAAGAAATCAAGTGAATCCGTCCAAATCGCTGAAGATGGCAAAATAATTAAGTCAAGCGAATATCTAGTCGAGATCGAACGAGTGTGTCTTGAACTCTATTATACCAACACAGACCTGTACATAAATTCTAAGTAATTTGTAAAGCCACCAAAAAATTACCCGGCGTTGCATGTGGCACTAAAATACATACGTTTCTTTGTCAACTTTACAATTCGTAACATATTCAATTCGATTTTCTTTATTAACAACGTTTTTTCTCTTTTCAAATAAAGTGAAAGGTCAATTATAAAAAAATGCAATGCTTTCATACAAAAGTTGACCCTCACATTCCTCAATTTGAGACACAAAAGAAAGCATTTCTAAAAATCCCAGTTTTCTAGCCCTTACCGTTGGGAAAAGCCGGCTAGGAAAATGTTATGGCTGAGCTAATTAGCTTACTGTTAAATCGAATATTGTCAAATTGAATGCATGCTCAGATATGTATGTGGTTATACTTGAACTAATTATTAATAAAGAATCCAACCGATGCACAATACCTTATTTGTTTGCCAGCAAATAAATTGAGAGATAACCCGGCACATTGAATCAGGTTGCTAAATGATCTCTTAATTGTAGCTGACATTGATTTCAACTCTAAGTCAATGATGAAATATGAGCACAATAAAAAACCCGCAGAGTCCAATTAGTCTCTCAAGCCGGACCCTATAGCTATGAATTATTTGTTCACCTATATAGTGAGGGTATATTACTTTCGGTGCCATCAAATTTGCGCTGTTATTGCAATTTTGTTTGGCGAGCAACTCAATTTTAAATTTAGAAACCCAGGACTGTGTTGTGTATGCAAATGCCAGAGGGTTCTATACTATAGATTCTATATAGATATATATATATGTGTAGATGACTAGACAAAATGATTTGTACTGGCATTTTAGTTTGTCGCCCAGCCTGTGCTTCGAAAATGTATTATAGATTTGGAAAATATTCGTCCTAAATTGTAACTGTCGGAGACAATTCTCGAGTACTGAGGAGAAACAACGGAAAGCCAGAGATGGACGCAGTTTGCCATTTTTTTCGCACCAATTATATATTGGCCAACTGTGAGGATGTGATATGCAAGAAAGCGTTTTCCTTAAATCTATCGCATTACCAAATGGCCGAGCTACCAGATATTATCGAGCATTGTGAAACGCTGATGAAGCTATTTCTAAATCAGAATAAACTAACTAAGGTAGGCCAATGGCAAAGAGATGTGTGTACAAAATGAATATATGTATCTACTTATAAAATATACAGGTGCCATCCAGTCTAGGCAACTTGATGCGCTTGCAGGTCTTGGCGCTGGACTACAACAAGCTGGATGAATTTCCCGCGTGCATCTGTCAATTGGTCAGATTGAAATTCCTGAATGTCAGCTGCAACAATATAAGTCGCTTGCCGCCGGAACTGGGACATCTCACTGCTCTGGAAACATTCTGGTGCAATAATACGGGATTGCGCAGGCTGCCAACGGAAGTCTCCAATTGCGAGCGCCTGCAAACGCTGGGTGTACGTGGCAATCGTTTGCGCAAGCTTCCCGATGCACTGGGCAAGCTGGCAGAACTGCGCTGGTTTACGGCGGAGAGCAATGAGCTTGGCGAGCTACCAGAAACATTTGGATTACTGCAAAATTTAATACATCTAAATCTGAAGGGCAATCGTCTGAATCGTCTGCCATGCATGCTAATTACCATGCCCAATTTGAAATTCGTTTTCCTCAATGAAAATCGTATTGAACTAATTCCCGATCGCGCTGAGCTGGAGCAACTGCGTTTTCTGCGTATGCTCAATTTATCAAAGAATCCAATTAGCACGCTACCTGCGCTGCAGGAACTGGCGCAGGTTAGTTTTATAATTGGACAAATCCCGCTCAGTATCTAACATAATAACATTATGTTACACAAAAGTTAGTCTTGATTTGTTACATACGAATAATTTGTGCTTTGCAGAACCAGGCAAACATCTATGTGGAGTCGGTGATTGAGCTGCTGCCCGAAGCTGGAGTCACGGCGAACGGGTTAAGTGCCAATGCCAATGTAGAAGAAGAACCAAATGCGCAGCAGGAGCAGGAGTCCTCATCGGATTGGGCTAATAGTGCACGCACCAGCCAATTGGATAGTTCGGATGAGAGCAACTTGGAGAATACCATTGAGGATTTGAGCGTTATGCTGCCTGAAATGTCTCGTTTTGTGACAACATTTTAAGATATTTCAAATAGAATTGTTGCGTACTATGTTTATTTGTGTTTGTGTGTGTGTGCCTGTCGTGGTGTGTGTAAAACGTAACAATTGAAATGCGCTTTGGCTTGGGTCAATGTGACCAAATCCTAGAAACTTAAAATTTAACTAGACATTTTCTTGATCAGCTCCTCGTCCTGCATGGACATGGCAGTTAGCTTCTTGCCAATCTTTTCATGTATGTCCAAATATTTTGCAACGCATCTGTCGATGCAAACCATTTCGCCTTTGCCTACAAACAGCAAATTTGTTGATTATTATAATTAGAAATGGAAATGCTTTCCTATGAATTAAAGCTCACCCAATTCTGACTCGCCGTAGCGCGGCGGGATGCACTTCTTGTGACAGGCGTTTGTCATGCGGTTATATAAATCCGACATCATTTCAATTTCCATTTCTTGCATCAGCTGCAATTTTGCCTGGTCGGCCACGCTTATTTGTGGCATAGCCATTTTTGTTATGTATTATATGTAGTTGCTAATGTAAGTTGGTTATAAATATATATATTTTTTATTTGATTGTATTTGCAGTTGTTTTCTAGTCGAAGCGCCTGTCCGAAATTGTATGATCGTAATCACCGTGGTTTGCCTTTTTCATGCGCTCTCGCACACGTAATGTCTCGAATCTGCGGCCTTCTACTGATCTTTTTGACAATACAAATGCATACACTCCACCAACGGTTAAAAATGCCCTAATGAACACACAATTTTAATTTTAGGTAACAACGTGTTTTTTCTAATGCACGTATTTTACAAACCAACAAACAGCAATTCGCCCAGCGTTTCCAAGCGGCATTGTCAATAGACACAGTGTGACTGTGCCTATTGACACATATGGAAATACCTAAATTTCCTCACAAAAATACCAAGTTCAGAAAATACCATTACTGTGAAGTTTTACGATAACACGAGTTATCGATATTAAATTTTCGCGGCTAAATATGCGCGTGTGCTGTTGCTTTTTAACTTCAAATTAACTTGAAGCAAATTTTATTTAATTCAACTGGTAAGTGTTGCATTAAGAATAGGCTTTTATTGACAGTGCATCACAAACCGTTCTAATTGTATGTATGTACGAATATGTTCATGGTTATGTGTAAAATGTACTGTGTAAAAATGTTACTATATATTTTTAACAAATAATGAGATTAATAAACAAAAAACATAATTAAATCAACAATATAATTACCACAGTATAACTGACGCGTATAGAATGTCGTCATTTTTCGAAGCAATACATTTGTAATTTTTTTTGGTAAGATATTAGATGTATACAGAAATTTTAAAAATCACAATGTAATTCAATGTAATATGTACATAGTACAAATGGCTCACAATGAAAAACTAAATTATATATGAATGTAGGAATGTATGTGTATATGTACATATGAATGTACCTAATTATTGCACATGAAAATGCATGCATTTATCACTTGTCATCGATCGAGTTTAACTGGGTTTCACGCCAAACCAGCTCATTTTCCAATTAAGCGTATCGTGCAGCAGTTTCTCTTCCTCCGGAGAAAGCTGCAACAGCGTGGAAACGGCTCGCACCAGATGACGCGCTTCGACCTGCAAGAAGAGTTTACTTTAAAATACTTTTACGGATATTAAACTCAATCCATACCTCTCTGCTTGTCAAGAACTTGACGATGACATGTTTTAGATACTTAAAATTTACTTCATCCATAATTATGCAATTGGGTTTGTTGTCCGATTGAAAGCTCTCAATTGGTGCATTGGAAATTCTAAAGGCGGGTATAACTTGGTCCGTATCAACATCAATGGTAGCTGTTTGCGAGCTTCGAAATTCTTTTTGCAAGGTCTTTTTAAGGTCTCCCAAACGCTGATTTAACGTTTTTATTGTCTGCATAAGAGATATGACAATGTGTTTAGTGAACTTAGTAATATGAAGATATAAACACCACAGAATGCACAGGCTACCTTTATAGCTAAGTTCTTCTTCGATGCTTTAACTTAGAATTATAATCAACATATGAGATAAATCCCTTGGATACGCTCACCTTATTCTTTTCAGCAATTTCTCGTTGTGTCAGCTCGTATTTTGCCTGATCCATTGCATTCTGTTGGGCCGCATCGTTGAGTAGCTGCAAGGCTTGACGTGCCTCTTGCACATCCTTCTCCAGTTGCTTGTTCTTGTCGAGCAAATCATTGGATTCGGTTTGCTCCATGCGCAGCTCCTTCTTCAGCAGCTCTTCGCTCTGGGAGATCTCCGCGTTGCGCAGCAAGGCAGTCAGTTTCTCCTCGCGCTCAACTTCCAATTTCATTTGTGTGTCGCCTAAAAGATCTTGTTTCTCGGTAATTTGTGTGCGCAGCTTTTGAGCGACTTGCTCAGCATTTTTCACATATTCACTGAATCTTTCGTCAGCGGTATCAAGTCGCATTTTGAGATCTTTTGTTTCAGCTGCCAGTGTTTCCTAAGTTTAAATTTAGTTGAAATAAGTTGTAACATTTGTTTTTGGTTGTAAACCATAAAAGCAGTTTAATAGAAAAAGGATAGTTTCTTGGATTATAATACAGATTGTTAAATAAGAAGAAATGCAACAAAGTATAAAATACATATTATCATTGTATGAAACAATTGCGAGGAAAGTGTTAATTTACTTGCTAATAGAATTTGTTAGTTATATAAATAATTATTCATGCCATTAATAAATGTGTATTACGTGTGTGTGTATGTATGTTTGTGTGTGCCACTGCTAACCGCCAACGTCAGAAGGGATACTCACGGATTTGTTGCGCTCAAATAGAATTTGCTGCTCATTCTCTTCGCGGCATTCTTTTAATGAAATGTTCAGCTCGTTGAGTTCATCTTCCAATAGTTTAATCTATATGCAAACAGTTGAATGAAACATCTCTAGTAAGTTAAATATGGTGTGTTTACCTTATCGTCTCGTTGTTTGATCTCACTGTTGGCTTTTTCCAGCTCGAATGCGACTTGCTTTCGATTTTCTATGGCATCGTCGCGCGCTTTGAGCGCCTTTCGCTTTTCGGTGGTCTCCTCGGCCACCTGTTGGGACAGGCGACTCACTTGCTTCTCTAGCGCAAAGTTCTGGCCACTCCACGAGCTCTTGATGTCGGCTAACTGCAAATGCGCCTCCTCGAGATGCTGCTCCAACAATTTATGCTCCTGCACAAGTGCCTGCACTTGCTGTTCGGTATTCAGTTGGGGCAAAGCTTCCAGACGCGCTTCCTCAATAATTCTCATACGCATTTTCATGTTGCGATTATCCTCCTGCACGGCAGCCAGAGTTGTAGTTAAATGGTTCTTCTCCTGCTGTGTGGCATGGCGCAACTGCTCCAGTTCATCGCGCAAATCCTCAGCAATGGGCTCAATGGAGCGCAATCGTTCCAGCTCCTGGTTAAAATTCTCAATCTGCTGCTGATACTGGCGTATGGCATTCATATGATCAACGGCTTCCTGCTCGCGAAAGCCGAGCAAACTTTTCAGCTTGTCAATTTCAATTTGCTGCAGATTTTGTATCTTTTCCTGTTCCTCGCAATAGATATCCTTTTGGGTCTGAGCGACTCGAACGCTTTCCAATAGAATCTCATTTGTCTTATCCACTCGTGTCTTCTCCTCCTGCAATTTTTGTAAACTTTGACTCAGGCAGCTAACTCTGGACGCGAGCTCATTGCATTGGCTTCGTAGCTGGCACAGTTGTTCGGACTAGAATATAAACAGATGTTTCTCAGTATTATTATTAAATATATAAATGTTGTGTTTGCTTTGACCTCACCTCGCTGTAGACTCCGCCACCGCCCACATCATCAGCTACGTTGGAATTAATGCTCACACGTCGACTGCGTATGCGATAATTATTATTGTTGTTGTTGTTGGTGTGTCGTTGATGCGTCTGGGTTGCCGACGTGGACACATCTTCTCCAGTTTCTTCCTTAATTTTGTTTTTAAGCGTTGCAAACATTTTTTGTTGCCTGCGTGCCGTTGGCTATTGTAATTTTTAGACTCAACTAAGCGTATTCAGTTTATCGCGATGCGGCACACCAGCGTTACGGCTACTTGGTTTTATATCATTGCTCCAATTAGGGTATTTCTTGTGCATGTGCTTATCAATGAAATGTAAATGTAAATCTATTTAAATTTGCAGTCTATATATGTTGCTTCTTCTTTTTATAGCACTACGTGCAAGTGGAGCTTGCCACTTTGTTATGTTCTTAAGTCTGGCAACACAATAGTTGAAAGTTGCCACCTATGTAGCGTACATCGCGACTTATCGATAACAATAAAAAACAGACGCCAAAAAACATCTGAGGCGAGCGCGCTAAATTCTTATAATTGTTTAATATAATATTTGAATAGTTAAGTTTAAAGCAGATATTTTAATTTACAGCCTGGGAATATTAAGACGAGCTAACAAAAATGGAGCAGGATTATTCCAAACAAACGCCGCGTGACTTTTGTGACAGTGACGGCGTTTGTACCTCCTCCTTAAAGGAAATTTCATTGATAGAAACTGTGACCAGTTTCCTAGAAGAAAACGGAGCTGCAAACGTCGATCCAAGGGTTTTAAAAGACTTAGCCGAGGCGCTGTCGAAACGTATCAGCATAGACGAGTGAGTACTAATTAAATATGTTCTTATTGTCCGTGCGTTTGTGATTGTTGTGTGTATGTGTGTGTTGTAGCTGCGTCTTTGAAGTTCTGTTTGGCAGTGCAATTTTGCAAGTGCAACGCACACTTTGGCTTTGATCCAAAACTATATTTGGATTCATAAAAATGAAAGCAGCACATTTCTATTTACTAATGACAATACTCAACCATCCGCATCTGAGCACAAAGTGAGCAAAACTGCATCAGAAGATCAAATGCAGTGCGTACGCGCTCAGCGGCAGGTCCCAGATGAACTCCCCTCACTCGCTGGTGAGAATATATGTACACATGATGTATGTACATAACCCACCCCATTTTGTGGGAGAGCCAAACCCAACACAGCCACATTGGTCATATGGTGGGTGAGCAGCGAGCGCGCTCCGGAAAAAAGTAGCAACATCTGCCGTGCATTTGTGTGAGTTTTGCTGAGCGCATTTTCCTTGCGGAGCGAACAAACATACGGTTGGATGAGATGAACGGATGATGCTTGCCGTTTGGGGGTTTTCTCTCACGTTATCTTGATGCGCATTTTCAGTACTATTCTGGCTTTCGGTTCAATTAGACATATGTATATGAAGAGAACCATAATTCTAGTATTTTCAATTGTATTTTTGTTCGTTTGTTGTGATTGTGATTCGCTTAACGCCTATCAGTCTTTCTTTTTGCGAAATACATATAAGCAAACAAATAAGCATACACTGCGGTTCGCGTTAAAATAAATATATACATTCGAGCGTACACATATATGCGTATATGTATGTGCAAGTATGCAGCAACAAAAGTGAGAATTATATATATTTGTTTTTTTAATCACTGTGTGCTATATGTGTAGATAAAAATTGTCGAATATGCTCGATGAATGCTCTCGAACAGTGTAAAAAGACAATATTCTTATATAAATTACAGACGTGTCTATATGCATGTACATGACTGTGTGCATGAGCATGTGTGTGTGCATAAATTACGGGTACGCGCCTCGTCTTGTTGTTGATTTCCTTTGTCGCTGTTGTTGTTGTTGCTGCTGCATCTAAATTTAGTAGTGGAAAAATATAGCACAGCATCTTATGGATATATGTACATACATATAATATTAATAACTGCGTATTATCATGCTCGATAAGTCGAGCAAATATGTTTACAGGGAACGCTCTGTAAAGCGTACTTCTAGATGTTCAGTCCTGCACATAAAAAAACATCACAAAAAATCGAAAAATTAAAACTAATATTAACAATTTAACTAGTTTAGTATTCAAAAAAGCAAAGTATTCTCGCTTAAATTTCATTTTCATACAAAAAGAGTTTCGAAAAAATATGTATAAAATGTAAACGGCTTTTGTAGATGTTCACCCAGGTAAGCTGTCCGTCAGTAGAGCTTTCACTGTATATACAAGTAGGAGGATATATGTACTTGTGTTTAAGTGGCAAGTTGTTCAGTTTATATGCACACGTTTGCGGCTGTTTGACCTTTGTTTGAACCCCTCACCCCGCTTGCATTGTGCCGTTATAATGCCCTCAGGTTACGCTTTGCACCACCACCACGATTCAGCTAAGAGTACAGTTTCCTTTATTAACGCTAGTTTTATCCCTCTAATGTCTGTACATCGATATGTGCATATTTAGTTACACAAATGCACATCCGTTTTTTCACAGTGCACGGCTTTTCAAAATGAGTTCAGTTTTGTACACGAAGACGCATTCATTTATGGGCAAGCGTCACAATCAAGTATCTTGTTTACGTTCTAGCTTCAAGCCCCAACTAATAGGGGGACCCGGGCGGGAAATCGTTTTTAGACTGCATTTTCATCGTCTTTTGGCGCCAATTGTTGTTAATTATTTTCAGGGCCTTATAATGTTAGACATATGCTACATTCAACTGACGGCTATTTGCTAATTGTTCAGGTAGTGAGCCTCCCGAACAGGACACATGTGGCACATGCAACAGCTGTTGCAACTACAGTTTTCTCTCGCAAACTGCAACACATAGCACTTGGTACCAGAAGGCAACTTAGATCCCATTAAGTATATACATATATATATATGCATATCAATTTATCGTTCTTAACAGATGCATGTGAGGAAGGTAAATTGCATCTTTATCTTTATCTTAGCCCCTTTATCAGTAGCCCGTGAAACTATATCGTTCTGCATTGCAAACTTCAACTGTATAGACACATGTGCATCCTTATGTGGGTCACAATTTGAGCACCTGTTGTGTGCCGAAAGTGGAGCTTTGCTACTCCAAAATCTGCACATATGTTCGGCAGCTGTGTGTGCCCCCATTGATTACCACTGGAAACCGTTGTAACCATAGCTATGTCGGGTCAAAACAAAGCGTAACAGCAACGATTTCAGGCCGACAAAATTATTTCACAGCATAAGCTGCATTTGGTATTTGTGTTTTTGCTCAATTCCCAAAATAATTCATATTGAAGAGGCCCTCACGTGAAATGCGTGGCCCACATGTGTCGCCGGGGCTGCGTCCGGTCCGGTTCGCAAATTTGCAAGCAAACCAAAAAAAAAATAATAGAAACAAGATACATATCTAGCGTAGTCTTGGATGCAGCAGATGCCCCAAAAATATACCCTTCCCAGATAAATATATACGCATGTGTGCAGCTATGTGGCGCTCCTGAGTGATGTGATGCGCCATCATTTCGGGGACATTTGCTTACCCAAAACATGCGCCATGGCTGGCAGCAGAAAGTTGGCGCGCCAATGACTCATCGACGCATAGGACGTGCTACATACATATCTAAGTGTGTGTGTGTGTGTACGTATGCGGTGTAACCCCAGAGTAATTATATACCTGCACTGAAGTTGCATTTATAGACTGGTGTGCCGCAAGTTATTTAGGATAAGCACAATAGCAGCAACAACAACAACAACAGCAAAAGTAAAAACAAACAACGAGATGACGCATTCGTTTCGACTTTAACTAAATCAAAGTCATATTTGTACCGTCAGTATATTCAATGTACTGGAGTGAAGAATACCTAAAACTGAAGCTGCATATTAATGCCAAGAATCAAAAAACAATATAATGGCGGGCCTATATCGCACAAACTCTATGATCAGCACAAATGAATCCCCAAGATCGCCATTTAAACGGTTCTCAGTTTGTGCTGGAGCTGGGGCCACTTTTTGGTAAGTTTCTTCAAGTCAAATAAATATATATAGTAGTATGTTTAAAGATTAGATTGCGCGGGTTTTGAATTTCTTTCAGTTTGCTAAAGTAAACTGCATTTATATCAAGTTTAGATAGCGCGCATTTCTGCTTGCTTCTATGCATTTGAAACCTTAAAAACAATTCTATCTTCTTGTCAGGCCGAGAAAGTTTATTTAAAAATGATTTGCTTATTGAATCGAATAGATTGTCGTCATTTTACATTAATCGACTTAAATGACATCAGAAGCACAATTTATTTGAAAAAAGACAAAAAAAAAAATAGATAGGAGTGCCATTTCTATTCTACTACAGAATTTACACGCTTCACTTAACTCTAGTCCAAATTTTCGGCTGCTCGTATAAATGTACTAGCTACTTATTTGCATGTCATATGTATGTACATTTGAAACCATCTGTCGCTGGGTTTTGCTTTAAACACGAAAGACTTGAATTCATGAAAATCGCATAGAACGGCGATGTGTCCGCTCTTTTTTAAATATATCTTCCACAAACAATTGCACTTAAACTCTCTCAATTTGAACCGATATATTCTCTTTTTCCTCTCTTGTAAATATATCTTTCACAAACTCTCTTTTACTCTCTCATACTTGATCTCACTCTTTCCTCGCTCTAACTCTCTTTCACACAAGTTCCTACTTTGTCTTCTCTTACATTTGCACTCTTGCGTTCATTCCCGTGTTCACTTATCAATATCACATAAAGGTGCGATATAAGCCCGCGTATGATCGAGTACAGAGCTTAGTAATCGGTATCTTTTCGTCGAGCAGTTAAAATATTATACGTTTTATTATAAGACTTATCAAATATGTTTGTTTGTATGTACAAGCCATGTTGATAAACTAGCAGTTAATAATAGGTGCTTGAGGCAGCATTAAAACAATTCAAACCTGTTTAAATTGACCTCCAGACTAGAGATGGATGCGTGATTGAAAAGTGAATGCAAATGTGTAAGCCCTAAAGGGCTAGAAAATATTTGAAATTGTGTTTAGGGCACAGAGCCGTAAAGTGTAGGAACTTGTAATATGGCAATAGAACAGAAGATATCATGAATTTCATGGAATCGGCCGAAATATGTTTGTTTCGTGTTGAATCAGACTGTCACGGCTTGACCGACCACCTCTACTGCACGCCGTGGAATACAGGTGTTGTGACTTATCCAGCTGGTTGCTCAGTTAAATCGTGCTTGAAAGCTGGCCGGATAACTGTCGCTCATAGCAGGAAAAATAGTTAAAATGGATAAGTTCGCCCTGGGCATGTGGATGTGCCTGCTGGTGCTATCACCCATGTTGGCGATACGTCTGACGCCTTGCGATTTGGCCGGACAACTTTATATATTGGACGTGCCCAAAACGGAACTTGCCCAATGGCTGTGCATAGCCGAGTTCGAGAGTCGCTTCAACACACACGTTGTCGGACAGGGCAACTCGGATGGCTCGAGGGACTATGGTCTCTTTCAGATTAGCGATCGCTTCTGGTGTGCGCCCCCAAAGGCAACGCCCTACCACGCTTTCAATGGCTGCAATGTGAACTGCACAGAGCTCTTGAGCGATAATATCACGACGGCTGTGCACTGTGCCCGGCTTATCAAGAAGCAGCAGGGCTGGACGGCCTGGTCTGTCTACGAGGAGTTCTGCAATGGAACCCTCTCGGATGCCGAAAACTGTTTCCAACCGGAAACCACAGAAACGACTGTGACGCCTGATCCGGAAATAGAAACCACGACTGTCGTAACGGAAATGGATTGAGCACCTATTTCGTGCGGATTGATCACTGCCAATGGACAACATTTATTGTAAACTTCTAGACTATATATATTAAAGTACTAGCTGGTGTTACCCGGCTTTGCCCGAGCCAATTGTTTTTCTTTTAATTATCACGTCGCTTCCACTTCTTTTCTGATCCAGTTGGTTTTTTGATATTCGTATTGAATCCATTTGATTGAATCCTGGCAAATTGGAGTTTATATTGATCCTGTTGGAGGTATTACCTCCTGCTACGTGTTTTCCAGTTTTAATCAAGTTTGATGGTTTTTTATTTGCAGCACAAGTCCCGGCGGTATTCACGATGTAACCATGGAAAATTCATGTAAGTATAGAAGAAAAAATAACATTTACTTTTTAGCTGCCGAATGTGAAATACCCTGGCACACAATCCCGATTTCAGCAGAGACTATCAAATTAATTTTACAAGCTTATCGAGTAGACTTTGTTTTGAGGGCATCATGTTTTCGTTCTGGATTTTCTGTCCAACTTTTCTTTTGACATTTTGGGGCAACTATTTATTTGGCTTGCCTGAGCTACTTGTCCGTGTGTATTATGTCAACACACACATCTATTTTATTAGAGTTTAGTTTGGAAACACACCCGTAAATACTATATGCAAGTCAGTCACTCAGTTTCCTTTTATATATTTTTTTATTTATTGCCGGAATGGGCAAAAACGGCATACTATCAGCGGTCTCGCCACGGACATCGACGACAAATGGCTTACGCATGTTTGATGGTTATACGAACGATTCATGGGTTTGAGACAAGTTGCTAGATTAAATTAACGATATTTCTCTGTCTTTTTGTAGATACCAGCTTCGATGCAGCGCGTGCACCGGGAGGTATTCATTCGCCGATGCAGGGTCGGTCCGTGCGCGAGCTAGAGGAGCAGATGTCGACACTGCGCAAGGAGAACTTCAATTTGAAGCTGCGAATTTACTTTATGGAGGAGGGTCAGCATGGCGCACGTGGCGGCAAAAATGCCGCCGAATCCCCCTCTAAGCAGCTCATAGATTCTAAAATTGAAATCGAAATACTACGGAAGCGAGTGGAAGAGAAGACCGAACTCTTAAAGGATGCGGCTCGAGCTATATCACAGCACGAGGAGATGCAAAAGAAGGCTGACATGGAGAGTCAGGCGATGATTGAGCAAATGCAGCAATACATAAATCAGTTAGAGGTAAGTCTCATAATTTTCCATTTTAAATTGAAAGGGAATTCACGATTTCTCTTGGAGCAGGCAGCCGCCACGCAGAAGGCAACCAAAAAGTCAATTGATACGCTGAATGCTGAAAAATTGAAGACTTTGGAAGCAGAGGTTAGTCTTAGTTTTCCACGTCGGCCCTTGACGTTAGCTTAAAATCCAACTGTATATAAATATATTAATGTGAATTCCGCCCCAAACAGGTGCTTAAGTTGGAGAACGAACTGCTCGAAGCCGATTTGCGGGAGACGGAGTCTAGGCGTCAACAGGAGCTCTTGACAAATGATCTAGCCGAACGCCAGGAGACGCTGGTCGCATGCGAAGCCAAGATTGAGGAGCTGGCAATTAAAAATGCCAAATTGGTTGAGCAGATTGAAAAGCAGACGGAAATTGAGCAGCTAGCAAATGTAAGTAAAATAGTTTGTAGTGTATATAAATCATAGTGTTTGCGTGAGTTGGTTTTCGGACCTGGTGGAAGCCACGTGAGATGAGGATTGATAAGTGGTTTGAACTCTTAGCAAACGATAAGTCGCCAGAAGCTCGATTTAAGCGCCTCTTTAGCGGGAAGTGAACGTCTACTCAGGGAGCTAAAAGACGCCGAGCAAGAAATCCAGCGCAAGAATATGTGGGTAGTCGAGGCGGTGACCATATTGAACGTTCAGCGCAAGACAATAAATGTGATGGAAGTAAGTAGTATGTGCAACGAGCAGGGAAACGGTGTGATACCTAATCGAAACTTCCCGCAAACAAGGACCTGATCAGTGATAAGGACCTTGCGCACAGGCGTCTATATCTACGGCTTCTTGAATACGAGAGCGTCATTAGAAAACAGAGCTGCGAGGTTGATATGGTGCGACGCGAAAAGCAATTCTATCAGGATCTGAGCAATAAATTGCAATATACGGATAGACTGCATTGCTTGGAACGGATTGCCATTGTACAGCCGATGCGTTTTGATAAATTTCAAAGTTGTTTTCAAAGTTGTGCCAGCAGTTGTTCGCATCGTTCCAACTTTTCAGCGATCAGCGTATTGCTTGGCAATCAGGATCTCTCCGGCGCCAGTCACGTCAGGCGTTTATATTTCTCAATGCCAGAGGTGAACCATTTGAACAAAAATTCTGTGGTGTATATCAACTCAATCCCCTCCCCGATCCGCAGCATTGCAGGGCAGCTCCAATGCCATTATCCGTTGCCGCACCTAGTACGGCCTTTTACAACTATTCGTTGCCGCCGTTCAATGGATTGCGTGAGCTGCTGTGCCGATGGTGCTGGTGCTCCACGCACCATCCAAACTGATGTTCCTACCTTGCCAAATAGCTGCACTGTACTGCAATGCGACATTCTGTGTTTCCAGACAGAGGCGCGCATCACTGTGTCTGCCTGCTCCGGCCACCGTGCTGATGTCTACCTTGTCTCTGAAATGCAGCATGGCTCAACTGGACAGTGCACTATTCACTCTGATGATCTGATGAGAATATACACACCATACGCCGGCCGTCGCAATTTTGTTTCTATTTATGTCGAGTTCAACATTGTTAGCATAGAGTGTCAACATATTCGCTGGTAGTTATGCAAAAATTTCTCGTTATTAAATACTTACAAATGTAATTCAAATAAAAAGAACAAAAAATAGTGGGCATAATTTGACATGTGCAGAGATCGATATCAGATGGCTATTAAGCGTTCATTTTTGAAAATCAGTTCCAACGATTTTCCACCATAGGTGAATTGTATGAAATCGGCGAAACATGTTAACCTTTCAATTTAAGTGTGTGCTTAAGGTGCAGCTTCTACAACCTATGTTTTGGTCTATGCACTGACCATACGTCGGCGCCGTTTTATAAACATAGATATGGAGTATATATATAGACTAATAATCTTTGTATTTAAATATACTTTCAGCCCCATCAAGAGCTGCGCACACAATTGGCCGACAAGATCTGCGAGTTGCAGGACGCCGAGGAGAAACTGGTTGAAAGGGAGCGAGTGCACGAACAGGCCTGTCGCACCATTCAGAAGCTGATGCAAAAACTCAGCAGCCAGGAGAAGGAAATCAACCGAATGAAACAGCAGCAGCAGCAGGCGCATACGGTATATAGAAATGCCAACTAGATGCCTTAAAGGCCATTTATATTAAATATGTATTTTTTTACAGAGTAAATCAAGCGCGGAGTCCTCGCCCGGCAAACGGTTGCATTCGCTGAGCGACAGCGAGTCCTGTGCCGTAGACATTTCGCGCAGCCTGAAGCAGCGCTATGAAAAACAAATTGCGGATCAGGATGAGCTAATCAAGCAGCTGCAGGCGGATGTTAAAAAGAAGACGGCCAATTTGCAGAATCTCGTCAACAAGGAGCTGTGGGAAAAGAATCGCGAAGTTGAGCGCCTGACCAAGTTGGTGAGCAGCAGTCAGCAGCAACAGTCCGTGGAACACTCAGGCGATGATTCCACAGTTGGCGCCGATTCCCAGCAATCCTTTTCGGAGGCAGAATTCGCTAAAGCTCTCAAACGCAACAAATTGCTTCAGCGCAAGGTTGATGTGCTGCTACAACGTCTGGATGGTGCGCAGCAGGACAGCGAACTTATTGGACAGCTGCGTCAGGAGCTACAAACCATGAAGTTGGATGTGGAGAATGCCAACAAGTGGCGTCTGGAGTGTGCGGACGTATGCAGCGTGCTGACCAATCGTTTGGAAGAGCTAGCTGGCTTCCTCAATTCGCTGCTCAAGCACAAGGATGTGCTGGGCGTGTTGGCAGCGGATCGTCGGCATGCTATGCGCCGCGCGGTGGATCGCAGCTTAGACTTGTCCAAGAGCTTGAATATGACACTGTCCATAACTGGTGTTTCCCTTGCTGATCAGAGTCTAGCGCAACTTAGCAAACTCTCGGAAATATTGTACACTGAGGCGGATGAGTGCAATCATACGTACAATTCGCACGAGGATCTACAGGGAGCAAAGACGGAGAACAAGGCGTTGAAATCAGAGCGAAAAGAACGACGCTCGCTGCCCCTGCCGCAACAACAGCCAGATAATCAAAGCGAATCGGAAGCCTGGTCCGAGCCCGATCGTAAGGTATCTTTGGCGCGCATCGGTCTGGAAGACACATCGAACAGCATGGTGGGCGAGCAACATCTGAGCGAATCGGATAGTGAGGGTCACGCATGTTCGGCCAATACGCTTAAGCAGGAGCGCAGTCGCCACAGCGAACGCATCAGCCAGCTGGAGGCGCTAATAGCCCAGCGAGATGAGCGCATACTGCAGGCCCAATGTCAACTGGTGGACGCGGACAACCGCTTCAAGCAGGAGCAGCTGCGTGTCATTGAATTAACTCAACAGCTGGAACAGCTGCGTGCACAAAACGAGACGCTGCACGCGGATCTGCGTGCGATTGGCAGCCAAGAGGATCAGGAAATTGCCGAGTTGCAATCTCGAATTGAACTCAAGACGCAGCAGTTGGAACAGCTGCAAATGATGCACAATACGCTGCAGGCGGATGCACAAATCTCAGAGCTTGAGCTGCAGGAAGCGCAAAAGAAAATACTGGAAATGGAAAATGAATATAAGACAGCGCTCGCTGAAGCACGCAACGAGCTGGCGCAATTCAAGTTGGAGGCGTCACAACGTTTCGAGGCACAGCAGCGTCTGCATCAGGAGGCATTGGAACGCGACTGGATTGCGGTGTCCAAGCATGAGGAGCTTAAGTGCCAGCTGCTCGACGTGCAACGTTCGCTGGAGTTCTATCAGGACAACGAAAAGGAGCTGAAGCAGACGCTCGTTGAAAATGAGTTGGCAGCGCGTTCGCTTAAAAAAGAATTGGATGAAAGCACGCTGCAGGCTTCCAAGGCTATCATGGAGCGCACCAAGGCCTACAATGACAAATTGCAGCTGGAGAAACGGCTGGAAGAGCTTAAGGTTCAATTAGTACAGCTGCAGGAGGAGCAACGGCAGCATCAGTGCCCACAGCCCAGCGATGTCTCCCAGTCCGGCTACACGTCCGAGGAGGTGCCGCTGCGTGTGGCTCACCAGAGAGCCGGCCGCATTAATAATCCCTCGCCGGATCTGGGCATAGAGAGTGATACTGGTCGTGTCCTGAGCGTCGAGCTATCCAATGCGCAGCGCACCTTGCTTAAGACGGTGGAGCTAGGTGAGCATAATTCGCAGCAAGCCGCTGATATTTTGGACGAGAAGGAGGGTAAGTGTGTGAAGCGCACAATACTGTACAAAAATAAAGAAGATTTCCCTGTGACAGCAGACCTTTCACCCGACACAGAGGCTGTTGCATCGAGTACTGGGGAGCTGCCGCCCATCCACGACTGCGCCAAGGTAGAGCAAGAAAATGCCGATTTACGGCGTAAACTAATACGCACCAAGCGCGCATTTGAAGACACCTATGAAAAGTTACGTGTGGTTAACAAAGCTAAAGCACAAGTCGAGAAGGACATTAAAAATCAAATACTTAAGACGCACAATGTACTGCGAAATGTTCGCTCGAATATGGAGAATGTGTTATAACAATTGATTTGATTTGATTTGATTATCATTTTCGAGTGGGCTCACAAATACCATTGATTTCTTACAATTTCCTCTTTCATTTTTACTAATTTTCTTGTTTCTTTTAAATGTTCTTGTAAATGTCTGTATATAAGGCACGAAAGCAACGAGTTATTAATACTTGCATTTTTTCAAAAGACTGTGTATAATAAAAATATATATAATGTATATGTAACAAAATGCAAGTTTCCACCAACTGCACCTAACTGGTATTAAGTTAACCAGACACACATACACACATTCGTTCATATTGAATGACCTTAAAATACATAGTTAATTAAGAGCATTACTAACCGATTCTGAACAGTATCATAAACACATATAGCTCGCTAGAAATAACCCTTGGATAACCCTGATGCCGAATGCCATTTCTTGCCATATCAAACTAAATGTTCTGTAACAAATAAAAGACTAAACATAATATTTTGCTTGAATTAATATTAATCTCTTTTTTATCCTCAATTTTGGTATGAATTTTCGTTTTCAGTTAACAATTGGAACGGATATTGAAATAATACTATGATTTATTTGTTTTGAATTAATTTTTCTGCTGTACAATTTGTATAATCTGTAAAGATAATAGACCTAAGCGTTTTGTACCATTATGCAATAGAATAAAATACATTTGTAGTTCGTTTTAAAAATTGGTTCGTAATTGGTATTTACGGTATTCGCGGGTCGGTCGTTTAAATGATAACATTTACGTATTTTGTATTTGGCGTTGCCAGATGTTTGTCTTTGTGGCCCAGAATCTAAAAAGATTTTAGCACTTGTAGGGCTTCTGTTAAGTAGCATAATCAGTTATGTTAAAAACAGCTGTTTTCGGCAAAAGCTCTGTTACCATTATTAAACACAATGATTTTCAGTTAATTAACTGTTTTCAAGTTTTTGATATAAACTACATGCTTTTTAATAAAGCGTTCTTTAACTAATTTCAAATTGTAGTCTATTCGAAGATATTTTAAGTATTTATTAAGCAGCAGCTATCGGCAGTTTTACGGCCCTTACATTTGTCCCACTGTTATTAACAGTTTGGCGTAATGTTCTGCATCTGGCTATTTATTTGCCAGTCTGTTTACATCTCATTCCTGCGCGTGTGTGTTTGTTTTTATTTTCTTTTGTTTCGGCTTATCAATAATTAAAATAATAGCAAAATGGGCTTAAGATAATAGCAACAGCCAAAAGTGCATTAGTTACGCAGAATCGGTGTAGTTTCGTATTATTACGTTCGTTCGCGCGTGTTTGTATGTGTGTGCGCTTGTGTGATATTTTTGTTCACACCAGTTGCTTTAATCTCTGTCGGAAGCCCTACACACACACATGGTGTCCCGTTATAAGCTACACGAGGAAGATGTGGATGCCACAGCAGCACCCGCACCTAGGCAAAGTCGATACTCCAGGCCTGAGTCTGCCGGTCTTTTGCAACCACGTAAGTAAACATTTATCAGTTATCTAAAAATACTGTTGTGTGTGTGTGAAAGGAACACAGTCTCAAAGTGATTCATAGGTAAACATGATAGATATCTAATAATGAACTAATGAACAGTATTTCTGTAACACATTTTGTATTTGCGGTACTTTTGATAAGATTGTTGTCATGTGAAACGCTACTATGTGTGCTAGTTTTAAGAATATATATTAAGAGTATGGTAACTACAATTTTCATTTATGAATGTATAAAAAAAAAGAGAACTGGCCCATGGGGGGATCGAACCCGCGACCTTCGCGTTATTAGCACGACGCTCTAACCAGCTGAGCTAATGGGCCGTATTGTCTACGGGAGATCCAAGGCGGCATATAACATAAACGCTTGACATTGTATTGAAATAGAGGTTTCTTTTTATTGACCTAACATGCAATGGAAATCAATAAAAAGTTTCATTTGCTTAATTATTTATTTTTTTTTTTTTGCATATTTTAAGAAATATATTGTACTCTTTAATACACTTTTGTTTTGATTTTCGGTTATATGTTTTATATGTCACGACCTGCTGCCGTTTCGTAGTTGACAACTTACACTTCGGCTTCGTGCAAGCGAGCCCCACACGAAGGACAAAATATTGAGTGTCCTTTTTTGTGGCTTGCCCGCAGTTGGCTTTCGGCTCTTGCACGTAGTGGACGCATTTGGCTGGGCGGATGCCTGAGCAATATGGAATAAATAAATATTAACTGTGCCGCCCCTTAAAAACGCGAAAATCAGAGCTGATCTGAACTAATGTAGATATAGCATACATCTATATCGGCAGACAGTGCGAAATGAAATAAAAGTGGGTTGTACTAACTAAGCCGCCAACTGCACTCAGTTCGATAATTTGAAGGCTTTCGCTAATTTTAACTTGTGCATTTACGAATAACAAATGAAATGAACAAACTAACTGTCTGAAGAAAAGAGATGTGTAAAGTGCCTTTTGGAAAATCAACAAATCTGATTGTTAGTGCATATAACACGTACCTCCCCGCCCAACCCCGCCATATATAGTATTCGCTGTCAGCGACTGCATGTGCGTGACGGGAATAAACTACATATATGTTTTTCGAATATTATAAATTTTTGATGTTTTGACTGCAAGCAAGTAGATACATTTTGGTCGAAAGCTGGCATTGCTTTCGTTTTAAAAATTAGTCTGGAAAGGCGGCGGCGACGGCGGCCCGAAAGGGCGCCAGTTCTTGGCATTGGCTGTGGCTGTCAGTTGTTTTGGTTCTCAAACACATGTCAGAGCTTAAGTTCAAGGCTATTGTTAGCCGTCTTTTAAAGTCGCCCCACACACAGTGCCCACCCGGAAGAGGTTAAAGACCTTATATAACTGAAATATGATCTAATGAACAACAAGCTGCGTTAAAGGTGCCTTGAACGACGCTTTACTTGTGCTATTTATTAAGTGCCTTGGGGTTCTGACCCCCTTCCCCCCCTAATCTACACACAACATGTCCGGCTGTTATCAGCGCCAGAGTCTGGAGCTGCAGGCTCCACAGGACAGCCGAAACACGCGCACCATTTCAGTGGAGCTGAACAGAACGAACACCACCTCCAGCTGCAATCCCAGCCAGAGACGGCGGCAACAGCGGGCAGCCCAGCATCGGCAGGAGTCCTGGTTTCGCCATTCGATGCCGCCGGCAATTAATCGGGACTTTGAATCGTTGGAGCATCTGCAGGCGCAGGAGACGACCAACGGCCTGGATGAGCAGCTGGCGGCCTCATTGAGCGGCAAGCTGCCCGTTCTGAGCCACACCAGCATACACCTAAACAGTGCCAATAGCAATCTCGGCTTCATCGACTCCGACACACCAAATACGCCCATCACGCCGCTTTCCAACTCGGTGGCGGGCACACTCTCCTCCTGTCAAGCGGCTGCAGCCGGAGCCGGAGCCGGCGGCGATAATGGCTCCAGGCACAAGTCGCGTCATCGCAAGGACTCCAGAGCCTCCATCTTATCCAATGCAGCACGCGGCCTGCGCATGACCACATCATTCCTACGCAGAAAACGCAAGGAATACGAAGGTGAGTCGATAGCCAGGAATCAGGATGAATACAAGAAAGAAAAGATGTCTTTAAGTGGGTTTAGTTTGAAGAACTTTGCAGATATTTATCAGATTTTAAATATGTCTCATTCAATTAGCTAATTGCTCCTATGGAAGCTATATATATAAATAGTAATCCGATGTTGAAAACAGATTTATCATATATGGCAGAAGCATAGTTGAACGTTTTTTTTCAAGATATCTTTAAATAATAAAAGAGTTTTTTCCCTACAAATATTATTTTCTAATGAAGCTTTCTAGATTTAAAGCAGTGGAAAATCTAGTTTTGTCCTGATCTGTTCAAGATGTGGGTTCGGTTTGGAAAAAAGTGACTCAAATGCCAGAGAAATCTTAAAGTAACTCGGGTTTAGCTCTGAGCTACTCAAATCTAGTGCGAATGAGAATTTCTTTGCCAAATGCTGAAGATGCTGTAAGATTTTAGCTGGAGAGCCCTGATTTCTGCATTCTCTTGACTTTTATTATTATTAGTATACGAAATAGTTATAAACTATAGAGCTGACCTTTTGATAGTAAATTAGTCACGACTTAAATTGTTTCTCAATGATATTAAATTGTTTTCTGTGCTTGGGCGACCCAAGCGCTGAGCTCGGCCACATTGGCATAGACGCCCGGATAGTTGGGCAGGGCGCAGTTTCTGCCCCAGGACACGATGCCGACCAGCTTGCCGCCCGATACGAGCGGTCCGCCGGAGTCACCCTGGCAGGCATCCTTATTGCTAGACGCCGCACACAACATGGTCGCCCTGATCGTGCCGCCATAGCCATAGCTGGAGCTGGCGCACTCCGTGCGACCCACAATGCGGGTGTTGATGTACAGCAGTGTGGAGGAGGAGGCTCCCTGGTAGCTAGTCGATCCCCAGCCGGTGCAGGTGGCCGCTGCGCCGTGTTGAGGCGTGCTGCTGGCCAATGGAATGGTGTTGATATTGGTGCCCAGCTTGAGCTTGGTCTTCAGCCGCACCAGAGCAATGTCGTACATCTTTGCGCTGCTGTTGTAGGCCTCGTGTACCTTGTAGGCGGACACGGCGCTCAGTGTGCCGCCAAAGAATCTATAATTGGAGCCAGCGCGCACACGCAAATTGGCCACTGTCACGGTCGATTTGATCAGGCAGTGGGCGGCGGAGACCACCAGATTCCGGCTGATCAAGCTGCCGCCACAGAAATGGGCGCCCGAACGCTGCAGCGAAACTTGCCAAGGATGCGCGCCAATTGCAGCCGGCGAGCCGCCCACAATGCGTCCATCCGGCTGTGGAGTGAGGCCCAGCGGCATGATGGCTCCACTGGCCAGGGCCAGCAGAGCGAGTAGCACCATTAAGGTCTTGCAATACATTTTTACTGTCCAAACTTGGGTCTGCCAATGGCATACAAATCGCTGGTCTACTCTATATATATATTTTGCAGCTGATTAACCCTATCGATATTGTTATTGACGCACACTCCCCACTAAATTTACAATCCCCTGTAAATAATCATCAGTTACAGCCGTAAGTCTTTCACTTCAGACTGATAAACTCTAGGCCCACCTGCGTCGATATTTCCGGTTGTCTTTCAGAAAGCAAAATCTTACCAAAATGATAAATTGGCTCACGATCTTTATATTATATATCTCTAACATTTTGGCAGGAAATATATATATATATATATATATTGACTCAGGATTTCTGTAATTCACATCTATTTCTAATTTCTATCATATTGACAATTATTTAGTGTCATTATCTTTTGATTTTATGGTCCTGTAATCAAAACTAACAAGCTCTCATTCTGTTGTGCTTGGGTTTTGCCTGTCGTAAATGCCAAGACATGCAGAAAAAGGCTGTTGCTTGTTATATATAACATATATAAAGATAGTAATTAGTTAAATATTTAACACCCCTTGAGACTTAAAGCAGTCAGCGATTTATTTCTATGCCCAGCCACAGAATTGTTAATTGTTCCCACAGCAGAAATATTTCATAGTATGATTTTGTATCCATCAAAGAAGTAACTCAGCTTTAGAGTTTGATTCAAATATCGCGAAAACAATAAAGTTGATCGTACAAAAACAGAATCTATAGTCTTATCCTATGGCAGCTATATCTCTATATATAAAACTGTTTGTCCTGACTGACTGACTGATTGACTGACTGACTGACTGACTGACTGACAGACTGACTGATTGGTGATCAACGCACAGCCCAAACCGTAAGAGCTAGGAAGCTGAAGCTGTAGTTACCTTAACCCTTCGGGAGATTCCACCCGCAAGTATTGGAAAAATCGCGAAAAACGTTTGTATGAAACTTTTTGGCTTACCATCTGATCGACCTTAAACTCAATTTCAAAGTTCTTTGTTCAAATTCGTTTGCGGGGTGTTTCAAACTTTTCCAAAAATGTATTGCTTATTGGTGGAAATGGGGGAAAACGTTTGTATGAAAGTTGTTTATTTGCCGTCCGATCAGTTTCAAAATCATTTTCAAAGCCTTTTGAGAACATTTATTTTATACGTGCCACGGGCGGCCTTGCCCGCGGCTATCCCGCTAGCATATAATATACTTAGTAATAAGTTGTTGATGAAATATTAACTCATATTGCTAGCATGGCAAAACTAATAGAGTTTCGTTCACATAACGAAAATCAAAATAGGTTTTTCAAATAACAACTACAATATGCTATTTAGTGACTATAGAGCTTGTCCCTCAGAAAAAGGCGCCAATTAACCCTAAGTGGAAGTAGTTTATTGAAGAACTCGTCAACTGTCACGTAGCCTCCATAAAAACATTTGCTGGTTCCGGCCACGCTTTGTAGACTGGGCTGTCTCTATAATTTATTACGTAATCAACTAATATAAAATATAAACTTCATAAACGTTGCCCTCATTTTCCCCTGGCGGATACTCCATTAAGCTGTTCCTCATTCAGATCCTAAAAGGCAGCTTGTTAGTAAAATGTAAAGCATAAATATTTAAGAGCTACCCAATCATCATTCGAGAGCGGACACGTTTTCTCCTGTTTCACTTGCCAATTCTCCGTATATGAGTAATATTTCGTAAAACGATCGAAGGTTACGTGCTTTTTGGACTGTTTCGGTCCATTACCCTTGACTTTGTCCACAGCCGCATCCTTGAGGATGAGTATCGACTTTGGACAGCCCATCGTCTTTGTTCCAGTTCCCAGTTTCGAAGTGCCTGTATTCATTTTATTTGATTTGAATTGTGAAAGGGCTTTTTACTTGTGATATAAAAACAGCTGGTTGCTAAATAGTTCTATTTGTTCAACCAGAAAATGTCTTTCTAAGTACAATTTTTTATATATTCCCCAACTGTTGCACTTTACTGGGGCCCGGCTTGGAAATGTAATTAAAAGCGTTTGGTGGCAAACCTTTTAGTGCAGCAATCTTTTTAGATAAGAAATTAAATGACATTTGACCTGGGCTGCGCCTCTGAGATCACCAATGTCTCAGCATTAACGTACTTGCTTGGATTTCTCTTACTTCATTCTCATGACATCACCGTCGTGGGGGTTGGGACCGACCTTATATCCTAATGTGCCCGACATGAAAGTATATTACTTGCTGTGATTGTGCCGGATACGTTGACATTTTCCAGTCATTGCAAAAAGCTTTTCAGACTCTATTTTTCATGTCCATATAATATAGAGATAGAGGTAGTTAACGACTCGGTTTCCCGTGGTGTTTGAGGCTGCTTCAGGTTTGTCGCTGCTTAAAAAAATCAATGAAAATGTCTTTACATGTGACCGTGTACTCCGGTTCCTTTCATTTGAGTACACATACGAGCAATAAAAAACTATTTTATATGCTCTGAGATACCTTTAAACTGTTGTGAAAAATTAAAAAAAAAATATAAACTTGGCCCATGAGGGGATCGAACCCGCGACCTTCGCGTTATTAGCACGACGCTCTAACCAACTGAGCTAATGGGCCAGTATAAATGTGGGGCACAGGCAGCAAAAAACTGATTTTACGTTCAAAAATAAAAAGCTATTATTCGCATTGATGTATTCTATAATAGATGCATTTCTATGTTAATCTAAACAAAAAAATATATATATATACACATTAAGGTGTGCAATTTTATTTATTTGTGATATGTTTATTTTTTACGTTGAGCAGGTAACGAAACACGGGTACGGCTAAAACAAAACACAATAACATTACAGCGGCAGCTGCTGCGCATGATAACAGTTTACTGCTTCCACACTCGCTCGTACCATATAAGTTTGATTTGCGACAGACTGTTACCAAGTGTCAGGATGGCCGAGCGGTCTAAGGCGCCAGACTCAAGGTTATAAATCTTGCCTCTCAAACAGGGGTTCGTATGAGCGTTCTGGTCCTCTCTGAGGGCGTGGGTTCGAATCCCACTTCTGACAATAGTTTTTTTTTATTTTAAAAAGGTATTTAATAAATATGCAACAACTGTAAACAATAGATAAATTTAACTTTAGTCATTTTTTTCTATCTATAGTGTGGATTTAAGAATATAATAATTTAAACAAATATTATAACAAATTATTATCTGATATATTAAAAAAGAATTTCGCTTAACAATATTAAATCAATCCAGCACATTTAAGGCAGAAGCAAGGGATAAAAATGTGAGTCCTTTTCAGCAGACGTACTAAATGCTATTGTATCGACCAGTTCAACAAGTGCCTCCGTGGCGCAATCGGTTAGCGCGTTCGGCTGTTAACCGAAAGGTTGGTGGTTCGAGTCCACCCGGGGGCGGCAACAAATATTTTATTTTTCGTTACTAGCAATCAAACATAATTTTTTACCTTGAAAATTTGTCCCACATAAATCTTATGTGAGCGAAATCAGCAAGATTAACTATGTTTTAAAACAAGTACTACACCAAGGGCTAACAACAGAATCAATTGTGCTTAACAGTGAAATAACAGCAACAGCGCAAAAATGCGCATACATTTTTTGTTAGTGTAATCTAGTGTGGTGGCTTTGTGATTTTGAATGCATTGACATTTTTGCGCCAGTTTTGTTAGTGGTGAATTCGCCGCTCAGCTGGTGAAATCTGCGGTGTTTTAGCGCTCTTCAGCAATATCCATATGTGTTGCTCTCTCTTGAGCGCTCACAGGTTAGTCAATGGCGGCATTTGTTCAGTTGCTTTCTAAACTCACGAGCGTTAACTACGTGAATCGCGTTATTACTGCTAAACAAACTCGTCGTGCTTAATTGGTGTGAATAATAAATACATTGTGTTTCGTAGAAACGTATTTGGATACGCGATAAAATCCTGTTTTGGAACAATGCCTTTAAGCATGCCCCCCTTAAATACTTTGATTTTCTATACCCAGTGAATCGGCATTGAAAGATAAATGTAAATTACAGAGCTTTTGACGACAACAGTTATTCACATATGACTTGTACATGCAATACATATGCAATGGTATTGGTAATACTAGTTGCGGCTTAACGTTGGTTACTTATGCGCCACGTTTTGTATAGTTGTGTGTGTGTGTGTAGATAAGTTAAATCCATGACCAATCTAATGTTGATAGAATCAGTCACACAACCACACACATGCATGCAAATTGTGTGTTTACGTATATTCAAGATTGTGTGGGTTGGCGCCTTCTCTATTAATTCTGTTTTACTCTATCCAACACCTTCTTCTCTCGCGCGAAAATGTCAGCGGCGATTGTCTTGTTTTATTTTTATTTTGTTTAGCGTTTCTTGCCGTTTATTTCTTTTCCATTGTTGCATTATTGTAATTGTAGTTTTCTCATGTGTATATATATAAATATACATACATATACAAATATTGGCTATGTGTGTGTGTACACAAATGTCGTCCAAACTAGTTTCCTCGTGTTTTTTTTTCGGGGTTTGTTTTAAATGATATTGCCTCCCCCTGTTTATCAGCGTTTTGTTTTCGTATGCTATTTACAGTTTGTTTTTTTTTGTAAATTCAATGCAAGCCTTGCGTTGCAGATTTCAGTTGATGTTTGATAAATGTTGGAAAGGGTGAAAATAATTTCCCACTATTTCAATGAATCAAATATGTTGAATATATATTGTGCAGAAAGTAAACATAAACTACGTGCGGAAGGTAAATTGTCTGAAACTGTTGCATTGCATGAAATATTAAAGGTTCACGAAATGTCATGGAATATATAAGTTCTTGTTATATTCGTATTTTTATACATTTAATGCTTGCCAAATGCAGTGTATATTATTTTTTTTTCCAATTTATTTATACATCGGTTACGTTTGAATTTCAAAATAATTATAATGCTGTTTCAAAAAAAAAAAAATAAAAGAAAAACGTCATCATATGTTCATATATTATAGAAGTGGGAAAATATATTTAAATAATAAATGTGTGCACATTTTTATGTAAGCAGCAGCGGAAAATATTTGTAAAATATCCCAAATCAAGCATGTCTGGGTAATTTATTTTTTCGAAAATATATTTTTGAATCTGCAAGTTTTGCTCGATCTACATATGCTTTATCATGAATAAGAATCCCAACTTCATTTTTATCGCTTCTAAATTATATTCCATATTTGATTTTGTTTTGGATCAGCCGTTTCCGTCCACTTCTCAAACAATGTGACCGGCTGCGGCTAGACAATTATTGTTCGATTGACAATAATTTGCCATTGATTCGTTTTTTACAATTGTCGACAATAACAACTATTGTTGTTGCTGAGCTACATATATATATAGATACATATATATATATATTGGGACCAGCATTGTCAATTTAGCTATTTTCAAGCTAAATTGGACACTTTTCAGAGGGCAACTAATTAGGATTTTTTATGCCAGTTTTCTGATAATAACTTAAAACCTTTTCAACTGTAAATTGTTGCTAAGAAAGTTAGTAGTAGTTTTTTTAACATTTGATTCGGCTACATCTTTAAATGGCGTTTGGCAACACTGTTACGGACCTTGCAATCAGCCAAGCTTTGCTCACAATGATATAATACACACACGCGCACACATACACACACGCATGCACCTATGCGGGCCATATGCATGTGTATGTGTATGCAAATAGGTAATTTTCGAACTGATGACAAATTTCCTTTACTTGTGTGTAGTACCCGTATTCGAAAAACCTTTAAAAAGTGCTGTGGGCTTGCCATAAATGGCATCGGTATATTCCATACTAAATTTCTTGATTGTTGACAAGTAGTATATATATACATATGCAGAGAGAGAGAAAGAGAGACGGAGAGAGAGCGAGAAAGAGAGGGAGCGAGAGAGTATTCAAGGCAAATATTTTGATTAGAGTTCGTTAAGTTCCATTGTACTTTAAATTTTTAAAAACAAATGCGCGTATACAACTAGTTTAAGAGTTTTTCATGAACAGAAAAGCGAATACTAAGCAAAATAGTGAAGTTCCTTATCGTGAACCGAAACATTTTTCAAGTTAAAAAGCTGCTGTTGTGTATTTGCTTACATTATAAATTTAAAAAAAAACATTTTTTGGCGTATTAAATTTATCACAACATTAAATAAAATATTTACAACTTAAAAGCTGCTTCGAATAACAACTGATTCCTTGAAGTACGTGAAACGTTTAATTTGGTTCACGATTCAATGAACTAGTTCATCGAAAACGGAGCGAAAAGTTCCCATTCAAATTTACACGTGTTGTAGATTGGTGTTGTCATTGCCTTGCTTTTTCTTAGTGTTAAATGTTTGCGCAAGTGTTGACTGTACAGGTACATGTGTATATACTATATGCATATACATGTATGTATGTATGTGTATATAAATATGTATATATGTATGTGTACAGTGAGCTGTGCTGCTGTGAAATATGTCATTTAGCGTTAACTGATTGGTGAATCAACCTCAGGTTGAAGCTTTTGAGGCAACTTTGCAACTGTTTCGAGCCAGTTGAGTTGTTGCTAATTTTGTATTAGCCCAGTTTTACTCAACAGAAACCAGTAATTGCAATTTTAATGCGTATTTTTAGTGGACATGCTTGAATAGCGAACACAAATATGCAAGTAAAGCTGTTTGGAATGAATCCAAAATATGCGCCCATATATACATAGAGAATATGTATTATTTTATGCTGATATTTATAGAAGCGGAATAAAGACGGGCGACCGAACGTTGCCAGTTCTGATCAGACTCCATCAGCTTTTGCTGTTATTTTTGGATTTCTTTGAAAGTTAACAACGTAAAGAACTTACTATTAATTGGGCTTACTTTCTGTAAACATACGCGCGGCCTTGTACAGGCACAAATGTCATCTGTAATTACGAAAATTCACAACGTTCTGACCGGGCCAGGCCAGGCCAGGCCAGCGCGGCGCCTTTTTTAATATTTATGATCAATTTCGACCCTCCGCATGCAATCCCAATTGGGGCCTCCACCTGCTTAGCTGCTCTAGTATTGATATATTCCCTGTAATTTAGCACACGGGTTCCGGAACGAGCCCCATTAAATCCCGACGAATCGTCGCCTGACTAAATATAGACACATACCACACATCTGCCATATGAGAGTATTTAATCTTTGACCAAGTCAAAATAACACTTTTTCTCCTTCTAAAGTAATGCTCCTTCTTCTTTAACCAATTGCTCTGAAAATCTGTTAAATAGTTAAGATTTTGGATTGTGATTTATTTGTCCACCAATAAACCCCAATAAACCCCCAAAAACCCCAATAAGCCCCCAATAAACCCCAATAAACCCCCTATAAACCCCCAATAAACTCTCACAAATCGTCGGCTGACTAAATATAGAAATATATCACACATATGATAGTATTTAATCTTTGATCAATCCGAAAAGAACTTTTTCTCCTTCTAAAGTAATGCCCCTTCTTCTTTAACCAATTGCTCTGAAAGTGTGTTAAATAATTAAGTTTTCTGATTGATTATAATTTATTTGTGCAATGCTTAAACACTTGTCGCCACGTTTACAGTAATTATTAATTTTAAATATTTAAGCAATGCATTAAGGTTAGCAGCGCATATTTGCGTTATTTGAGTAACTCTGAAAGGGCTTAATTATATTTGAGTGTTTACTGTAGCTAACGTAAACACGCCAAAGGACAGACCCGGATAGACCATACCAATCCATTCCATGCATGTTTTTGGACACGCGCAAATGTGAGTGTTTACTTGGGATTTGTGAATGGTCGACAGACAGGTTAACAGTGCTGAGTAGTTCCCTAATGTTATGTGGAAGGTCGTTGACTCTTTTACCAGGGTGAATGTCGTCGCATTGCTTTAATGAATCTTGACCAAAATCAATACCTAATGTGTGAATAATTAGTCGTCAAACCAAAGTAGGCATTGAAAAGAACAAAAGCATATGTAAAGGCACGCCCCGAAAGGGTATTTGAAAATGATAATTAAATGTCAAATCGGAAGTACAGTCAAATTTCGTGTGTGCGAGCTAAACTAAACCCATCGAAGCCATCGTTGAATTTGGAGAGAAACACAAAATAGCATATAGAAGAACCATGTCAACATGACAGATCCCAATAGGAATAATACAAATGGCAACAACAAGCCCAAGGGCAGTCACACACGCCGTCCACAAGCGGCTGCAGATCCGAGCTCCACCGAGATTAATGCATCCGGCATCGGCACCGGTGCCGGCTACGTTTTCCACAATCCGCGAGCAGTGGCAACTGTGCCGGCACAGCTGCGCCTGTGGTGCAAGGAATGCCTGCGCCGGCTGAGGGGCGAGGCCTTGCGACACACGGCGACAACGGGACCCACAAGCTTCGCCCCAGATGCGGGAACCAATACACGACGCCCAGACGAGGAGTCCTCCGATACCAGCAGTGCGGGCACAACAGAAGTGGATGCCTCCATAGCGCCGCAGCGCCTCCAAAGCGAACGGACGGAGCCCAAGCCACAGCCGAGCTGGTTCTCGACCACCCGGCGAAAGTTCCTGGAGAGAACGGGCCTGAGGAAGCGCAAATGTGAAGGTGTATATCTATCTATTTTATTATTATTACCAACAGTTCAGGTATACTTTAAACTAACTGCCCAGGTTTTAGGTGACACTCCCTTAAACAAGCTAAGTACCTCCTTGTTCAGTTGACCGAGAGTCTGAATCACTTTGTCAACTTACATCTACTGAGGACTGCAGTTGTATTAGTATTATTTGTTCTTATCTTTTTTGTAATCTTATCGTTAAGCCAGAGACAACAATCTAAAGTCAAATAAGGCAGTTAAATAGTGTTGAGTTGATAGTTGTGTACAGATGTACAACATGCGGGATATGGATATATAGATAGATATTATCTTTCCACTAGGTACACTCCAGTGGTAAATTGACATCAACCCATCTTGTTTTCCACATAAAAAACCAAGTGGTGGAATCAGTTCTTATAAAGATCTTTTAAAACGATTTTAAATCCGAACGGACGGTAAATAAAACAGCTTCCGCCAATTTACCACTGTTGCGGGTGGAATTTGCCAAATCGCTGAAACACATATTCATTAAGTTCTTATGTAGAGCTTTAAAAATAAGTTTCAATCAACTCTTAGAATCGCGCTTTCCACCGGGGAAGCTTTGATATTGCGAAAAGTGTGAAACGCAATGTCACCCACCAAATCTTTGATCTCCATTTCCACCAAGGAAAAAGGCATTTCTTCGAAAAGTGGAAAACACCTCAAGTTGAACAAAGATCTTTCAAATTGAGTTTGAATCCGATCGTATGGTAAACATGCAAATTTTTTCACGATTTTTCCACACATGCGGGTGGAATTTGTCGAAAGCCCGTCTTCAGGTAACTACAGTGAAAATTGTAGCTCTCAGTCAGTCATTCAGGTTATCAGTCAATCAGTCAGTCAGTCAGTATTAACAGTTTTACACATAGAGAAGAATAAGTGCAGGGTAGCTGCTAGTCTAGCACGCACGTCTAGTCAATTTTATAGATTTCAATCGTTATTGGCCCAATGCGGCTAAGAAATGCACTCTCTTTGTAAATACCGTCCAGGGACGACGGCTAGTTACAGTTGCCAGATATCCAAATACAAAGAAGCTCATTCGAGTGCCCAACTACGAGATACCCTGTACTCACAGATGAGCTGCCATAACCTACATTTATTCTAGTCTCAAAAAGCTTATCCCATACCTCAATACAGTCTACAGTCCTTCGGGTCTAATCTTTGAAAATATTGTAGAACTTAAAGATAAAAATCAAACGTGTGAATATGCCACAAATCAGTTTCTCTCAAATGTGGCTATTCGAAGTGTGAAATATTGTTGAAATGTGTTGCAAAATGAATTCAACGTGAACCGAGACGCACAACTGTTGATGATGCTGCCTTCCACAAGCTGTTTCATGCATTTGCACAGCTGCGCTATACCCCTTGTTTATGCCCATGCTATTGACTAAAGGGCAGAGCATGTTTCAAGGGTTTGCGACACACCCCAAAGGATACAAATCAGAACGACGCAAATCGCCTCCGCCAGGGCCGACCCCGAGCGCCTAGAACGTTTCGCTCATTATTACCTACCGTGGCCAAGTCCGGCTCGGCTCTCCCGTGTTGGATTCAGTCGCAACGTTAAGCTGCAAGAGAGCACAACACGCAGCACGCAACAAACTGGGCCAACAATTCGGTGGAAAATTCTCTGTGTGTGTGCGTGTGTGTGTGTGTGTGTGTGCAGCTAAATTGTGTGTATGCAAATACATATTTTGCAATATTTGGCAATTGCTGTTTGTTTGTGAAGAATTAGTGTTAGTTGCAACGGTTTGTGGCACAATTGTCGAGTGCATCACGTGGCAGTCGCTGCGTTCAACGTGCGACAAATCGATAGTGCGCACTTTTCACGCACTTGGCCGTGAGTGAGTGAGTCGGAGCCAAGTGTTGAATCTGTCGCGAGTTCCTTCAAGTCTACCTAGCTAAAAACTCCAATTCTTGCATCATATATACACCTGAATATAGAACAATTTAAACTTCTGATGTACCTGGCAAAATGTCAAAGTTGATGCGAGTTGAAGAAATTATTCCGCCCGAGCAAACGGCATTTGAACGAAATGTGGCCAAAATTAAGAGCGCAAGCGCTGGCTCTGTGAAGCACCTTAAACGCCCACTGGCACGCCCACTTGTGGCTTGCTCGAGCAGGCAGTAGAGCATTTGGTCACAAGCACAATCAACCTGGAGGGCATACTGAAAACGAAGGCAGGCAGCAGGGAGAGCATTGCTTTTCAGGCCGTCGGCTCGGGCATTGAGGAGAGGGACGTGACGGACGCAGCGGATCTGGAATCGATTGAGACGGCCGCAACGGAGCTTATTGGCGACATCAACGACGATTCGAATCGTATCTTGAACGTGACGAAGCGTCCAAGCCGACGCCGGAGACCATCCGTGAGGCAGTGCGGCCGTCGCTGGACCAGAATGAACTTTCGCAATGTTTACAGAGCGCTGCGTATACGTTGGAGTCGTAAGTCCATCTAGTTTTTTTCAAAGATCATTGTGAAAATTCTGCAAATCCACCAGGATGGGTGGAAGTGATTCCGTGAACCCACCCGCAGGGGTAAAAGTGGGAGAAAGTGCGTTTCAAACTCACTCTCCAAGTGTTTCGCAATAGTTACAGAACTCTGCGTATACGTTGGAGTCGCAAGCCCACCTAGTTTTTTTTACAGATGATTGTAAAAATTCTGGAAATCCACCGGAATGGGTGGAGGTGTGGGAAAGTACGCTTCAAATTCAGTGTCTAAGTATTTCGCAATGTTTACAGAGCGCTGCGTATACGTTGAAGTCGTTAGTGCATTTAGTCATTTTCAGAGATCCCTGTGAAGATGTGAATCCACCCGAATGGGTGAAAGTGGGGGAAAGTACGTTTCAAACTCAGTCTCCAAGTGTTTCGCAATACTTACAGAGCTCTGCGTATACCTCTGAATATTCGGTAAATCCACCAGAATGGGTTGAAGTAGGGGGAGTGCTTTGCAAACTCAGTGTCTAAGTGGAAAAGTTTCATTGTTTTCAACACTTTGGGGAATCAAGAAATTAAGAAAAAAACATCTTTGACCGGGCAACGCCGTGAATATGTGCTCTAGTACCTACGTATTTAAAGTCACCTTTTTAGGCTAGTTAAAGTTAGCTCCAAAAATTAGAATATTCAAAATTCCGAACATCATGTTTGTAACCTGTGTCGAGGTGGATCCACTCATTAAACTGGGCCGCTTGATGAAGAAGCACAGGATCATACCAGACGTTGTGAACTGCAGGCCCCATATAATCATCGATGTGCTCTATCCTTGTGATACCGTTGTCCAGCCGGGCTGTCATCTAACCCCACTGAAAGTGAGAAACGAGCCAATCATTAGGTGGATGGCAGACCCTATCAAGTTTCACACGCTGGCCATGATTGACCCGGATGCCCCAAGTCGTGCCTCGCCCACCAAACGGGAATGGCTTCACTGGCTGGTCGGCAACATACGCGGCTGCGATGTGGTGCTTGGCCAGCCGCTGGTGGGCTACATTGGCAGCCGTCCGCCCGCCAAGACCGGCCAGCATCGTTACGTCTTCCTGGCCTTCAGGCAGCACTGCGAGCTGGACTTTGACGAGCCCTACATACCCAACAGCAGCTACGAGGGGCGGCCCTGCTTCAGCATCAAGCGATTTGCCAAAAAGTATGCGCTGGGCAACCCCATCGCTATCAATTTCTTCTTTTCCAACTGGGAGGACGATGATTTGTACTAAAGCAAACATTGGCTGCTGCTTTTGGTTTTAATAAAAATCTATAATGAAAGCAAGGCTCTGTAAGATTTGTATCCATATTGACTGATTGATTGATTGATTGATCGGCGGAAAGTCGAGGTTTTAGAAAATGTCTACTGCAAATATGGAAAATTTGTGAAAAAATAAGGTATTAAATCGTGTTGGTATTCCACCGATTGATTTTTAACTTAAGTGCAAAAAATAATGTATAGTTGCTTAGCTGATTTTAAATAATCCTGCCCATACGCTGGGCAACTTCGTATATGCAGTTCTTTTTAACAAATTTGTTGCTTTATCGTTCCAGATGATGAGGATGACGTTCCGCACTTCAATGGTTACGAGGCGAATGACTCGGAAAAACGCGTCATTACGCTGAACGCGCCACAGCCCACAAAATATTGCAATAACCGTATATCCACGGCTAAATATAAGTGAGTAATGCGAATGGGCAACGATTATCAGCAGAGTAGTCGGCGCATTTATTTGCTATGATCTATTTAAGGGTCGTGGCTAGCGCTGATAAGATATGACCTCCATTTCTAATACTAATTGATTAATAAATGCTTTTGTATTTATCACACAGTGTCCTCACCTTTATACCGTCGTTCCTCTTTGAGCAATTCCGACGATATTCCAATATATTTTTCTTACTAATTGCATTATTACAACAAATTCCGGATGTGTCGCCAACGGGTCGCTACACCACATTGGTGCCACTCCTCTTTATACTCTCTGTAAGCGCCATAAAGGAAATCATCGAGGATTTGGTAAGTACATGTGTTGAAAGCGACATCTCAGAGAGGTATATATATACATATATATATATATATATATATATATATTTATTTGCAGAAACGACATCGCGCAGATAATGAAATCAATCATCGATTGATTGAACGCTTAGAAAATGACACTTGGACCACGGTGCGCTGGTCCGAGCTGACAGTTGGGGATATTATCAAGGTGGTCATCGATACATTCTTTCCTGCCGATTTAATATTGTTGTCGTCAAGGTGAGCAGCCACTATATACACATATATATATATATCTATATTATTACACACTATATCTGAATTTGATGTATTGAAATCTTTGCAGCGAGCCGCAGGCCATGTGTTTCATTGAAACGGCAAATTTGGATGGCGAGACGAACTTGAAGATTCGACAGGGTTTGCCGTCGACAGCCAAATTACTGGAAACAAAAGACTTGTTGCAATTGGAGGGCAAGCTCGAATGTGAATTGCCGAACCGGCTATTGTACGAGTTTAATGGCGTGCTGAAGGAGTATGGTAAACCGTAAGTGCATCTCTGCTATAGCTGATTGATTCCGATTTAAAAACAAAGATTCATTCTTTTGCAGTGCCTGTTCACTTGGCAGCGATCAGGTGCTACAGCGTGGCGCTATGTTAAGGAATACGGCCTGGATATTTGGCATTGTCGTTTATTCGGGACACGAAACAAAGCTGATGAAGAACTCGACCTCGGCGCCACTTAAGCGATCCACTGTCGACAAACTGACCAACACACAGATCCTGATGTTGTTCATGATACTGATCTCTCTCTGCATAACGAGCGGGCTGTGCAATTTGTTTTGGACGCAAAAACATTCCCAAACGGACTGGTATTTGGCCATTGGAGACTTTAAGAGCATGAGCCTCGGCTATAATCTGCTGACGTTCTTCATTCTGTACAACAATCTGATACCCATATCGCTGCAGGTCACCCTCGAATTGGTGCGTTTTCTACAGGCAATCTTCATTAACTATGACATTGAGATGTATCACGAAGAGTCCAATATGCCGGCCAGTGCGCGCACCTCCAATCTCAACGAAGAGCTTGGCCTGATTAAGTATATCTTCTCGGACAAAACGGGCACGCTGACACGGAACGTGATGGTGTTCAAGAAGTGCTCCATAGCGAGGCGCATTTATCAGCCCGAACGCACGCCCGAGGAATCGGACTTGGTGCAGAATATACTTAGGAGGCAGAACTCCTACAAGGACATTGAGGACTTTCTAGTGCTGTTGTCCGTGTGCCATACGGTGATACCGGAGAAAAAGGAAGATGGCACCATTATCTACCATGCCGCCAGTCCCGATGAGCGTGCTCTGGTCGATGGTGCACGCAAGTTTGGCTACATTTTCGACACACGCACGCCTGACTATGTGGAGATAAATGCATTGGGGAAGCGTATGCGCTTCCAGGTACTAAATGTACTCGAATTTACGTCGACACGGAAACGGATGTCGGTCATTGTGCGAACGCCAGAGGGTAAAATAAAGCTATTCACCAAGGGCGCCGATTCAGTCATATACGAGCGTCTCGCGCCGCGAGATCAGTCATACCGGGAGACAACTTTGCAGCATTTAGAGGAGTTCGCCTCCGAGGGCTTGCGCACGCTGTGCTTGGCCGTGGCCGACATTGATGAAGAAGTGTACCAGGAATGGAACGAGACACACCACAAGGCGTCGATATCATTGCAGTACCGCCACAGCAAGCTGGAAGATTCCGCGAATTTAATCGAGACCAATCTACGTCTGCTAGGCGCAACGGCAATCGAGGACAAATTACAGGATGGCGTGCCAGAGACCATATCCGCCCTGCTCGAAGCGGGCATATACATTTGGGTTTTGACCGGTGACAAGCAGGAAACGGCCATCAACATTGGTTACTCGTGCAAGCTGATCACACACACCATGGACATTATCATACTCAACGAGGGCAGTCTGGACGTAAGTTGCATTGTGTGCAGCGATAAAAACATGTCAATAATTTCAATTTGCTTTGCAGGCTACTCGTGATGTCATTCTGCGGCACATTGGCGAGTTCAAGAGCACCTCGGCCAAGGATGCGAATGTGGCGCTCGTCATCGATGGCAAGACCCTTAAGTATGCATTGACCTGTGACATGCGCGGCGATTTCCAGGAGTTGTGCCTAATTTGCCGCGTCGTCATTTGCTGTCGCGTTTCGCCCATCCAAAAGGCCGAGGTAGTCGAGATGGTTACGCAAAGCACCAAGGCGGTTACCCTGGCCATTGGCGACGGTGCCAACGATGTGGCCATGATACAGAAGGCAAGCGTTGGCATTGGCATTTCGGGCGTGGAAGGTCTGCAGGCATCCTGTGCCTCCGACTACTCGATTGCCCAGTTTCGATATTTGCGTCGCTTGATTCTCGTCCATGGCGCCTGGAATTATGCACGCATCAGCAAGCTGATCCTCTATAGTTTCTATAAAAATGTCTGCTTATATGTCATTGAGCTCTGGTTCGCCCTCTATTCGGGCTGGTCGGGCCAAATTCTGTTTGAGCGCTGGACCATTGGCCTGTATAACGTTCTCTTCACCGCCATGCCCCCATTTGCAATTGGCCTCTTTGAGAAGTTCTGCACGGCCGACACAATGCTTAAGTATCCGCTGCTGTATAAACCCTCGCAGAATGCCAAACTCTTCAATGTGCGAGTCTTTTGGATTTGGATTTTCAATGCTTTGCTGCACTCGGTCTTTCTCTTCTGGCTGCCACTGTTCGCATTCCAGGAGGAAGCCATTTGGGGGGATGGCAAAACGAGTGACTATCTGCTGCTGGGCAATATGGTCTACACGGTGAGTTGGTGCACGAATTTATTCAAATGAAGCAAGAGGATATGTATACATAACTATACTTAATATTTATAATTTTATAATAACTTGTTTGTATATTTGCAGTATGTTATTGTAACTGTTTGCTTGAAAGCTGGCCTCATCACTAGCTCCTGGACCTGGCTAACGCATGCCGCCATTTGGGGCTCCATTCTGCTCTGGTTTGTGTTCGTTCTGATATATAGCCACATTTGGCCAGGATTGAGCTTTGCCAGCAACTTTGCGGGCATGGACACTCAACTGTTGTCGACGCCCGTCTTTTGGTTTGGTCTAGTGCTGGTGCCCATCGCCAGCCTGTTGATCGATGTCATCTGTAAGCTGTAAGTTGCGAGACACCAAACAAATCTGGGTGCATAGGCAGCTATTAATTATTGTTCGATTGCTTGTAGAATACATAATACCGTTTTCAAGTCGCTCACCGAGGCTGTGCGTGAGTCGGAAATACAGCGTCACGATCCCTCACAGGTGATGGAAGAGTCGCGCTCCTCGTAAGTATTCAGTTGACAGAGAGAATCTATTGATAAACACTATGTATTTGCAATATTTCTGGATTTATTTTCCTATCGATTGGTTAACTATTTGGCATCAACTGAGCAAAACCAAAAATATGCTACTCTACATTTTCAATTTGAATTGTTGTGCATTTTTCTATTATTTAGTAGCTATTTTTATTTATTTTTGGCAAGGACCGTTTGGAAATTGAACAAGATATAATATCTCTGTAAATGTCATACTATATATATATATATAAATATATATATATATATATATATATATTCCTTGCGGTCCCTGCTTTTATGTATGCAATTTTCGTTTTGTAGTTGTCTGCACCACTTTGTGAGACGTCTTTTTATCATATAGCTAATGCTATTAGCTATTAGATCATTTTGCATTTAACTAATCACCTAATTTAATTAATCTGTTAGTCACTTGTCCAACTGTTCAGACACACATGTGTGTAACTGCTTATGTATCTGCCATTTTTGATTGAACTTTTATTAATTGCCTAACTATTAGTCAGCAAATCTATTGCAATTTGTACTCACAAAGAACACGAGCCTTTAGAAAACTAGTTGCAATTAGCGCCAAAAATAACGAACAAAAACTTATACTAATCACTTAAATATATATATATATATACGTGGATTCATATCAAATCGTAAAACAGCTCTATATATATTTGAAGGCAAAAATGTATATTGGTCTCGAATAAGTTTTTTTTTTACTTGTATCAAGTAAAAACATAAATCTAAGCTAAAGATCTGTTCAGTCGAAAAATGCGTGTTGTCCAACACTGGTCGCTCTTTGATATTTTCCCAGGCTCAATTGCCCGACTCTGAGTCTTCCGCCCGTTTACAGGGAATACTTAAAAGTTAATTGTTAAGCAATAATTATACACAAACAAAGAAAAACGAACACAGCACAGGGTATTAAATAGTCGACTAAAGTTGTTTTTTGTTAGCAAAAACACAAAGCATTGCATATTTGTATTATAAATATATATTTTTAGCAACAAATGCTTGGATTAAATTACGTATTTATTTAGTCATGAATTGAAATTGAGTTGATTAGCAAAAATGTGTGTGTTTTTTTTAAGTAGCAAATAAACACGATTACGTTAAATTAGGAGGCAAAATTTGAAAAGAAATATTAAGTATCAAATACCGAAATTGGTAACATTATTTACTTATTAGCAACAATAACTTTGAAACCAACAAAACCCAACAACAAATGTAATTTTCTCTATCCTCTATCCTTTATTAACAATTGACACACACATTTCGAATACATATAACCTAATGCTCGATCCGAAATGTGAAATCGCATAAACTCATTGTAATCAATCCCAACTCCTCATGCCTAATCCACGATAATTGTCAAAAACTACGTATTCCCGCCGACTCCTTCCATGATGAATGGCAAATAAAAGGGACTTTCGTTTTAAGCACGGACGTATGGAAAATATGTTGAATCGCAGAAGAGCTTCAGACAGGAAGTCGTCGTCGCATATCGCGCCTCGTCACTTGCGCGTCGAAAACTGGGATATCGATGATGATGAGCTGGATAGCCGGGAACAGCAGCGGCAATATCATCGCCGCAGTCACCGATTGGCGGGTGGTTCCCATCATGTGGACAGCGTGGACAGTGGGACTCTGCATATGTAGCCAGGCTGTTGGAGCAGAATCTATATAATAAGTCAGGTGCTTGTATTTGTACCATATATATTAACAGAGAATCTATTGTTTTGTGTCTTGATATAAATAAATTATATATAAATTAGGGCTCATTTAATATATTATATACATATTTATTGTATGTGCTCAGGGCGCACAAAGCCATATCCATTCCAAGCAAAACTTGTAGTATTCAAACTAGAAATCTGCATTATTCATAAATGTACAGGTGTAACTCTTAAAATTGATCCAACTGTGATACTGATTGCTGTAGCAAATGAATTGTGTGCAATTATGAAAATGTTTTAAACTTTAAATAAGCTGATTGTTCTACTATTAAGCATTCTTTTACTTAAAACTTAACATGCCAACAAACAGTTGTTTCCTTTTCTACAATGAACTATACCAACGTCTATAGTATATGTACAAAAACTTGTATGGAATCCAGTTAACAAGAACTATAATTTAAGAGAACGTTTCCTGTCTCAATTGTTGTGCTTTTATGTTATTGTTATTTTGTGACATATACATATATATTTATATATATAGTCAATTAACTGAATAAACATAGTCACTAGCTTAAGCCAGTGTACAGCCCATCCTCAAACCTTCCTGTATACCCAAACAGTTCAATTAATACTTAAACTCAAAATACACTGCGTTTTAAAAAGAGTATAGCGATAAGTATAATATATGGCAAAAATTTTATACAGCCTCAATGAAAGTGAAAAGGTTAACAAGAATCTTAATTTTATCTATGTGGAAAGTGAATAAAATATGTTATTAACTATATAAGTTTTATATTGGCTGCCGAAGTACGCATGCAATTTAATACCCTAACAAAAAAAAAAAATGAAGTCCACTAACAGAACAGTTCGGCGCACATTTGACATTTGGCTGAATGTAATGCACTTTAATTATTGTTTTAATTTAATTCTAACACAAAGCAACAATTAAATACGCAAATTAATTTCCTTTATAAAATAAAACTCAATGCAATTTTCTCAAATATGTATTTTAAAATTCTCATCAATATTTTCTTTGCGTAACTTGTATGTGTGTGCGCAGTACTATGTATGCCTTGGGATCAATTATTCGATGTAAGTAATTCATAGATCAAATGTGTAAATCAAAAAAAATAATACTATATGTATATCTATATATACATAAAGTCCAACTCATAATCATATACAGTCACAACCATCCACGATATTACAATAGGTCACGAATTTATTTGCAATTAAAGGATTTCTCTTAGGTACTCGTAGTAGTTTCTGTATAAAAGGGCAAAGGTAAACAGCACCGAGTTAATAATTAAATAAATATATTTAAGGTTTATTTCTTTCGTTTTTCTTTATCCCTCAGATTATCAAGTTTGTACGCATTGCATGTTCTATATTTTTCTCAAGATTTCGCCATTACTTTTATGTTTGCCGTTTGTCGAATAACAGTCTTTAGTTTTAACTAATAATGCCAAAATTTGCATGCTCCATTAATTTGGTCAACCTCGATTTAATGTAGCGACCTGTGCTTAATTATCATATATTTTTTTTTAATGGCCGTAGAGTGCTAACAATTTAAATTGAAAATTTAAGATCTGCCACGAAAAATGTTGAAGAACCAAAGAACCAACCACTCTTATCCAAATTTATATACTAAACGTCCTGCGAATCTCCAAAACCATAAACAATTAATTCTACAGATTCACTGAAACTGCGAGATTGCTACGCAATGTTTTCACCCGTCGTGCCAACACAAGAGTCGAAACGGAACTAGAATTATCGCGTGAGTACTACCCATATATCAATCAGTTCCAGTGTGTACAGTCCAGTGTAGGACAGTGTGCCCCCAAGGGCGTTTGTTTTTAGTACAGTTTGGTCAAATGGCCAACATTTGGTGGCAGCATTTCATTTTTTAATGGGATAGTTGAGTACGTTTATAGCCACGGTTATCAGCTGTAGCGTATCGGCTAATTAAAGAAATGGCTTTTGATTTTATATTTTTCGAACGCGTGGGTGGTGTGGGGAGGGGGGGGGGGTTGGTGTCAGTATCTATTGTTTTCATAGCAAAAACACATTTCATCCACATGTTCATTAAAAAGCAAACCCCACCCAACTCTACCATGTGCAACGTATAATTATTGTATCTGATATGCAAATATACATGTTTTTCCTCAGATGGCTATGCATTTTCCCAAGAGGAAGGCGGTGCTGTGCCGCAATCTATAGTCATACGCGCCTATGACACGAACTTGCCCAAACCAGAGGGCAATTGAGAACCTCTCGAGAGATAAATAAATCGACAGATAACGGCAGCTATTGTATTTATGGCTATGCATTAGTTAAAGCAACACCTGAAACTTATGAAAGCTTATGTATGTAAAAGGGCCAAAGAATAAAATCATTTAAACACATATTTTAAGCATACTAAATAAACATCAAAAACAAAAAAAAAAAAAACAAGAAAAAACAATGTTAACTGAAACTTTTGTGAAACCACACACTCTTTTTCTGGTATTATTGCATCAATATATATTCTATATGTGTCTTACATTACTATTTTTTTATATATGCTGCATATGATAACTTAAATGTGTATGTGTATCCTAACTGTTAATTATTTTTTAAGTCAGAAACACTTAAATAAAGCCGTTAGAAGCATTTCATTCTTTGTACATATCTAAATCGACTGTGTTTATTGCTTAACTTTTCAAAGATGTTGGCCGTTATGTGTCGAGGTTTTTTCGATTTCTTGATAAATTGTGAAAATAGAACTATCGAAACTAGTGATATTTTGTGTATATCGATAAAATACCTAAACGAACTAAAAATCAAATGAACGAAAATAATGGAGCAATGGATCTAATTCAGTGTTATTTGGTACTACACACACATGAAATACATTTAGTGTGAATGCAACCCTGAGGAGCGACGCGGCTTTCCATTTACGCTCACATATTTTTGTTGAATTTTCACCCAGCCTTGCATTAACACGAATTTGCGGCTCCAAGAATTAAATAAAACAACGTCACAATGGATGACATTATGAGCCCGAACTTTTCCATACCCAGCATTGGGCATGCACCAACGCCGATACACCACAGCCTGGACGCCGATCAACAAATTGAAGCATTACCACATCAGGTTTATCACCCAGCCGCACTGGAGCCAACGCCAACAGCTGCCACAACAGTGCAGCAGCAACAGCAGCCCGACGGCAACAATGGAGTAAGTGCTGCCGATGGAAGCGGCGGCAGTGGCTTGTTTGGCCATGAGCCATCGATACCCTTGGCCCACAAACAAATGCAAAGCTATCAGCCGTCTGCCTCGTACCAGCAGCAGCAGCAGCAGCAGAACCAGAGCAGCAACACGGGCGGCACCACTCCCCAATCTCTAATGCAGCCACAGACGCCGCAGAGCATGATGTCGCACATGATGCCAATGACGGAGCGCAGCTCCACCGGGGATGCATCCCTCAGCAACATACATCAGACTATGGGTCCATCTACTCCGATGACGCCTGCTACGCCCGGCTCGGCGGATCCGGGCATTGTGCCACAGCTGCAAAATATTGTGTCCACCGTCAACTTGTGCTGTAAATTGGATTTAAAGAAAATTGCTCTACATGCGCGCAACGCCGAATATAATCCCAAGCGTTTCGCGGCCGTGATTATGCGTATTCGTGAGCCACGTACCACCGCATTGATCTTCAGTTCTGGAAAAATGGTCTGCACCGGGGCCAAGAGCGAAGATGACTCAAGGCTGGCAGCTCGAAAGTATGCGCGCATCATACAGAAGTTGGGCTTTCCGGTAAGTGTGTAGCTAAATGTATACCCTGTAGGTGGCAGCTCGTAGCTGAGTACAGGGTATCTTAGAGCACTTTTGACATTGAATTGTTCCGCTTTCAGGCCAAATTCCTTGACTTTAAGATACAAAATATGGTCGGCTCATGCGATGTCAAATTCCCCATACGCCTCGAGGGTCTAGTCCTGACGCATTGCAACTTCAGCAGCTATGAGCCGGAACTGTTTCCGGGTCTTATCTACCGCATGGTGCGACCACGCATTGTCCTACTCATCTTCGTCTCAGGTAAGGTAGTGCTGACGGGCGCCAAAGTGCGACAGGAGATATATGATGCCTTCGACAAGATATTTCCAATCTTGAAAAAGTTCAAGAAGCAATCATAAGGCCTACTTCATCATCGCTAAGCACATGTAGTTTTCTAGGGTATTAACTCTTAAAGTTGACTAATTGTAATTTGTATTAAGTTAAGATGCCTGCGTGAGCGCCAAATAAAACTGTATTTAGTTTGTATATATGTTGTAAGATGTGCCTGGATTTTATTGGCATATATAGAGCGTCACTTAACCGTATAAAATTTAAACCTTATTTAAGCTTAGATACATTGTGCCATCAGTGCACCCACATTCTCGAACTCGATCTTCTCCGTAATGTTCTTGGTCTTGATTTTATCGTCCTGCGTTGCGACGACGACGAGATCGTGTCCCTGATGCTTCCAACCATTGCGTTTAATCCAGTTCTCCAGTGTCGAGTCCTCGATGCCGCCCAACAGCTCCTTCAGCAAATCCTTCTTGATTGTCTGGAACGTGGTTCCCACTACATGCGAGACAAATTTGCGTATGGAATCATGGAAGCCGGTTATATGGCGGAACATGGTGCGATTGACTTCAGCGCGTTGCCAGAACAAAGTGAAGTCAGCGCGCTCCAGTATGTCTGCCAAATCGATAATGGTCTGGACATTCTCATCCTTCATCTGCTGGGGCAGCAACAGGCACTTGGCCATAACGAAATCTGTGTGGGGCAAGTTCGTCAGGCACTTCAGCAGAATCGTGTAGGTGATGTCAAAGTTGAGCATGTGCGGATTGAACTGATATAGCTTGAGTACAGCGAGATTTGCCTCCAGATCGTAGGTATTGTTCTTGGCCTGGTCCTGGACGTAAGATTCCAGTATTTTTAAGTGATCCGGATTGTAGCTGGACACATAAAAATATAGGTTATGTTTGTGTGTATTTTTTGACTGCGGTGATTAATGCTGAACAATTTACCGCTCAATGCAGCCCAACATTTCTTGTATGGTCTGGCTTTGGCCGTTTTCCATTTTCACCAAGTGTGCCATATTGAATTATGTGCGATTTTGATTAGTTGATGTATAATTTATATGCAAAAAATAAACGAAACAATATTCGCGTGGCGATGCTAAAGTTATTTTCCACACAGAGCTGTATTGAATTGGAACAAGTTCAATCGAACGACTGACTCACATGAGCCAGCAAACTGTACTGCTGCCCTGGCACTGTTGTTTACAGCAAGCAGTGTTTAGTTAGAGAAAGCTGCCGTTACTCCCATTTTGGTCTAGTGAAAAATTGAATTATCTGTTTGTAATAAAAATAATGAATGAACTATAGTGCGGAATTCTGTGTATACAGTAATAAGTAGTTGGTGAAATTGCGGATATATTCAAGTATACAATTGAGACAAGAATGCATCAAAATAAAAGTGAAATAAAAGTGCAACCAAATGAAACCACATTGAGTAGAAACGGTACTTTTTGCGCGGGAAGCATGTCACAAGTAACTGTCAGCATGTCGATCCAGCCAACTTCCAGTTTCCAGGTTTTTAAGTGAAGCTTTTTAATATCCATTAAAAATGCAATTTTTATATTAGTAAATAAAATGTTTTTTATTTTTTATATTTTTTATTAATCCCAAATTGTTGTTGGGCTCAAGTTTTTTAAATGACTATGTTTAAGGTCACTTATTTGCAAAAGTTTATATAAATACTTATTTATACATATGTGTATATATGTACATATGGAAGTGAATTTTGTTTATCTCCCCTGTACCGTACGCCACTTTTCACTGGAAGTTTGACGATTATTGTTAATTCCCAAAAGGATTATCCACATCCATCTCACTTTGTCTAGGAAGTTTAATTGGAAGTGTGTGTACGTAGTATGTGGAAGCTACTTTTTATTTATACCCAAATGGATGCATTTGGGTTTTGGTATTTCAAGGCCTTTAAGTCTTTGCCGGCTCCGTCTCGCCACGTACCGCAATGGTCGCAGCGGCCGCCAGCTCAGCCTGGCGCTGTTCCTCCTCCAGTTCGAGACGCTCCACCTTTTTGATTTTGCTCAGTTTCCCTGAAAATACCAGGGTCAATGCGATCCATATATGTAAATAAGCTTATTAGCTGAACTCACTTGCACACTTGAGCATAATGGTGCCCCACCAGATCGACCAGCCCCAACCGACAAAGCAGAAGAGCACACAGAAGAATTGTGACACTGCGACAATAATATTTATGATAAAGGATCCAATGCGGGCGCGCGCGCTGTCGAACTGCGAGAAACGGGGAATTCCCACACACAAGCAGAATAGTCCAGAGAGCAGGGTGCCTACAGAAATTGTGCGCTTTAAAATGGGTATAAGGATTTGGTTTAGGAAAAAGCTAACCTAAGCCCGGAAAGATGACATTGCAAAAGGCGCAAAACCAGGCAAGGTAAAGCGGCAGCACGGGTATGGCACCCTTCATCTTGGAAGTATACTCGACCAGATCATTATGCAGCTTGCGACGCGTTTCCTAAAGGTTGAAACGAAACAAATATGGAAAACAGTCAGATACATATATACTAGTATCAGGATTATGTCCTGGCTCAGAAGCTAGCTACTCCAAGCCCCATGTTCACCTAGGTGAGTCGATCGATTGATCGATTGATCGATTCAAAAACATCTCTAAGTAAAATCAATTGGATGAAATTCAAAAAATTGTCATACAACAGTTTTTCTTCCATTTCCCGACTATTTGGACTGGATTGGAAATCGGTAAAACGCGTTTCTAATAAAATAAGTATGAATCGAATTGGGGCGGGGGAAACACGAAAAACTTCATGCAACCGTTTTTCATAAGTATTCCGCCCTTGTAAGTGAAATTTCCAGAAACGCTGTCTTAGTCTTAAGTCATAAAAGGCTACTGTAATAAGTTAAGCTTTGAAGCTCTTACGGTTTAGGCTGCGCGCCGATCATCAGTCAGTCAGTCAATCAATCAGGACTTACTTCGCTGGCTGGTGGCGCTTTAATACTCTGTCGGCGTGCATCGGAGCCGCGGCGCGGTTTCTTGCGGCAGCAGAGCAGCATCAGCCAAAAACGCCTGCAGCAACTCCTGAAATCGCACAAATGATGTATCTACATATACGCTCGTATAGACTCGCTCCGACTTACATCTTGGTGACGTCCTCGGCCACCGTGGCTGTTGACGGTGCCACTGAAGTGCCCTCCAGTACAGCCGCATCTGTGGCAGCTATGCCCAGCTCCGGATCCTGATCGCGCCAGGCCACTTTGGGCTCTGTGGCGGTCGCTCTTTGCCGCCGGCAGGGTATGCAAAAGCAGCACTTCCTTAGCTCCGTCTCGTCGCCCGTTACGGGATCGACTTTGTTAACGGAACGACAGCAGAAAACCTTTCTCAGGCACAGGCCACACTTGCTCTGCTGCTGCTTTGGTCGCATGGAAGTGGATTGATGCATTGGCTCCACGCTCATTTTGGTCTCTTTGTGCTCTGGGCTCGCATTTGGTTTTGGCTTTTTGCGGCAGCTCTTGCAGCAATTGGATGTTGGCCAACAGCGCGACTTCTTAGCGTTTTTGGACTCATCAATTATCTCCAGCTGTGTGGTTGTGGTCGAGGCGCTGCTCCGGGCACTCGAGAGTACAGGCTGCTGCTCCTCAGTGGCGTCATGCAGGCGCTCCTTCCGCACACCGCAGCAGCGCATGCAGCGGGAGCGACGGAATCGTATGCAAAGCGTGGTGCAGCAGCGGCAGCAGCCGCCTTTGCCCACATCGTCCTTGAGGAACTCCTGACTGCTGGTTCTGGAAAATAATGAAAAGAAGACGGCTTAGAAAATTCGTCTTGGGAAAGTGCGAAAGTGAATTTGAACCAGCTTGCAGCCTTGATCTATAATAGATATTCACTGTCTAGCGGATATTGCCGGAGTATAATCATTGTGGGTAATAACCGTAGACCTTGTCCTTTTTGTAATATCATGGAAATAATTTGCACACAATTTGCATGGGGCACATTTATTATGCAAATCGATTTCGTGCCCTGCGGCTGCGGTGCATTCCCATCATTTGCATTTTAGCATATTTAATGACTTTTGCATTCAATACGATAAAGATGAACTGCACGAGAGCACATACATTACCATATGTGTGCACATATTTCAGCTAATAGGTCAAAAGTTCGCCCCAGAGCATATATAATAAATACTTCATTCATGGAACCGATTGTTATATTGTTACGCACACGCATTGCCTGGGTTATTAAACCCACTTTAAGTTCAAGGTTGGCCTTTTCTTTGGCCAAGTCGGGCACTTTAACTTAACATAAATTAGCCCAAACTTACACAATTTTCCACTCGACCACGTGCCACAGAGAGAACCTATACGCCAATAAATAAGATTTCAACGACCGCACGAGCCAACGACCAAACTTATTTTGGAGGTCGAGAACTTGACGCCAGTGAAAGAAATCACAAGTCTTGTACTTTCCCCAACTTTTGACGCATTAACTACTTAATTAATCTGGCGTATATAAGGGAAATAAACAAACTTTGCTAGAGGAGCTTTTCTGTTCTTTACACCCAAACGGATATTTTTCCGCATCAATCAGTTATGTATATATAGCTATATATAAATTAAAAAAAGTTTGATTTAGCAGCTTGTGGTTTACATCCAAAATTTGATCTGATTATCAAATAATTATCAAGATTTTCTGGTTTACCTAAATAGATATTTATCCGCATCAATCAACGAATTCTGCGGTAGATCTATGTGAAAGATGACCGAGTTCTTTTTCTTCTTAGTCAGCATTTCGAATATACTCAAACGTTAGGAATCACTCGTTTTGCGATTGAATCTTTTTGGGAGTAAGTTTTGTGCTGCGCTTGGCGCGATTGTCCGGCTGTAACTGATTTGTTATTGCGGCATGAAACTTTGGACATGCCACGAAAACTAACTAAGCAGCCAGAGTGTTATGTAGCTAGTGTGTGCACACCTCTCGCCAGGCGGACCTGCAATACCATATACCCGCACGTATGTAGGCTTGTATGTATATGCATTGAAGGACGCGGCGCAGCTCACGACCAACGTTGGGGACGACAAGCCAGCCAACGGATATCCTTAAAGGCGTTTCGTATGGTCGCCCAGGCCCCAAACCCCCAACTAGTTCGTAAATTTATTGACGCATTTATGAGTGGCTTGGCGGCCCCTAGCCCCTATATGTATATATATATAAATATACTTATTCTCCTATATACATATAAATGTTGTGTGTGGAGCTACGTGGTTTGCTGGTCTGAAGTTTTGCCCGCACGGTTCTTGTTCGGCGAGTTTCCGGCTATGTAAATTTCCTGGCCAAGGGGTATATGGCTGGCAATTGTTTTTACTTGGAGACTTTAAGGACGTGGCAAAAAGTTAGTAGACTTCACAAATAAAAAAACTATGGCAAATTGCGGCTCGTTCTTCTATTTACTATATATACAAATTGTTGCCCCATAGAGGACGCGTCCAACTAGCAGGGCCAAGCGTTTTTATTGACATTTTCCGACCGTGGGAAAATTAAATTTTAATCGTAGACAAGTGGATTTTTCCTAATCGGTCTAGTAAGGATCTTATACTAAGCAGTTGCAATCAACCTGTTTTTTTTTTATTGGACCTTGGGAGCTATTAAAATAATTAGACTTCCATCGGATCAAAATACAATTTTTACAAACAAAACCTTCTACCTTATCCAGTGATTACTTTGAAGCGAATCAAATGCATAGATTTAACCCTCCTGAACCCTTTACTTAGGCAATTGATGTACAAATTTAGCTATCTTCCTCTGAAGCTTTGCGAGCTAATGATTAGTAAATTAGTTAGTCTATCGAGCAGCCTTAAGTGCATAGACACATGGGCCTGCACATTAGTCATCAGTCAGTGCATCAGTCCATCAATCAGCTCGACATACATCGGCACATTGCTGTGTAACGCTTTGGGTCAATCGGTAATCGGTTAGGCTACTTACTTGGCAATTCCCCCGCTGCCTGCCGTCGAGCCACCCTGTCCGTCGGGTGAAAGTCTTTTGTCATCCACTGGGAAGTCGTCGCCAAGACCAGCCGCAGATGTCGCGTGTTCAAGGTTGACCACGCGTTCCTCCTGCAAATTGGCTTTATCACAGTCGGCCTCT